AGTCCAAAGTCGCAGCCGGCCAGTTCCACCCCATCGGCGGCTGCTGGGTCGAGCACGACACCAACATCCCGAGCGGCGAGTCGCTGATCCGCCAGTTCATCTTTGGCCAGCGCTTCTTTGAGAGTAACTTTGAACGGCGCTCGACGACGTGCTGGCTGCCGGATACGTTTGGCCAGTCGAGCCAGATGCCGCAGCTGTGTCGGCAGGCCGGGATGAACCGGTTCCTGACGCAGAAGATTTGTTTTAATAACATGAATGAGTTTCCTCATACGACGTTCAACTGGTACGTTGGTCCTTGGTATTGGATACTGGTGTAGTTTAGGCAGAGCGGGAACTCGTGGAGGGGGACGTGATGCTGATGGCTGTTGTCGTAGGGTCGCTCTTGATGGGAGCCAGGTTATTTGCCACATGCCGCCCGCAAAGACGTACTGCGCCAACGCGACGTTTGGGGACGTGAAGCGTAGCATGACGCAGCATAAGTCTCTAGACCAAGACCACACCTCTCTCCTAGTCGTAAGTCCCATCTTCCAAGAGTCACCGTCCTTCCTATGAGAGCCCCGTCTCACAGCAACCAACTCTCTACACCCACGTATGCTAACGCGACCCCGACAGTTCGGCAAAGGCGACGGCGGCGGCGGCCCAACCCGTCCCCAACTCGAATCCCTCCGCCGCCTCCGCGGCCTCGCCGACACAACGGGCCTCCTCCCGCGCGTCCACTCCGGCGGCACCCCAGACGACTTCTTTGACCGCCTCGAGAGGAAGGCGCATACGTTCCCCACGTGGCACGGCGAGCTGTACTTTGAGCTGCATCGCGGGGTATATACCACGCAGGCGCAGACGAAGCTGAATAACAGAAAGGCGGAGATCTTGCTGCGGGACGTGGAGCTGTTGGCGACGATTGCGTCTGTGGAGGATGCGGGGTATCGGTATCCGAAGAGGGAGTTGGACGAGATGTGGGAGGGGGTGCTGCTTTGTCAGTTTCACGATTGTCTTCCTGGGACTGCTATTGGGATGTGCTATGATGATTCGGATGAGGTACGTTGGCTTGTTGTTCTTTGGACAAGGGCGGAGAGTGGCTTACAGGCGTGCAGGTTTATGCGAATGTTTTCAGCATCGGCAACAACCTTTTGAAAGACATTTACAGCGTACTCAAGATCAACGACATCAACGGCAACCCAACCGGATCCGAGAGGCTGGTAGCTCTCAACACCCTAGGATGGCCTCGGAAAGAAGTGCTCACCACCAACGGCAAAGACGTTATCGCGCAGGGCACCGGAGCCCTCATCGCCGCCCAAGAAATCACCCAGACAGACACCACCAAGCCCCTCGTAACGGTGAAAGAAGTCTCCGAAGGCATCTTCGTCCTCGAAAACAGCCACTTCACAGTAACAGTCGAATCCGGCACGATCACCTCCCTCCTCGACCGCCGCGCCGCCGACCGCGAGGTCCTAGCCTCTGGCAGCGGCAGAGCGAACCAGTTCGTCATCTTTGACGACAAGCCTATTTACTGGCAGGCGTGGGACGTGGAGGTTTTCCACCTCGAGACGCGGGAGGAGGTGCGCGGCGGGCGGACGAGTGTGCTAGAGGCGTCGCCTGTGAGGGTGAGTGTTGTTACGGAGACGCGAATTAGTGAGGTTAGTTCTGTGAGGACGGTGATCAGTCTTGCTGCGGTGGTTGAGGGGGGTGAGGGTGAGGGTGGTGCGGGTGCGGGCGTGGAGTGTACTGCCGAAGTCGACTGGCACGAGACGATGAAGTTTCTCAAGGTTGAGTTTCCGGTTGATGTGCGGCATCACGAGGCGTCGTATGATACGCAGTTTGGGGTTATCCGGCGACCAACGCACTACAACACGTCGTGAGTCATTCTCTCTGCGACTTACTACTCCAGCAATACCGTAGTGGAGTGTGTTAACTGACCACGGGCATGTAGCTGGGACATGGCCAAGTTTGAAGTCTGCTGCCACAAGTACGCCGACCTCTCGGAGTACGGGTACGGCGTGTCCATCCTCAACGACAGCAAGTACGGTTTCGCGACCGTCGGCAACACGATGAGGCTGTCGCTCCTGCGGTCGTCCAAGGCGCCTGACGACAACGCCGACATGGGGCGGCACACGATCCGGTGGGCGATTTTGCCGCACCGGGGTCCGTTGGGGCCGGAGACTGTGAGGGCGGCGTATGAGTTTAACAACCCGCTCAAGGTCGTCTCTGCGTCTGCGGATTCTCCGTTGCTGAAGTTGGGAGGCACGGATGGGAATGGTGCTGCTGGATTCCTGGTTGCGTTGACGGGGGATGAGAATTTGGTGCTGGATACGGTGAAGCGCGGGGAGGACGATGAGGATGTTGGGGACGGCGAGTTGCTTGTTCGTGGTGGGCGCAGCGTGGTTGTGCGGGTGTATGAGAGTTTGGGAGGTCGTGGACGGGGGAGGGTGATGACGCGGTGGGTGGTGAAGAGCGTGTATAAGACGAACTTGCTGGAGGATGACGAGGAGGAGGTTCGTGTTGAGGATGGCGGGTTCGAGGTTGATCTTGGGCCGTTTCAACTGCAGACGTATCGGCTTCAGCTGGTGGCATGAATGACTCCTAGATGTGGCGATAGACTTCTTGGGTGGAATGCCATCGGTTTCCTGTCATACAGGGGGTATCTGTTGAATCGCATGTTGATGCGTTGGGTCGTTTGCTGTGCTCACGGCCGTGGAGAGCGTCCAAGGTGTAGAGGCATCTAGTTGAGAGACCAACGTAGGTAACATGACTTGGCAACAGATGTCCGTATCTCTTCCATCGGGGTTGGCTTCGAGGGTCAGGTATGTTGGCCTCCAGGCGGCCGGCTCAAGGTACGGTGCAATTCCTGAGCTGGGCAGCGAGTGGTGAATAGTTAGCATTTTCATTCGGGCGCTCTTGGTAGCTCTCGGCTGGTGAGAATGTAGATGACTTGAGGTTTGTATGAATGAGGTGACATGGCTGATTGATTACGATATATAAGCATTGCGATGGCCAAGTGCGGCGGTGATGGAGATTCCTTCAATGTCGCACCATTGGCCGATGATCGTGGCGGTGTGCGGTACATGTAAGCTTCGCACGGCGGATGATGATGACCAGCGTGAGATGGCAACTCATACATGAGAAATCAGGTGTTGAATGAGAAACATTGATAGAAAGCATCAGGCAGTGGTGATGAAGGCTGCAAAGGTCGAGCTGCCCAGCCATGGTGATACAAACACAACCCAATCAGGCCAAGGTCTCCTCGGTGTCGACCTCGGTGCTGGCAAATGCCTGAAAGACCTAATGGAAGACTCCACCTAAGGAAGCCCGGAGAAGCTTACGCCAAGAGGCTGCAGGGTGGGCAAACATTGAACACTTGCATGTTTGTTTGCTTGTTACGTTCGTACCTTGCGGTAAGGGAGGTAAAGTAGGGTGCAGATGGAGTTGAAACAAGGCGTTGGTGCGGCCCGCGTGGCACCTACGTACGTACTACTGTACTGGTAGGTAGACCTAGAGCACAGCTAGACCTACTGCGTACACCCGGACCTGGACCCGAAGCCGTGGGCGCGGGTTGCGGCGTGGAATCGTCAGCCCAGGGGCCACAGGCGGCCATGGGCCATGCTGTGTCACGTCCACCCCCGGATCGACGGTGGGACGCGGGTAGGTGCTTGAAGAATGTCAGTTGAAGGTTGTTTGCTAATTGATACACGGTAGATTTGGCTTTGTGGCACAGAGTATTCGTGAAATGTCAAAGTTGAAGTTGACGTCTCCTATCAACTTGACCTGTGTCGTCAACCCAACTAGCCATGGCCAATACAGGATTCCGCCAGCGACGATGAATCCTGGCTTTCCAAGACAACACGGTACCTGTAGGTTGGAACTTGGAAGCGCCTTGGACGAGACGCTACGGAGTACAGGGCAAGAGTTGCGAATTGTTTGTTGGACCTTGAGAGTTACCGGTTCGTTCGAATCCTCAACTTTGAGATACTTGTTTCTCATCATCGTCAAAATCCACCATTGGAAACGAAATCGGTGACACGTTGCGACCAACTCTCTCTCTCTCTCTCTCTCTCTCTCTACCCCCTCTTCTCTCGCTCTCCCGCGCCCGTTGCGAGAGAAAAATGCAAGAATGAGCCCACGCATGCGGCGTAGCACCAATCACGTCCAGCCCGGGGAGGGCGGAAGGGGGGGAGACCGGGGGGGAGGGTTTCTGGTCCCCTCTCCCAACAGTGGCTGCGCGATAGTGGCTGGGCACTGCACCAACCGTTCCCCTCCCCCTGGGGGCTGCGAAAAAAGACTCCTTCCTGCCAGATGTTTGTACCCTGGTTCCAACAGAGTTCCAGCAGCGACCAACTGGTGGGGAGGGAGAGGGGGGCCGTTCATTTTGTCAGCGGGGAGTTGTTGCAAGGAGGTCACTTTTTGGCCGCCAACAGTAGAAAGGAGTACCTATCCCCCTAGGTACCTATTCCCCTAGGTACCTATCCATAGTATTGGTATGTACCCAAGGTGAGGTGGACAGCCGGAAGAGTAGTACTCGGTACACCCAACAGAACGGTAGGGGAAGTACCTTCATGACGGATGTAGAGAGAGCTCCGGAAGCGCGAGAGTAAAAAGCCAAAGCTTCCCCGACGACATTCCTCGCCCAACCCGACCATTGCGCAAATTTCATCCTTGTCGTCTCATCATCGCCGGTGGACTCGCCAACTTCTCTCTTCTCTACTTCTTCCCCGCGACGGGCCAACAGGCAGAGGTGCGTACAATGTCTGGCCAGGCATTTGCAAACGATGCGACCGCCTCGGACGACGCAGAATCCTACGTCAGCGACCTTGACATGTTCCCTGACCCCTCTGACGATGAGGAGGATCTCGTAGCACCAGCACCCGCACCCGCACCCGCACCCGCACCCGCCTCCGCATCCACGCTCGCCGAAGCCCAAGCCCTCATCTTCGCCGCGGCGACGGCGACGGAGACGGAGACGGAGACCGTGGTGGATGACGCGGCAGACTCTGACGACGCCGACATGAACATCCACGCCGCCTCAGACCGGCCTTCCGTAGACGCCACTGAGGACAACGCCACGGATGCCGACAGCCTGATGACGGGCACTGATAACCAATCCATCCTCACAATTGATGCTTCCGTATGTAACAAAGTCGTCTTATGTAACAAACTCCCCCACGTGCCCGTCTACCTCCAGCCTCCAGACACACACACACACACACACACACACACACCCTAACCTTGACGCCTTCCAGTCATCACAGCATGATGGACGAGCCCCGTCGACGAGAACCATCGAGACTTCGGATATCCAGCTCGCCTTTCAGCAGCGTTTTGGCCGCACCTATCCATCAAGAGGTGAGCAAATGATCAAAACAATGTCTCCATGGATGACGAGAGCGCCGTATACTGACTCCAGTCTATCAGACTACATCCTGCCCAACGACTGGGTAAGTTCATCACCGTGAACCCGCTTGTCATGCCTGTCTTTGCATGGTTCCTTTGGCTTACCAGGACTCTCTTCATTTCATCGGCTAATCTCAATAGGACGAATGTATCCGCCTAGGTATGTACACGTCAAGTCTCGCCGTGTTGCCGCCCCTCCAAAGGGATGTTTTTTTTTTTTTTTTTCCTAACGGGGCCTCTTTCGTAGCTATCCAACACCATCTCTGGCTTCGCACGTATAATTCACGCCTTGCCAACTCTCCCAAACGTGAGCGTGCGGCGCGCGTGCTCGACTGTGGAACTGGCACAGGTCACTGGGCCTCGGATTTCGGTGAGGACTTGCCCTTCACACACTCTCGCTCCCTCTTGCTTCAACCGGCGCGAGCGGACTTTTTGAATCTTGACGATTTACCAATTTGCAGCGGACGACCACCCAGAAGCTGTCGTAAGGCCTGCCTAACCTTCACCACCCCCGCCACGTTCTGTTCTCGCACAAGTGGCTCGGGTGCGGATGTTCGACTGCTCGCTAACAATAAGACCAAGGTCATTGGTGTCGACCTAAGCCCTATACAACTGACTGCGTGAGTAAACACAGCCCGCGCAATCCTTTCGAGAGAGGCTCTAGCTCCCAATCCAAAACCAACGCCTAGCTGAATAGTATCATCTCCAGTGTGCCCCCCAATCTCTGGTACGAAATCTTCGACCTGGATCAACCCTGGCCGTGGAGGGAGCTTTACGACTTCATCTTCTTTCGTCACATGAACACGGCCTTTGCCGACTGGGTCGAAATCTTTGAAAAGGCTCTCGGGTAAGGACTCTACCAAGCTTACGCACACCGGCAAGACCTCTGTGTAGACTGACCAAACCAAAAAAAAAGCCATCTCGAGCCCGGCGGCTATATTGAACTCCAGGACAACTCCTTCCCCATCATGTGCGACGACGACACCATGGCTCCCGACAGCGCCATCGCGCGCTGGTCCACGCTCCTGATGGAGGCCACGGAGCTCATGGGCCGCCCCTGCGACACCCCCTCGCGCTTCAAGCAGCTGCTCGACCTCGCCGGCTTCGAAGCCATTGTCGAGGAGAAGACCGTCTGGCCCATTGGGCCCTGGGACGTGGACCACCCCCGCGAAAAGGAGATTGGCATCTGGTGTCGCGAGAACTGCCTCGAGGCGCTCGAGGCCTCGACAATGCACCTCTTTACTCAGTTTTTGCACTGGTCCCAGGAGGACACGCGCGATTTTTGCGACGAGGTCGAGAGGGAGATTCGCGAGGGCAGTGTGCATGCTTATTTTACCGTGTGAGTTGGTCTTTTTTGTGTTTATGCGCGTGCTCGACTTGTTTGGCACTGACGGTTTGTTGCAGGTATTGTGTCTATGGGAGGAAACCCTACGCCTGAGACGGCAATGAGGGGAAGAGAACATAACGACTGGATGGGGAAACGACATTGCATTTGGTCGAATTAGATCTAGTCATGATACCCCGGGGACTTTGTATAACTGTATGCTCTTTCTCTTTTGCGTGGCGTTGGGGAGAATACTTTTGGACCATGGTACCTAGAAGCAACTCGAAGACTACTGGGAGAGATAACTCCACGGCGGGAAATTCAGTCCGTCCGCCGCCAGGGATGATAACCATGGCGATGAGGACGAGACCAATCCTTTTTACTTGAGATCTGGGATTGGGTTCGATCCTTTCTGATAATCTTACATCTGGCACCCGCCTAGGATAGGCACATCACCGCACTTGGAGGCACCGAGTTATCCCCTCCTTCAGGCTCCGTGTGTTGTGATAATAGAAACCTCGAGATACATCTCGCTCGTTTCAAGTCATGGCCGAAGCAAGTAGACGATCAAACTCGTCAAATCGTCATCATCCTCGCGTACAAGCCCGGGGTGAGAGTCTCAATGTACCGAAATAGATGTTCTTGACACCAGGTCCTTTGCACTTCTGCCCGGCTCGTCCGAAATACCTCCCCCGCGTCCACGGTACAACAGATGCCCCTTCCAAAGCTACAACCTCCAATAATCGTGATATATGCAGTCGCAATCACCTACTTCCCTACCTCACCTCGCAACCGTGATACCATCACAAGTGATAGACAGGGACCAAGCCTCATATCCAAAGGGAGGGAGTTGGGGGGGAAGGGGGGGGGGCACGTTGGACCTTATCCGCACCTTGTCTTTTGCTACGTTTTGTACTTGTGTACATATATCTGCCCGTAGAAAGATCCAACCGGCAGACCGAAAAAAAAAGTGCTTCCAACACAAGTTGCAACACGAGCAAAAAGATAAAAAGATGGATGAACCACCCCTATCAGCCCATCACCTCCCCCATTCGACAGGATCCGATAGCGCTAAGCGGGCACGCTAAATCGTCCGCACCCCGGTCGACTTGTATCCATCCCCCCGTTGCGGCCGGAAGAGACCGTCAAAGTGTGCCACATCGTCCCGCCCACGACCAGCCCAATCACGGCCGAATACCCTATACTGCAGTTCTTTTGCTTGCAGACAAAAAAAAATGGCGAATCCGCATAAGCGGATGAGCGGAGCACCCTTCCCTTCCCCCCTCCTCTCCTCTTCTTCGCAATCCGCCGACGGTTTATGTTGGTCCCGTTGGTCCCGTTGGCGCGTAATAAGGTACCACGTACCTAGAGTGCTAGGGGGGGGGGGGGATGCTAAAGCAACCCAAAGATAGGTCGTATGGTGGAATTCAAGCAGGGGTTTTGGTTGTGAAGATGGAGAGAGGGGAGGGGAGGGAAAGGGAAGAGGGGTCTGGTGCGATGGGGTCTGGCGCATGGCATGGAGGCAGAGAGGGGAGAGGGGATTTAAAGACGTTTGGATCGCTTCCTTTTCGTAGGCCTCCCTCCTTCTTGATTCTTTTTCTTGATTGTACTTTATTTCTCCATCTTGATACGAACTGGAATTTGGTGCAGTGATTGTTTTGTTACTTCATTGACGATTTTGGTCTATCCGCCGTTCCACACATCGAGGAGACAGAGGGATATCGAAAAACGAAATGGCTGACGCGGGCCAAGCTCAACAGACTCCCGAGCCCGACGAGGTCATCGTGAGTTCTTCCCCCCCCCCCCCCACCAAACCCTTCGCCGGCCCGTTTCGATGGAGCCTATATATCTTCCCGGTGGCAAATTTATCCCCCCAAAAAAGTCCAATCAATCACAATAAATTCCTCCGGTTCTGTCTATTCAAAATCACAGAGTTCGGAAAAGAGAAAACTGACACCTGCGGCTTTTACTTTAATAGGAGGCACAAGAGTTCGGATCAGATGCGTCTTCGACCAGCGGCACGGTAAGGTCAAAGTTTTCCGCATTCTACCGCCTGAGGAGTCTCTGCAATATCTTGCAGCAAAATTTCGCAGCCCTGGTGCTCCCTGTTCGCTTTACTGACTTCGGTGTTCCTTACTTCATAGTCCGTCCACACTGATACAGACACCCTAAGAACGAGTATCCGTGACTACCGCAGGGAAAACGGGCGCACATATCACAGTCTCAGCGATGGAAGTAAGTTACTCTCTTTCTCTAGAGACCATGAATTCATTCGTGGTTCTTTTCCCCCCCCCTGGGTTCGCGATCCAAATAGCTGACGATACGTGTAGCGTACATCCTCCCAAACGATGCCGTAAGTCTCAACAAACCATACCTTCTGCCTCCTATTGCATTCCAGGATAAATCTGACTTTGCGTTTTCGTTTTGGAACATAGAGAGAACAAGACCGTTTAGGTGAGCCAGTCTTTCTCTTCTACCTTACTCGGCGGGCTTGGTTCTCGTCAGAAAAAGGCAATCGACCGGGCGACTTCAGGCATTGGCTGACATGTCCGTCCACAAAACAATAGACTTCCAGCATCACTTCTGGACGCTGACGTGGGATGGCAAACTCTGCATGTGTCCCAAGAACCAGGGCGCCAACCGCGTTTTGGATATTGGAACCGGAACTGGTATTTGGGCTGAAGAATATGGTTAGCTTGCCCCTTCTCTTTTTCCCCGACTAGTTCCTCAGCGAGAGCGACGACCCTTTCCCATTGCAGAACGGGAATTCGACTAACCGTTTTTGATAGCGGATAAACACTCAGAAGCAGTGGTATGACTCCGTTCTGTCCCCCTCTGTTGGGTTCATGGCGTGTATGACGAGTGTTAACATCACTGGCAACCCGAAAGGTCATTGGCGTGGATTTAAGTCCCATTCAGCCTGAATTGTAAGTACAACCACGCAGTATGCCCTGAAACCATGTAGCTAACAGACTGTCTTGTTCAGCGTCCCGCCGAACTGCAAGTTCGAAGTCGACGATGTGGAGAAAGAGTGGACGTGGCAGGAGCCTTTCGACTTCATCTTTGCGAGACACATGAACGCATGCTTCGAGAGCTGGGAACGGTTCCTTCGTCGTGCTTACGAGTAAGAACCTCCTTTCATCATCTACCCCCCCCTCTCTCCCAACTCATTGTCACGACCACGCAATGCCCACGTGCATTCATGCAACTCCCCATGTTCTAACGACCAACGAACCACAGCGCCCTAGAACCAGGCGGCTTCATCGAGCTCCAAGACAACGCCTTCCCCATCCTCTGCCAAGACGGCACCCTCAAGCCTGACGACCCGATGGCGCGCTGGTCGACCCTCATGATGGAGGGCACCGAACTCATCGGCCGCCCCATCACCGTGCCCGCCCGCTTCCGCTCCATGCTCAGCGAGGCCGGCTTCGTCGACGTCGTCGAGCACAAGCGCGTGTGGCCCACGAGCCCGTGGCCGCTGAACCCGGAGCTGCAGGAGCTCGGCGTCTGGGGCCGGGCGTGCAGTCTCGAGGGCATCGAGCCGGGCGCCATGGCGCTGTTTACGCGCGTGTTGGGGTGGACGAGGGAGGAAGTTGTCGTTTTCATGGCGGGGGTGAGGGATGATTTCAAGAATACTGCTATTCATGGGTTCTGGAACGTGTGAGTGTTTTTTCTTTCCGCCTTCTTCGTCGGCTCATCTCTGGGTCTTTGGGTCTGTGGATGATGACGAGAGCTAATTTGATCCCAGGTACTCCGTGTACGGAATGAAGCCCCATGAGGAGCCCAGCCAGGAGTAAGGTATCTGGACATTGGTTGCCGGTGGACCCAGACCTTTCTACACCGAGTTATTCTCTACACTGAGTGGTTTGATGCAAATATCTGATGGCCGAATGACGTGTCTGTCAGTCTCACGAAGTAGACTCTACAGCCAATCGCTTGTATGTAGACACATGCGATGAACCACTTGGAGTGTATGGGTGAGCAATGAAGGATGTGGACGAAGAAATCCTGAGAACGTGACAAATGTGATGGCTGTACTCTCGTGCTTGAAAACTCAAAGTCAGCATTCCTCTTCAGCCCGCCTTTTCTCTGGCCTGAACTTCCAGCCATCACCCATTCAACCCAACTGCTATATCCGGACCCAACCTCCCGCCGAGACGACGCGCTCGCAAAAGACAGTAGAGACAATGCTGCGAACCAAACTTTGAAATCCCCCGCAAAAAACACCTAAACACGCGATAGAAGCTGTTGCGTTGAAGAAATCACACTCACAAATTTGTCATCCATTTCTATTCCAGCATCGTCGACTGAGAGTTTCTGACTTGAGCTCAAGTGCCCAGTGTACGATGGATATACAAACAATCTGAGAGAATCCACTCGGAAACAGACCTACTGGACTCGTTGCATCGAATTTGAGAACCCGAGAATGATTTCCAAGGCGATGGAAGCGAGCATGGTCGAATACGGCTACGTGTGTGCGCGCCATTCATAGCAGCAGGCGGGCCTTAAAATTTCATCGTCCGTAAGCCGAAAGGCTTGACAACCGTGATAAACTCATTGTTTACGTGGGAATGTTGAACAGTGCTTAATTGAGTCTCTTTCAGCGGTTGGCTTGGCGTCCTACAATGCTACCGAGGGCCCCTTCCTTTGGCAGCAACTGACTCTCGGCCTCAATTACATCAGGAGCGTAGGTATATGACGGTTGATGTCGATCATAAAGCTCCTCATGGTTGATGATACAACAAGCGATGCCTTTGAGGATTCAGGAGACTATTCTGTTACTGTATGCCGCATTCACTCTTGGTTGTTTCGGCCAAGTTTTGCTCTGATATCAAGCCCCGTGAGCGCGGTAAGAACTATTTGACATCGACGTTTCATGAAACGATCGAGAGGGGCTAATCTATACGTCTTCTTCACGCATTTGTTCATTCTACACGAGGAGAAATGCTCTTTCAGTCATTGATTCATAGAGGTTCTCACTTTGCTAAGCTCATTACACCGGTCAAGGTGCAACCAAAATCCAGAAATCAACCGCTTCATCAATAGAAAGGAGACTAAGCATAGGAGTTCTCCAACCTCTCTCCCAACTTCAAATCTCTCACCCTCATACACCCATCCTTTCCTACACGTTTCACCCCCTCTCCATCCCAACACCCACAGGCTAAGCAGGCATCTCGTGCCTCAGCTCGCACGCCTCCACCTCGAACCGCTCGCGGCTGTGCGCCGGCAACTCCAGCTTCCACGCGGCGGCCTCGTCTTTAGCCTGCAGCTGCCGCTCGGCGTAGACGAGGATGTCGCCCTCCGTATAGACGGCCATGTCCCGCCTCCTCTTGACGTATTTGCGGACGAGCCCCGCGAGGAGGACGAGGAGGATGAGGGCGCCGAGCGTCGCGCCGACGGCGATGCCTGCCACTGCGGTGCTTGAGAGTTGGTCTTCGTCCGCGGGGTGGGTTGGTGGTTGTGCTGGGGAGGAGTCTGGGGTTGATGTTGGTGTTTCTGATGCGAGGGCGAGGGCTGTTGTGGTGGCTGTCGCGGGTTGTGTTGTTGACGTTGATGTGCTGTCGGGTTCGGTGATGTTGAAGTAGTGAGATGTCGCGCTGCTGCCCGATTGTCCCGTCTTGAAGAGTTGAAGGAAGTAGACCTGGCTCAGATCTGGATTCATTGTTGAAGGAGAACCTGCGTAGCCTACGGTCCAGAGCAGGCTCTTGACTGTGGAATTGGCTTTGCAATGGTGTGAGACGCAACCCTGAGGTGTATCCTGTAGTAGAGACTCACATGCGAGCTTGGCATAGGGACCTTTGATATTCCCCGTTGGCTGCTGCTGCCACAAAATCAGGTCGATGTTCTTGAGGTCCATCTCCCACTGCAAGTCAATATTGTCGCCGAGTGTGTAGACTGGGTTATCCCGGAAGTCTCCCGCCGGACCCGGGCCCGGCGGGCGGCGGAAGCGGTTCTCCGAGCGCGCGCATGCCGGGAACACGACACCGAAGAGGAGCACTGCGAGGATGTGCATCGCGAATTCCGGTGACGATTTCTTGGTGATATTCCTGTCGTCTATATCCGAGTGAAAGGGTAGGTGGACATTGGGCAATCGAGGCGAGTGGAAGCCACTCTGCCATGGGACACATTGTGTTTTTGCTCGATTCCTTTCCTTCCATTGCAAACCCGTTGCCCTGTCCCCCACCTCGAAGTCGACTGTGCGCGATGGAGGGGTGAGGTTCTCATTTTAAACGTCCTAGCGACGGATCTAGTCAGCGTTGACCTAAACAGTAGTGCCGTTTCGGAGAGTCGAAACGTTGAAGCCTAGACGCCACGGAATCCGCCAGCTATTTGTGCACTGCCAAGACGGGGTCAGGTTTATTAGTAACCCAGAGTGGTTTTCGAGAACACGGCGTAGGACAGAGAGATTTCTACGTGGCTTGAGGTATGGTTTCGAGACGTGCTGGACGGGTTTGGGTTGAGGGTGTCGCGATGCATCGATGGGCTCAACAGGGCCAATCTATACAAACCAAGCCATTTCGTGTCTGAAAATAAGCTGATTGAATAGCTACGATGATGATTGACAAAATTGATGGGTCCAATTGGCAAAAATGCAAAAGAGTACTCCTCGACGGGGAATTGAACCCCGGTCCCCTGCGAATCGCTGAGATTTCAATGACAAGCAGATATCCTCACCACTAGACTATCGGGGATTAGTGGATGTTGACATCCAGTGATAGTTGATTGGGGTGAGAGCTGCCTAGTGGACTTATATATCCATCGTAAATGTCTGTGCCTCTAGCGCCAGTTCCCACGGTGCCCACATCCATCTCCTGAAGGTCGGCAAGTTGCAAATGGTTCCCAAATTAGTCCTTCTCGTAAGTTGATTGATCAAGTATTCATTATCATGGGCCAGTAGGCCGCTGTTTTGGAACAAGTTGCACTACCACAACATCAATGCGCCGTCGAAAGCTACCCCATTCAATGTGTCGTCCTACTTATGTCAATCGCCTCTCCGAAAGCGACATCTCTCCTTCTCGTGCGTATCCCGATACCACTTCGTCGTCAAAACCTTGGTGCAAGATTCATTCCTACACGGATACCTCTGTCGCTTCTCGCGATTAAACGAGCACCCCTCGCGAAGGTGCTTGTTGCGGTTGCTAACGCTCGAGAATGTCTTTGTGCATTGTGGTGTGAGACACTGTAGTCTGTCGCCTCGGTTTCGGTGGTCGCGCGGCGTCGAGCGAGACGTCGTCGAACCAGCTGCGCTGCCGATGCTGCTGTTGAAGGTGTGAGCACAAGTCAAGATTTGAACTGGGTGACCTGCGGCTTACCTTATGCTCGAGGACGATACGTTCCGGCGGAGTTCAAGTGTGCTGAGGGATGAAAAGCTGCTCGACGGCGTGATGCATGCGTCTGATCCGTTTGCCGGTGATTGTACTGCGAATGGTGGGATGGAAAGCTGGCCAGCAGCTTGACTGGATTGAACCGAGATGCCATGCATCCTGAGGTACTCTGCTAGTAGGGCACAGCAACGAAGATATCCCGGAGGCGTAGCAGTGAAGGTCTCGGTGAACGCGTTTGCCGACCCAGAGTGCAGGCCTGGAGGAATATTAGCGTGCGAGTCGCGAGCGAGTGTGACGCTACACTTACCTAGGATCAGTGCAAGCACGATGGAGAAAGCCACTGAGAAGAGGAGCAGCATCGTGGTCGACGAGAGAACGTCCTCCCAGCCTCCATCAAATGATAGCGAAGGAGCCGGCTGTCTGAGAGTAGTTTCCTCAAAGCGTTCCATATGTAGAAAGTCCGCCCATACGAGATCATCGCGTTGGGTCGAAGAGCTGGCATAGGAGGCTTGCCCCGACTGTGATCGGCCCGGTATCGTCTGGGCCTGACTACTACTGACTCCTACATGTGTTTCTTGGTCATCGAACGCCCTGTGTATAGCTGCAAGCCTAATGCCAGGTGATGAAATTTTTGACGGTATGGTCTCCTTGCGCTTCTCGAGTGAAATGAGGTTTTGAGCCAAGTCTTGGAAATATGGTAGAAGTTCTGGGTCAAGTTGTGATGGTCTTTGACTTGACGGCGTGTATGCCCACATGCGGAATGCGAGCTCATCGAAGAGGAGTTGCGATGAGGCTGGTAGAATAGAGCGCCACCGGTCGAGGTCATCAACAAATCTACATTAATGTCAGCTTTGGCTGCCTAGATGTAGGACTATACATGAGGGGGCGCCGTTCGAGGAGAAATGCGAGAAATGGCTTACTGGAGAGATAGGGAATCGTCACTTGAAAGCAACGTTAAATACGTGGCGTTGGCCACCAGCAGTACGTCGAAAACCTCCCCAAGCGACGATGGTGGGCTATCCTGCATCAGGCCACGGAATACACAAAGACCACGATCCCACACTGTAGCAGAATGGACGTAGTCTTCAGCAAGATCGCGAATTTCTTCGTGATCCGAGCAGTCGCAGGACTCATGAAACTGTGAGCACAATGTGTGCATAGAAGAGACTAGGTTCTGGCCTAGGAGTCGCCGGCGGTGGCGAGAGCATCTGCGGCGGACTCGTTCTTTGGGGGCCTCGGCCGCTCGATCACGGCGACGGCTACATGGCCCGCTGCAATGGTTGATATTGTGGCTACCGGTCAGGCTGGGAACACTGTCCGCCTGGGTCCCAGTGCAATTTAGGTCGGACGACACTCGAGGTATTGCGACGGTTGGCGTTGACTCCAAGATGCTCAGGTCGGCGAAACAGTCGAATGTATCATCCGGACCTGTCGACCTTGAAACGTCCATGACGCCGAATGCCAGCATTATTTCCATAATCTGTGTGTTATCATCAGAGACTGCGATGGCGACTGCCTCTCGTAGCCCCTCGGGTAAGGGTGTTCGCAGCAGTATCATGCGAACAATCTCGGCCTGCCCCCAGTAGACTGCCGCAGAAAAGGGTGTCAAGACTACATGCTCTGTGCCGCCGCCCATCTCGTTGTCAGCGTAAACACCTAGAAAGGTTACTCCCTGCTGTAAAAGTCTCTCCACTTGCGTAACGTGGCCAAGCCTTATGGCGACATGGAGGGGGTCGTTGGTGATGTCTCGCAGGAACGGCCCGGGCTGGCTTGTGGATTTGTCTCTTGTTCGCGACGCCAGGTCTAGAACATAGCGATACATGTCCAGTCGACCTCTGTCGAGCAATTCAAGGAGCAAGTCGGGGTTCGTCTGCCACTCGACTTCACCAGTGCGGACGACGGGTTCGCATAGATTGTGTAAGGCAGTGAGATCGCCAGCAAGGGCAAGCTCGGTAAACTTGGATGCCAAGGCTTCGAGGAACGCGTCATCCAGAACATCTGGAAGAAGACCTAGAGCGAAACAGGCATCTAGGTCGTCTAAGCCGGCATCTACGCTTCGTTGATGCATGTCGTGAAGCTGGCCGATAGATAGTATGCCGCTTGATCGGTACACTTCAGTGCCGATTCCAGCGAATAGTGCTCTATCGAGGAGCAGGTCGCGGACGAGTAGACGAAGCTCGACTGTTGTAGGGTGCGATGGCGATACATTCTCGAGGTGGTTTAAGTAAGCCTTGAGAGTGGCGTAGTTTTTCAACAGATCGGGTAGGTCGAACGGCGAGGGCACAGCAATAGCAAGTGATTGCAGTAGTGTCAAACTCTGGTATTCGATTTCTATGCTTTTGGAAAGGCGGTTCTTGGAAACGGTGAAAGCTGGCTGAGAAGTTGGAGAGGAATAGAGAGGTAAATAGACCCCTGATCCAGGCGAAACTGCTTGGAATACTTCCCCGCTGTGCGAATGAAGGAACACCTAGAAGTCAGCCAGTCTGCTCGCGGGCGTTCGTGAACTGTAACGCGAGCGGGAAGACAGCAGCGCTGTACATGAGGATAGGGCACAGTGGTAGGATCGAATGTATACAATACTGTTTCAGGAACTGAAAGGTAATATTGAAAAACACTGCTACATATGGAACTTCATAATTCGAATCCTGATGAGGCAAATGCATGGCGTACCTTTCAAAGACTTCTGTGTAAGCGAAACACGGCGCATCATCGATAAAGTCATGGCTCAATGAAGGTCCGCTCGATGTGAAGCTTGTTTTGGGCCATGACAGAGCCGCGGGATGAGATTTGAGGTTCTCATCGATATCGGCGAGGCGGAGGTTCAGACCCAGAGATGACAGGGACGCCATCTTGACGGTCTAGGACAGCATTGGTGCTGTACAGGGGAGGTGGAGAGAGGATCAGGAATCGCGTCAAGGTTCTCACTCCAAATCAATGGGCGAGAAAGAAATCGCACATCACAGCTTTAGAATCTGAGGACTGAGGTGAGACGGAAGAACATCCCACTGTGAGAAGCTGGGAGATTGAGTGTTGATGAAGGGATGCCTGGAAAGCGGCCCCGCGGTTGAGGCTGACATGGTGCCCCGGAGGTGTGGTGGGTCCCCTGAATTTAGGAATCGGCGGCAGGTCACGCGCGGGGCGCCGTGGACGCTGTGACTGGGCACCAAACGTTGACTTGGAGTTGCCGGTATGCGTCGGTATGCGCGTCGAGAAACGTGATGCCGTGCAGATACGCTGCTTCAGGGAATTGCTTGGCCTTGATTTGCTGGAGCTATTGCCTTGTGTAGACGACATTGTCTAGTGTGCTCTGCCTTGGCTGCCTCCATCGCGACATGTTGACGATTCCGACACCGACGTTAGGAACTGGTGCGCGCTACGGTGTGTAGCACGCAATGATGATGCATTCTAGGCAGACTTCTGCGCTATCATGCATATAAACTAGTTCACGGGACTTTTTGCTCAGCCAAAGAGGAAGCCCGAAGTTTTCAAAGTGACAATGGTGCATTCGTAAGTATCGAGATGATGGAAAACAAAGAAATTCCTCTATTAGAGAATACGCCGACCGATGCTCTTACTTGTACACTGAGATCCGGTGCTTACATAAGGCTCATGAAGAAAAGCTGACATAATCGAAGCACTCTAGATAGCAGACCCGCATGGCTGATTTCGGCTGCCTCTTATTGGCCAACACTGGGTTAATTGAAATGCCCCACGACGCGACCTGACGCGTCTCCCCGGCGCCAGAGTCAGTCCCCAGCAACATTTCCAACTTTCGTCTGCCCTCAACACCAAGCCCACGGAAGACTTTCTCATATACACATGCCCACATAACGCCAATATGTTGCGACACGACTTCAACCGGATCGACCCCAAGAGGCGCAATGTCGTCGACCACCGCAAGAAACAGTTTGCTTCCCCTGTCTACAAGGAACTTGAATACCCCCACAGACTCAACTTTTACACCGACGCGCCTACGGCCGACATTACCCTCGAGCAATTCGAACAATGGGCCATTGACCGGCTAAGGGGTGCGTCTGCCAATATTTCCTACATCTCTTACCACCACTAACCAGATCCTCAACCAGTCCTTGCCGAGTTGGAGGCCTGCGCGTTCCGCAACAAATCCCCCCAAGAAGTCGCGAACCATATGAAGCCGATTCTTGACAAGTACCTCCCGCTCGAGTCCAACACCTCGCACTCACCGAAGCTCTTCGCCCAGCGTCAAAAGGATCACTACAGCCACTTTATTCTGCGCCTAGCCTTTGCCCGAACCGAGGACCTCCGCCGCCGCTTCACTCGCGTGGAGACAATGCTTTTCCGCTTGCGATTCAACAGCGACGATATGAGCGAGCGGGCCGCCTTTGTCGGTAGCCTGGATCTCGACTGGTGGGAAGCTGTTACGGATGACGAGAAGCGTGAGTACTCGTCCGAGCTGGCGGCCATGTCGCGCGGTTGGGGCAAGACGGCCGCGACAGAAGACGACACATGGTTCAAGGTTGACTGGGCCCGGGTACCGGAGCTGGTCGAGCAGCGCAAGGTGTTCTTGAAGGCAGGCAAGGCTTTCGTACCAGGGAGAGAACAGGCCAGTATGGTGAACGGAGAGTTCGTTTCGCGGTTGGAGAGACAACTAGAGGTAGGCTCACGAGACGGCCACGGAGTCTGGGTAATACTGACGTTGAACAGCTTACCGCACGCGCTCTTCCCCGACTCGACGAAGACGACCGTCTGACCCCGATCCTCGACCACCTCTCCAAGAACTTCATCACACCAGACAGCTCATACAGCTCAAATACCGGCGCCCCGCCCGGCGCCGAGATCACCGCCCGCAACATTGACAACCTCTCACAACACTTCCCCGCCTGCATGTCGCACCTCCACCGCTCGCTGCGCCGGGATGCTCACCTCAAGCACTTTGGCCGCCTGCAATACTCTCTTTTCCTCAAGGGCATCGGCCTGAACCTCGAAGAGTGCCTCGTCTTCTGGCGGCAGAGCTTCCGCAACATCACAGACGACACATTCAACAAGGAGTATCGCTACAACGTGCGCCACGTGTACGGCGACGTCGGCGGCGACACAAACCGTCGCGGCGGTGGCTACAGCCCGTTCAGCTGTCAGAAGATCCTGACCGAGCACCCGCCCGGCTCGGGCGAGGCCCACGGCTGCCCCTACCGTCACTTCAACCTGGAGAACCTGACCACGTTGATGCAAGGCATGGGTGTGAGCGACCGAGCCACATTGCAGGGCGTCAAGGAGGATAAGGAGAACCAAAAGTTCCATATGGCGTGTAATCGGTACGTCTTAGTGCTCCGTTTCGTTCTCTACCGTTTTGGGCACCATTCACTAACATTTCCCCAGTGTATTCGAGCACTTGCACAAGCAGGAACTTAAAAAGGCAAAGGATGAGGGCGTGTTCACGTCTGCACAACTCGAGACAATCGTCCATCCCAACGAGTACTTTAAGCGCAGCTACCTCTTAAAGAACCTCGACAAGGCGACAGATGTCAAGATGGAGGGGTGAGCGTAGCCAGAGGCCTCATAGTAATAATGTGCCTCGCGACTCGCGGCAGAGTCTCTCACGGCCAGTCACGGCCAGTGGTTCGAGAGTCCTCTCTCGAGGCAGGGACTTAGCTCGAGCAAGCACATAACTAAGCTTTCTGCCACAAGGCTTGTGTTGATAAGCTCGCCGACGGAACATACCTGGGGGCGGGAAGCGGCTGCCTCACTAACGAAGCGTGTGGCTTGATGAAAGAGACGGGTTCCACGGCGGTCTGGACCCTGTTGCCAGCGAAATGCTGCAGCAGAGAGTGTTGGAGGGGGAGGGCGTTGGATAACGATGGCAAATGTCTTTTCGCGAAACTACATTATGGCGATAAATCGGCGTTTATTCTACTTTAATTTTTTGACGAAGGATTGGGCAGGGTTCGCGAACGCGCGGGCGGGAGGGAAACTTGATGTCATGGTTTATGTTCGTTTCTTGCGGAAAGCGTAGTTCGAGGATAGCAGGAAGAAAACAAAGAGTCCATCCGATGTATTCCTCGTCTTTGAGTGAAATGCTTGACACTTCCCAGGTGTCCCGCCGTGTCTCGTTTCAAACACAGACGGTGAAGCAGATGGAGGAAGAAAGCCCAAAGCTGGCCAATGTTTCCGCCTTGATCGGAACCGGAGAGCGTCGAGACTTTGATGAAGCAAGCTCTCCGTCGGGAACACCCCATCGGTCTCGTTCCCATTCCCCTCGTTGGTATCAAGCTCCTCCCTCCCATCTTTTGGCTTTGTCTTTTGCCCTCGGCTCGCTCGGTGACATGACGGGAGTCTGGGGTTTCACGATCACGATCGGACTATACTAGACTCGCGGACCATACCGTGGTGGATTTGCTGGGGTAACAAGAGCGGGAAATGACTAAAATACGGGACCGTTTGTGTTTGGGTTCTGGCTTTCAACTCTTAACAAAGAAAGGTTCTGGCTTTCGGCGTCGGATTGTAACAGAGAGAGGCATACAAAGACCACATAGGTCTAGATCGTGGCCGACTCCGCGGAAGTTCCCCTTCTACACTACCCAAACCAGCACTTTACCTACCTGCAGCGCTGCTTGAAGGAGAAGAAACAAGCCTGTTTGCTACGAGCTGCGAGCTGCGAGTTTAATTGGAATAGCCTTCATGAACCTGGGTAAGGGTAAGTCCTAAAAGAGGGGGCGTGCGTGCGTGCGAGCTGACGGTCTTATCTGTTCCTGTCCGTCCGTCTGTCTGGAAGTGCAGTCATCTAATGGAAGCCCCGGATGCCACGGCACCTCGGGCATCACGAGATGCGGACTTGCTCGATAATCCGTGGCGTCTGGTGACAGTTTTATGGTTTTCTTTGCATCTAGCCAGGGGAGATCGTCACAAATCCCGAAGCAGCTGGCGCGGGGCCGGGTGCTTTTCGTTCGTTCACGCGGCGGCGCTTGCAGGTCGAATCAATCCGATGAGAATTGCCCCTCTTAATTCTCTCCCAGGTTTGTCATTTGCTCGGGGGGGCTTCAGCGATGTGTTTGCGATGACTCTCTATTATTCGCGATGCGCTGTCTACTGGAACGAAACGTGTGATCACCCGCTCGGACTATGGCTGCCCTTTGCCTCGGATCTCCGTCTGGTCTATGGGAAAGGTTTCGTGAGGCCTCCCCCTGCCCTGCAACTGGGTAAAATTCGAGCCAGGTGGACGAGACCAGACTCCAGAGTCCGGGCTGGAGCTGGAGCTGTGGCGATAGGGCTGCCACGGCTTTTGGGGGAGGTGAAATTCTGTCTGGAGACCATTTGATGAGGAACTAGACATGACTCTCGATGACATTCCGCTGCAAGTTGGTCCTGGACTCCTGGTGCAACCTCAGAGTCCAACTCAGTAACGCAGCATTGAAACAGAGTTTCTGCTTTGCATGTGGACCGGTCCAGAACGCTTCCCCCGACCTCTGGCCCCTGGTCTGGCCGTGGAGCGGTCTAGACCACCTCTCTTTCTGTCTGTCTGTCTGTCTGTCTGCCTGTCTGTCTCCCCTCCAGGCTCAACCCTCGTCAAACACCCTGGACTTGCGAACCGTTACACGGGAACAGGAGCTTGTCTGGACTGGGGGGATGAGCTTGGTTGCTGGCTTCCTGCCAGGGCTGTAAACTCGCTCCTCCGGGGTCCGGAACGCGAAAGATGCGCTCGGAAACCGGTTACTACTGTTTATTCTGCCTGTCGAGCCAAGGGGCCCTGGGCGTGGAGTGAAAGGCCGGGTTTTGACGGCGAGGAGTGTGAGCATGGCAACTCTAGAGAGGTTCATCCGCCCCATCTGAAGGCTGAAGCCGACGAGATTCCAGACTCCTCATGTTCGCGATGCCGAGGGAGGGGTCTCGAATTCAAGGTCGGGCTCATCTTTTTAATCCCTCCTGATTTCTTCGCCGATTCTCCACCATGACCTCGACGTGGAGATCGAGCTGAAGCGTGCATTGGCAAATCTCAGTTGAGGCCAGCTAAGCAGTCGAACAAAAAGGAAACAGCCCGAACGCGGCTCTGCTCTCCTGCTGCTCTGTGCCAACGACAACAGTTCTTTGCGGGGGGGGGGAGTAAGTGCTCTGTGTGTGTCTGCGCTCGACAGAGATCTAGACCTGGTGGTGTATCTCTAGAAGCTATTCACAATGTCGGGGAAACGGACGGACGTGTGTTGCTTGACGGTTTTGCACTATTTCGTATGCAATAACCGATAACACGCCTACTCCCCATCGTGGCATCGTGGGGTGCAGACCAAAAAAACATCGTGGCCTTGGTTTTTTGTCTCCCTCCCCCCCCCCTCCCCCTAATCAAATTTCGTACCAATCTTTTTTGGACTCCGTTTTCTTGGGACCCTACCTTGCCTCGGACGGGGACTAGGGCGTGTGCGTTTCCATGAAAGCGCCGCGCCGCAACACACAAAAAAAAGGGCTGGACTGCACCAGAACGAAATCAGAACCAGGCACAAGCTGAGAAAAACCAGGGAAAACGGAACCCCTCTCCTCGAATTGGGCGAACGGTTCACTCATGCACAATGAGGTCAGTCGTTCCCTCAAAGTCTCACCCCCCCAGCGGCTAGGCCCGTCTCGACCTCTCTCACTCACCTCACCCACCCGCCTCCCGGCCATGGGGACATGGTCCTTAGAGAGGGGCCGTAACGTACCCCCTTCCGTTCGGTCTGGATCTGGCCCCTTTCCTTTCCTCACGGAACCCAACTTTGCGAGCTTCTTCAACTTCCGAGGTTGACGTTGACGGTCGATCAAAACGCTAGAGGGGCCGTACACTATGTACTGGCAAGCTGCATACATTACATTAGTCTCGGACGATGAGATGAGTGCATCTGCTCACCACAACCCGGATTTCTTCCCCAGATGGGTTGGCGTCACACCACGTATGATGACCCCGGAAAAGAAGAATCAAGGATCTAAGGAAAGCATCAGGGTCCCTTTCATTCTAGACCTCTAACTCTCCAAACAGTCTATAGACAAGACCCCTTGTTACTCCGGGGCGACGATGCAGAGGAAGGCGGAGGAGTGTGCTGCGCGACGGTAACCCATACCATCTCGAGATGAGAGACCATTCTGTTCTGAGAAAAACTATGCGGTGAGAAAATGCACACACCCCATCCTCTTCACCCGCTCTATGAAGGTTGTATACCATCAGTTACCCTGCGTCGTAAGACCCTTTGGACCCCATCGACCCTTCAAAAAACCCATAAGCCCCTAATTGCTGCGAGAACTGCACCACCTTTGCCCTACCCTACCCTAGTGCATCGCGGCCTGGACTAAACGGGCGCATAACACCAAATGTCTTGGAATAGCAACGCCCAGTGATGTCGGCTACGCGTCTGTGTGATTTGCCTATGACGCCAGACCGGGACACCGGGTGACGAAATCCCGCGTTTGTTTGGTGTTATAGTGTCTCTCAAGTTTATTCGGTGGTTCCCCCTCCACCCCCTGGTCACTCTCGGATTTGGGGCACGTCAGCGTGCCGGTTGGTTGGTTTGACACTTCGGAATGGTGGGAGGAGGAAGGCTGAACAAGACAGGGATATGGTTTCGAAGTTGGGTGTCAGGTGTGTGCAGCGGTGTAAGAGCAGAAACAGCTTTGAGAAGTTGGGAATAGTTGCATTTCGCTGGGAGAGAAGATCATCGCACAACATTATGAAGCACCGCAGAGTTTGTCTCAACCCATCGCCCATCGCCCTCCGCCATAGCGATTTGCAGCGCGGGGTTATGCCCAAGAATGACCAAAGCATCACGGCCCATTCTTAGCCTTGGGCTTTTCTTGGGCAACGTCCATGGCACGAACTTGCTTGGTAAGAGATGCAGCAGAAGATCGACTTCAGAAAATGCAGTCCTCTGGCCTGTGACAAATCTGTTGCCGTGAACCCGACCGAGTGGGTTGACTTGTCCTCGGGCACAAGCTTGCGCTGCGGCGCCTCCCTAGACACGCATGACGCGCACTTAGTGCCCAGCCCGCGCGGCCTAGTACAGTGGAATCGTAACACTCAAGAGAGACACCCGACACCGAGACGTGAAGCTATTCGCGTCGCGAGGTCACCATCTCTAGCTTACCCGTCTCATCCGCACTGGTTCAACCAGCATGCCGGTACACGCAGGCACTGCTTCGCAAATACTAGATACTAAGGTATCCGTAATTCCCAACTAAACCCCCTCGGCCGTCGTCATTCGGTAGCCCACTGACCCTGTTAGTCGCGAACCAAGGGGTCTCTTTCTCATCCCTAGCATGAACCAACAACGATTGTGCAGCGCCAGCATTGACGACGACGATACCTAACGAACGGCGTCACGGAATTCCTGAGGCTCACGTTCAAAGCCATCCGAGTTGCGACGCCGAGACCCCGGGTGGCCGAGGCTGTTCCAGATCGGCGGAGTTAAGCTAGCAATGAGGGTTTCGGGGAGCCAAGTGGAGTTGGGAATGCGATGGCGAACACGACAACGCGAATGCCGAGAGAAAAAGATCATGCTGCGGACTCGGCCTGCGGTTTCTCTCGTCGGCGACGGATGGATTGCCGTGTTCGGCAAGTTAGTCATCGCGCTTTATTGGGAGGCTTCACTCACCTCAGCAGAACCTAAGCAATAAGCTTCGGAGCCTCGGAGTTTTCTTGGCAATCGCTTTCACAGAGATACGGATACGTGATAGGTGCAACGAACAATACGGCACGGCCTCCCTTCCTTGATGGTGTTCCGGGAGCTAACGATCGAGACTGATATGATGCGGTTAGGGACAGGCCGAGGGAACAGTAGGACCACCACTCTAAATCACCGGATGAAAGTTGTCTCTTGGCAGTGAAGTAAACGATGCCATCACCGTTTCTGCGCTTACGTATGCATACTCTGGACGACGCGGATGAGAACCCCGGAGCCGATCACCCCTCCGTCCCGCGCTATTGGCTTGCGAACTAAGAGTAGACTTGACATCATTCTTGCGGCGTGCCTACGAGATGCCCCGCCGACCGCTGCTAGAGTCTAGATCTATGGTGCACTAAACAGACAACTCTGCAACACCTCGTCGTAGTGGTGATGGGGGTGCGTTTTTCCTATAATCTTGGTCCACCTGAATCTGGCCAAGACGTGATTCCACAAGTTAAGGGATTGGCATTCGCAAGCGCAACTAACGAAACATGACAAGAACCCCTGAAGCGAGGTTGCAAAAAGAAGGAATAAGGATCCCAAGAAATGCACGAGCAAAGTCGAACATCAGGGCAGAACCACGATTCTAGGTAGTATGCCATGCATCCCCATGAGTCGGGATTCGATTATCTACAACATGATGACATGCCCCTTCCCCACTCCCACACAATTTCCGTTATCATCATCCGGCACGGTAACGACTTCCCCGTGAACGGTAGCCGTTCCCGCCCCCGGTGGGATTAATGTTTTGACGGGGAGACCACTGGCTACCGTATCCGATGCCATGTGCCGGCACGGGGAACGGCAACGGACACTGGGGAACGAGCAACGGCGAAGCGGTGCCGTGACCTTGACTCGTGCGAGATTGCAAGACGGTTGGTGAGCGACATTCTGACCCTGACACTGCCGTGGTCCGTGGAGAAAACCTTGAAGAATTGCGTGGACAGGTGGGAACGGTCAATCGCAATGTGACAGGTTGTCCAATCTATCCGTACGGTTTTTTTTATTGCGGTAAGTGGAGTTACCCCGGCATGGTTCCGAATAGCATCATCATCCGCGAAGCCAAGACAAGGAGAAAACATGCAGACGCACGACTTGTCTCCACGGATTCAGATACCACCAGGGATCATTTTCTCTCTCAACCTCTCAAACTCCCTCGCTTAACGGATTTGTTGAAACAAGACGTATCCATCAAACCCACAGGTCAAAGAGTTCGAAAGCCCGCATCTTCAATCCCCACAATCGACGAAATTGCAGTTCAACGTCTTTCTTGAATCCTGGAGAAAGCATCTTACGATGAGGAGCATGGCCCCAACATCAGACCACCCAGCTGTCAAACGCTGCATGTGTGCGGCGCGGGTTCGCTGGGGATGCTGGAGATTTGCTTGGATCGTTCCGTCATGTCCGCTCCGTGGCAGCCGGAGCCGGTTTCTCGCGAGGATACCTTAGCCCAGGCGCCCTAGGAGACCACTCATGAAGCGGCTTTCGGATTGTAAAGGACGACCCCGTGTGTGTGATGGTATTGATGACGATGATGTATCACATCAGACGATTAAGTCGATTCGAGCATATCGTACCAGAAATCCGGAAACGGAATGTGTGATGAGATGGAAATTGCCTTGGTATCAGTGCCCAGACAGATGCACAGATACAGATGTGTACGGGGCAGATGCGCAGATGCAAGGCCAAGAATTTATGATATAGGAGCGTTATGAACCGTTATTCGAATGCAAATGTGCGGCCGTTATAGACAGATTACGGTTGTCAATGTGATATCGAAAACGAGGAAATCAAAATGGGGTATATTCTCGTTATTGCATCTTTTCACATCTCGAACGGTGCAATGGGTTAATTGAGTCCGTTATTTCGCACAAAAAACGGATCAAGCTGGCCTGAGCTCCGTCATTGATGCCGTTCATGATGTTTGCTCGCCAGGCACAAAAGCGTCGCGGAGGGGAGGGTAGGAAAGGGTGTGCCACCAACGTCAGAGGGGGGGTGCGTGGACGGGGTGCGTCCAGTCCGTTTGCGACGTGAGATTTGTGGGACGTACTGAGTAGACGGAGGCTGGATGGTCAATGGCTGCCAAACTTGGGACGGCTGCCCGAGCCGAACGGTGACAGCTCACTTCCCTTCCTTTCTCTCCGTGGTGTGTTGGATGCCAATGACGACGACGCTGAGCCGTATGAGCCAAATGGGATCACTCCTAAGGATGTATTGCATCCCGTCGCTAGAGATGCAGCGGTAGGCGAAAGCCACGATAACCACATCATCTGCAGACTGCAAGCCACCGTGATAGACGCAAGGCTATGGTAGCTTCCGTCCGGAGGTTCCGTCCTACTTTTACCCGCACCGTTCTTCCGGCCCCTTCTTCCTGCCGTAAATCTTCCGTCTCAAGGCCACGTCCGAAGCCACGCAAAAAACACAAAGTGGACGGCGCAGCCGGCATATGCGAGACCCGGATCTACCTTATGCACCGGGGGTTGCTTGCCCTTGGTGGTGGTTGTTTGGCAGGACTGCAGGACTCACCGGAACAGCCTCGATTCCTGTATGCAGGCCCTTGCGGGAAAAAAAAAGCAGTAGTTTGTTTCTTCACACAGCCTCAATGTCTCCCCGCCCGACTGTACGAATGTTCCGTACGGGAAGCCGTGCGTGTCTTGGATTTCTCCGTTCAACTCAGAAGAAGGACAGGGAGATGAGCAGGGGAGGGTCTTACTGGCCTCACTTTTGACCTGCAAAAAGACCCAATTGTCTCACGAAGAAGGAAACACCTAACCCAACAAGCTCATAATCGGGCTGACATCAAAAAGCGACCCTGGGCAGCATCACCGCCCTCTGCGGCGTGCATTTCCCCTGTGACACCAAATCACCACAAACAAACACTTTGCCGGGTGTCTACCCTCTTGAATGCAATTGAACCCTCAATTCAAGCTCATACCTCGGTGCTCCGTAAAAGAATAGCCAGGTATGTAGAACAGGGCTGGCAGGAGAGGCTATTGGTATCTCAGCTGCTCAGCACCCCCGACTCAGCTGGTATGGTTATCAAACCAATCTTCTTCCCCACATGATTCGAACACGCCCGTATCCTGTGCATTTTTATGATGATCATTTCCCTCCTCTGCCAGAGTTTGAACGCTATCTTGCGGAAATCTCACCCCCAAGTGCCCCAAATATTGATCAGGGGATCTTATCCTGTCGCGCAGCTTGGCACATATTTGCACTCAACCTACAAGGCGAGAAAAGATGATGGGGCGCGCAGAAGGAAACATGAGAAGTGAGGCTCCGGCAAGTCGGAACGAATATCAACCTGCACGCCTTGACGAAGAGTTCCAAGGAAACCCCAGATGGTGGTCCCCTTCCTCGGAATGGCCCCAAATTTAGCAACACCAGATGCAAGCAATCATGTAATCTCCATACGAAGCTCCTCACATATCACCAACAATCCATTTTACGGAGTCGTTCGCTTGCTTTCTTTACAGCACAGGCCAGGACCCCGAATAAATCTCGTAAGCTGGGGGCCCTGCGGCCTGCGGCCTGCCATACTTCGCTCCCTTAGTGTCGATCATTTGTGCCCATCTATCTCAAACCAGGACAGGATCCCCGTCTCCAGAATTTAGAGCCGAGTCAAGAAACTCTACTCTATTACCACACTCTCTCACTGTGGGTGATGGTTGCATTCTATCTTGGTCGTATCATGCTGCCGCGCAAGTACGACTCGCCGAACCGTGCTTTTTTTGGGAGCCTTCTCTCATTTCCAAATGCCACTCAACCCCACCATCCTCTCTGTCAGCCCCAATTTCATCGACACCTTACAGAGTGTGAAGCCCTGGATCCGTATGAACGGAACCACGGATAATAAGTTGCTACAGTCCCTTGCCCACCTTGTATCTAGCCTTCCCCCGCTAGAGAAGGAGCCCTATCTGCAAAATAAATCGCGCTGGCGGCTGATCGAGGCGAACGGGAGGAGACTTGGGATATGGTGATATTCGCCACGCGAAACATATCCCCATATTCCCGATCGACAGAAATGTCTCCTTCTGCCAACTTCCAAGTACTTAGTCTAAGAGCAACGAGGCCTCCCTCTTTGCAAAGTTGCCCTCTTTTCGTCCGTTTGCAGACAATTCGACTGCCGTACCAAGTAAGAACCATCACCATGCTCCCACTTCGCGCGCAACCCTACTCCATGTCGAGCTGAGAAGGTGTCCTACGGTCCTACCAGTCTCAGAGCTGAAGACAACCTTACGAGACGGGTGATAATCACACCTTAACGGAGCTGACCGTCCTGCCATGACCATCATACATGGAGGCGATGGTAGGAGCGTCACTCTTTTCCCCACGAAAGCTGCAACCAAGACCCCTTCTTCGGTACTATAGCCGCATGCACGTCGTTATCATAAGAGGCTCCCCTTTATCATAGCCGGCGTCTGTTAATGGTGGGAGAGGGACCCAGGCGGTTGAGACGAGCGAGAGATACCGCGCTCGCGCGGCTCAAGGGGAGGAGCCCACCATCCTGACGCCGGAATTTGGCGAGACGAGCGTGGATGATCTACCAATGCCAATGCCAATGCCACGGTACGACACCGTAGTAAATCCCAAAGTCTGAGCTTTCCGTGGACATGGACTATCAAACGCTCAGCTTTCCTTTCTTCGTGAACCTGTCCCCCCGTCGGAGTCGTCGCAGCCCCAATCCATGCCACCTCGCTCGACATCCGCAGTTCATCCACCCTTTTGGCACCCTTTTCCCAGCTCCATCCCGGCCGCAGCGTGCTGCGTGTACCCAAAAGAAGAGAGAAAGGCCAACCTGCGCGGTAGATCTTTCGTGTCATGTCACCCCAAGAGCTATGATTATCGTTCCCCTTGCTGCGCTCTTCCTGACCTTGCCCATGCCCCCCCTCCTCCTCCTTCGCGTCAGCGCCAGCGCGGTTTCTGATACATTTTACATGCTAAGCGAAGGCCCCTACCTCGATGTCACGGACATGCGCGAGGCCATTCAAGAGGGGGGGCTGAGAGGTTGTGATCTGCGTCTGCGCTATACGTGCGCAGTATGCGAGCGCGGCTCTACGATTCGATTGTATGACTGGTTTCGCACAACTCTATACGGTCAAGTTGCAGGAAAAGTTGGTGATTGATGGTTTGGTGGTTGTTTACCTGACCTGCCATCCGGTCTCATGCAGATGGCCTTTGCATCTTTCACAGCCACGGTCAACTCTACTTGTCCCCATGCATACATGTACGTTCAGTCTAGAAGTGGTGGTAAGCAACCTCAACGCCCCAAAGCAGAATAAACCGTTCGCCGTAACGGGATACCCTCCTGCATCTGAGCACACCATCTCCCCGAAACCCCCAAAAGCCGTCCCTTCCCAAAAGAGACTCGCAAGGTTACCGATTCGTTGAGAATCAGGGACCGAAGAAATTCTAGAGTGGTCAACTTCCTGTTTTCCGTGCAGATGTGCAGATCGCTTCCCCCTCCAGTATTGATTCATGAGCCCAAAGTATTGGTCGCGACAAGATGCGCACGCCAAACACGAACCGGACGGTAGGGACCAGAGGCGGCTGCACTTCGCCTCTATCCCCCACACCCCAGATGCAAGATGCGGGCAATATTTAGAAACACAGACGCTACAGAAGAGACTGGAATGCGGAGGTGCAAAAGGTCGTTGTAACGTAACGTGACAGCGAGCTGGAATCATTGAAGTGGCATCGAACAGCATAATGACACAATTGCATCATTAGGTAGGTATCTGGTTACGCTGTCTTACCAAGACATGCAATGAGACTCGTTTTCGCAGGGGGGATGCTTCCGTTTTGACCTTACGAAATGAACTGTTGAGACTTGTGGCCGCGGGACGTTGATGACCCGCGGAAGCGAGAGACAGGAAATCTAAGACCAAAGCCAAGAGAGCAAAAGACACGGATTGTCCGGAGGCCAACGAAACATTTCGTCTCAACTTTTTCCTGGTGTGTCTCTCTGACCATGTGTCCCTCTGCGGCTCTGGGTCTTTCTCCCTCCGTCGCGGGTCAACAATCTCTCCCTAGATCCGGACTCGATTCCGATCGCCGACATGTCACACACCAGACAGCTGACAGTCCGCCATTTGAAGCCCGCCGCCCATCAGGCGCGTGTTTCAGAGGAGGGCGAGGAAGAGAGAGTACGGAACACGGCCGACAGGCTTTACCCTGATGCTAACTTTTCTCGCACTTTTCTTAACCTTTTTGTTTTCTTTGGGTGGTTCGCCCGTGGAACCGGCGGGATATGGAAAAAAAATTTATGTATGGATACTGTACGCTTTTTAACTCTTTCCGTAGTTCGCCAAGCTTTGATTTTTATCTAGTATGCTTTTCGCATGGACTGATTCCAAAAAGTCCGTCCCACGGGATATGGAATATCTGTTGTGAAAATGGCTGTATCGGCTGGCCGGCGGGCGGGCGAGTGGGCGGGCCGTCGGTCGGTCGGTTCAGTCTTTTACCGCTAGGCGCTTGAAGCCCTTTCGTAGACATAAGTTCGTCCAACACGGGGCGGACGAGGTTGCCAAGATTGCGAGGTTTATCGCGAGAGAAATTAGCAGACTATGGAGTCTTCCGTATCCGTACATCGATTGCATCGGGCCCCATCAACAACAAATCCCCGGAACTTTTCCGATTATTGTTGTTTGTTTTGGGCATAATCGAGTCAAGGGTCCAAATGCATTGAATTCAAAGCATGCCAGGGTTGCGAAGGCTCGGGAACAAGATCTCGAGCCTATCTGACCCGGATATACGACTACGGTGATGATTAAATGATTATTCACAAGGGTGAAGAGGCTATAGTGTTTGCGAATTGCTTCATTTGATTGTTCTTGGTTATGTTTCATGATATTTCTGTGAAAGAGTCTGGTATCCGCCTGATAAAATTGCTAAATCACCGTTTGTCTTTTCGCCAAGTGATGCCCCAAGGGTATTGTGGTAGTAGTATCCTGTACACTTTCCTCCTCGTACTTTTCCACGTAAAAAACAATTCCGCTAATGATGCTATTCCAATTCCGCGCTCATCAAAAAATCCGAAAGAGCCCATACGCCCTAGCCCCGCAAGGACAGACTGCAACATAAAAAAGAAGTGAAGAAAAAATAGCAGCAAACAAAATATTGACTTCCCCATGCGCGGCGACGTCAGAGGCGCCCACCAAGCAGGGACGGAGTCGACTGCGGAGAAGGAAATGGTCATGATTGGGCGGGATTGAAAAAAAACCGCGCCATCTCGGTAGTGCAGAGTTCGTGGTCATCAAAGAAAGCCCCCTCACGAGGACCCCTATGATTCTCCAATGACGTCCGCATCGTCGACTCGTGTGCCCCTCCCTCTGTGGAACGTATTGGTTTGTGTATCCTCCCCCAAACTTCGCAAAGCGCGCTAAAGTTGGTGGTGCATCTGCAGTTGCGAATAGCAGCGCCAACGACTATTTTCCAGGGTTTCGGGGTAGAACCATCATCATGCGCGATGATGTCTTTCCCCTTCCCCTTCCCCCTTTGGTAGGGAGTTGAGAGAGGGGAGACCCTGAAGTGAAAAATAGTCGCTACACTAAGCGCCGGCAATTGAACCAGCGGAGCGAAGCCAAAGGGTCGAAGGAGGAAAAAAAAAAGCCGTGGCATCTTTCTTCTTTCCGACCCGCAGTCTCCCTCGTATCCGAGAGGCTTTTTCGCTCTCAGGCACCGAGAGAGAAGAAAAGCGGGAGCCGAGGCAGGCGCAGCGGCCTGTGCGCTGGCGTTGAGCGGAAGGCCGCAAACAGCGCACAAGAAAGGTACATGAAACTGCTGCCTGTTCGCCCAGCGTTGCCGAGTCTCTTTTTTTCCTCGTCGTTGTGAGTGAGAATGTGGGGGTGTCCAAGCTCCAATAGCCGGTTGCGGAAATGCCAAGGCCCGAATGTCAGCCAATCCCGCGCCCCGAAGAGGGGAAAAGCGGAGACATGGGACTTCGTGCAGCCAATGGGAGGCGCCGAGCTGGTAGATGACTAACCCTGAGACCTTTTGCAGGAAGGAAAAGGTACAGGTGCATCCCTCCATCCATCCATGTGGTCGGAAGAATTGTAGAAGGAAAAAGCCAAGATGCGTGGAAGAAAGGCGTTCGATGGAATAAGTTCTCGACCGGACTCAGCCACTGGGTCGGGCGAGGAGGTATCCATAAGCATCGTAGCTGTCAATCAGGTCAGATCATGTCAGACCCGATGGATGACTGACGGCTGATGAGATGTGGAGACCGGAAGACCCCGTCGGCGCCGACTCGGCACGGCTGTCGACAACTGTGGAAAATGGATGTTGAACGACAAGTAGTCTACGCGTGCATGTGCTTGTGTGCCGTGTTGACATCTTTCTGACGTTGCGTGGTATTGGCTAATGCTGCTGTAGCAATGTGCCGTCGTTCATGTCCATTGGAGGCCCGTGTGGGTTGTTTCAACCTCGACGGGGTGACCATGTGACCGAGTCGAAGCGAAGTCGAGAAGAATCCAAAGGAGAATGACCCGCTTTTTCGAATGCTCTCTTTTAGTCTCAAAGAGTAGAAGTGAAGATAGAAAAAAAAATTGTCGATCAGACCGCGGAGTTTATTGGTAAACTCAGACGCGGTCTGGGGAATCGCCGACCTGTGGTGCTGATCCTTGGTGAAGGAATGAGGTCTCACTCTCAGGGAGACATGGTCAGACATGACTGTGTCTGTCGGGCCCCTGGACGACTGAGTGAGATCCCAGGTCATAACCGAGCCGAGCTGTGCTCTTGCTGTGGTGCCTGGCATGCAGTTGTCCTCCGCATACGCAGTGACCTCCGTCAAGTCGATGAGGTTGGCCATCGTCGGCTATTGTTGGAGTAGTGTCCGTTGAGTTGCAGACTACGTTTTGCTGCAGTTGGTTGGAATAAAGAAGATAGTGCCGGGTCCGTCGTATACTGATCCCGTCACCCCCAAGTTACATCCCGACCCCATGGACCACTCATTTGTAGCCGACCATCTTGGCGCAGCGTTCGCAGTAGTAGAGGTTGTGAGCGATGCGGACCATTCCCGTTGAGCTGGAGTCGTCGGTGGAGGTGGCCTCGACGGACCTCGCGCAGCGCAGGCAGCGAAGGACCTCGACAGAAGCCACGGGTCTGGAGATAGAGTCCATGCTGTGTCTGTAGGATGAGGATGCTGAGGAGAGGTCGGAGTCGGAGGATGACGAGGAGCTGTAGTGGATCTTGGAGGGGCGCGAGCTCGTCGAAGGCATGGTGGTGGTTGTTGGTGTTGATATTCTATGGTATCGTAGTAGGTTGTCCTTGTTGGTACTGTATTGGTGACAGTGCTGATGTTGGGTTGCCTTTGGTGTATTATCCCAGGTCGTTGTATGTTAGAAGTTGGAGTTGTATTGCAAGTGCAGGAGTTGGTAGGGAGAGTGAGGTCTCGAGATGTGGGCGTGGGAAGGCTTGATGATATATAATGAAGAGTAACTGTGGGAGGACGAGCAGTGTGGTGTCCAAGGGGGGGGGGGTATGCGGCAGGGGTGAGGGGTTAAGAAAAGAAATAAGGAGGATAAAAGCGAACACCAGGGTGTAATCTGTGAGTCTGGCAGGGGGGTGGGTGTGTGAAGGCCCCCGGGAGAAGAGGGGTGTGCGAGTTGTGTGTGCTTGTGAGTGAGTGTGTGTGTGGGATTGACGAGAGAACGGATGGTGATGGCAGGCCCAGCGTAATAATGCAAGCTTGCTTGGAAATGTGCAAGGCGCGACGGCCTATGGAACTGTCGGCAAGAAGGGAGACGGCTAACGGTCGCTCACTCACACTCTGTTGTCCGACAGAGCCGGGCTTGAGCAGTTTGTGCTTGGAGCAGTGAGTGGTGGGTGATGCGCCCAGCAGGACAAGGATGGCGTGGTGTAGCTCTTTCGCTCGCTCTCACAAAAAGTCAGAAGGGCAGGGGGGCGTGTAAAGTCAGGCACAAGACAAGACTGCTGAGAGTGAAGCCAAGCCCCAGCCAAGCCGAGGGAGACAGACGTGAGAGACTGTGAGAGAGGAGAGAGCGAGGGAGAACGGAGAGAGGGAGAAAAAGGACGTGACGGTGTTCTGACGGGCGGATGCGAGATGGTGTGTGTGGACCGTCAAAGTGACGGTTCGGAGACTGGCGAGACGGTCGATGCCGATTTGGAGACGGCGTGGTGTTTACGGATGGGTGTGAGTCCCGTAAAGGGCCTGCATCAGCGTTTGCTTGGTCGATTAAGACTGGGGTGTGGAGTTAGTTCCATTCATAACGGATACAGACGATGCATATGCACTATATGCGACAAAAGGTGATAACGGAGCAGATGGAGAGTCTCACGGAAATATTTGCTCCAACGAGGCGCCGTCCGTCCAACGGAGGAGGGGCGTGTGCAGCTGAACGGCAAACGCAAACTGGAGTCCTGGGCTGGGGTCGTCGTTCGATTGGGCAGATATCGGGAGAGCGTTGGCTGCAATATCTGAGTCGTAATAGCTTCCCGTCTTTCTTCCTTTGGGCAGTACTGAGGCCGAAATGCGCGGTTTGTACTCGACAAGCCCTAGGGTACGGAGTAGTGTGACTCTTATTTCTTTCTGTTTGAGGCCTGCCTGGATGAAATGTATTGGTGAATTGAGGCCTGCTCGCTCGCTTCGCACAACGTAAGCGCCGGTACTGGAATCCTCGGGGATTTTGTGTAGGCGGTATTGATTCAATGTGGGTTTTTCGATGACTTGTCAAATTGAACCCTTTATTGTTGATCAGGTAACAATAGGACAACACGTCGGTGACCGGGCGGTATGACTCTTCCAGACCGGCGGATAGAGTTTCAATGCAAATGAACAACGAACCAGTCGAATGTTGCAAAAATTGTCTGCTCAAAGACTTTTTGTGAGAAAGGAAGAATCAGTAGTGTTTGTTTACCGGTGAAGACAAACATTCAAGGGGTTGCGTCTTCCTTCGCGGCACGGAGATTGATGGGGAACGTCGGCACTTTTAACACATCTCGCATGGGTTGGATTGGAAAGATGGAGCTCTGAAATTCAGGGTCCAAACCAAAGGAGAATTAAAAACAGAAAAAAAAAAGTGATTGATCAGACTTCTAGACCTCCTCACTCTTGCTCCATCGTTTCCCGAATGCGCTCTCCCTGGGTGCAACTATTTTCCCCATGTTGCGTTGCGCATATCTGGGTCCCGCGTTGGCATGTTTGTGCTTGATCGAAAGGACGATGAATGTCCTACCATCGTCGATGCTATCACCCGGGGATCCCTATGTTCTAACAACTGCCCCCTCAAGACCCCCTCTTCCTCAGCCTCTCGGGCGATACCAGGCAGGGCAGGTCATCAGTCCGAGACGCTGGTCAAAAGGTGGCTTTGATTGCGCATCTCGATTACAGGACGGGTTGTGGAGGGTGTGGCGGAGAAGCGACATAAAACGGCGGGGGAAGCTATGAACCCGTAGCGCCGAGTGTCAGTACGGATAGAGCAACGTGGCGTGGATTTGTGTGTGTGTATACGTGTGTCCGTTCATCCTTAGGTTCTCACCAAAAGGCTGATCCTGACTGTTTGATGGGCGGTCATGAACTTGAAGCCGGCTGTATTACGTGGAGATGTAGGCGTCTCATAGGGCGACCGCGCGGGGCCCGTGGATTGTGGGTGGTACACACGTTTACATTCACACTCTCGATCTTACACACACACATTGACGGACTTGGCTTGAATCACGGGAGGTGGAGGTTGTCAATGGTGGGTAAGAATGAATAGGAGTCTATTGTGTATGTTGGAGATTTGGCAAAAGTAGCGCAAAGTTTCATGTTTCGAGATGCCGCCCGCCCACAGCCTAATGGAGATTTTCTCAATGTTCCTGAGGGGGCGTCTTGATCAAAATCTCCGAGCCACCGATGAATACCACCCATCGTCAGGCCACCTCAATGTTCAATCGCCGTTTTCAACACATCTTGAGCTGTGCTGTCCCAGCTGAATATCAGGGGACCTACGATCAAAAGAGCCAAGTCCCAACGACGGGGGCCACCCCAGATCGACAAAACGGAGCCCCGAACCGTGGAGCACTGGAGCGGCATTGGAACACTACCGTCTCGTTCCTTCTGGAGCCTTCAATAATCCTTTGATTAGAAAATAATCCGCACTTCGTTTTGCTCAGACTCTTAGAGGCAGCCCGCAAGTCCCTCTCCACGGTTTTGGATTGATAATTCGCTCGTGGCAGCCGTCGTGCTAGATGCTCATGTTGCATGATCCTCACGGGAAGCCGTTGTAAATCTCCCTCTCCCTTGCGTATGTAATTTACGCCATCACTGCCATTGCCAACTAAGTGGAGAAAATGGCACCTCCCAAGGCTCCTCTATCTCTCTCAACGACACGCCATGGCGCACGGTTTGATGCGTTGCCTTTGCGCCTCTTTCTCTTTGGCTTGGGCTTGGCCCTGGTGATAAGATGGGCATGGCATGCTTGCTCTGCTGAGAGCGAGCGAGCCTGTCGAAAGCGAAGAGAGCGAAAAGGGCATCCACTTGGCGGGAACGTCCTCAAACTTAGAGGGGCCTTGGGACGGACGGAGGGCCCGAACCATGCGATTTCCGTGTAAGGAATTGCATGTTGTCGCAAACAAAAGCCCAGCGAGAGCGCCATTTACCTATTCGCTTTTGATCCAAGGGGTCCTCAAGGCGGCCCTTGCGGCCCCTCTGACTCTAAGCTGGTGATCAATATCGACTAGGTCTATCCCTTCCCCGGGACTTGGGTTTTCCTCTACGGACCCAGAGTGCGGTACTGTATTTTGCAGCGGTCCAAAGCAAAAGAGAGAGGCACCTAAAAGTTAGTTAGAGCTGCGGTTGCTGTCTCTTCGCATGTGCACTCTCTATGCTCTACCTTGCGGGCTTCGGATTCACGCTCAACTCCTCCATCCTTGTCAGCCTACAAAGTACCCTACTTGCTTACCTCGTGCGCCCCCCTCCCTCTTGCCGAGGGCTGTGTATGTCAAAAAGGTGTCAGCCTGAAGTTCGGGGTCCTAGTTGCCCGTTCGAATCCATATCCCGGCGTCCCGGAGGAGGGGGGCGCAAGACCACTCGGCGACCAGCCTCAACGCTCTACGGCACCAACGGCACCAACGGGGACGGCACCACGACGGAGCCAACGGCCACTCCTGATTGGCGTGTCTGCGTCCCGTTTTTGGTCGGCGGGATCCGGGGTCGGGAGGAATCTGTTTGGCGTATACAGCCTGTTTACGTGAGAATTGGGCCCTTCCCGACGGAGGTATGGGCGAACAGTGCATACTACAGGAGAACGCGACAACCCAAATATAGGCCGTATGGAGAATTTTTCAGACATATTGAAGAGTATGCGTATGCTTCTGTGCTGTATGAAACGTGATGGGCTGAGTTGGTTGTTCCACTCAAATTCGCTTTGCTTGGGGAGAGCTATTTTCTGCCCATTTTGTTTGTTTCTGTTACTATTCCTAACATTTGAGTATCACAAGTAAAGCTCGTGCTATTGAAACTGCAATACTTTGGTGGAAAGGTTGGAAATTTGTTTATTTGGAGAAAAACGAGTCAAAGAGAAACACTCTGTTCGATGAATGTGAAAAACTTAACCGCCGCTGCGGGTGCAGGACAAAGGCTGTCGTTGGATGCAATCAATTCCCATCATGGGCAAAAAAGCAACGCGGCAGCGGTTCACTCTTTTTTCTGCGACGGGGGAGCCTTACGAGCCTACGGCGCAGGCATTGATGGGATTCCGCCGAGATGATTTCCGCAGCGTTCGGGGAGATGTCTGACCAATAAACCCGCCTGCGCACCCACGAACCCAAAATAAGGGGGGAGACACTGGGCAACTCTATTTTGTTGGCCAAGAAAAGTCCGCAAAAGGGTGTCACGGTGTCTAAGAGTCTAGACCTTCTCTTGAGACTTCTGTTGACCAGGCAGAACGGACTCACGGAGGCAGTGAGAAGGAGGGTGATAAACTCTCAGTTTCTGTCTCTCTCCATCCCCAGTGTCACTTGACTTGATTAGAGGATGAGCCCTGTCCTGTCCTTTGAGATATTGTCACACGACCACGGGCTTTGCAATTTCAGCCTTTTTGCCCTTTGCGCGCAAAAGTGTATGTGTGCGTGGCTCTTACCATGGTTCAGACTTCCCGCCATGGCATTTTCAATTTCCAACCCATCCCCTTCTGTTGTCAAAGCATCGCAGTTCCTGTTAGACGCCAAAGTCTATTTACCCCTCTGTAGAATCACAGAAGCTCTTAGCAACCAATCCTTACTTGGTAATCTTCCTCTCCGCTTCTCAGACCACTTTTACCTTTCTGTGACCAAAAATTATTAATCTTGGCTCTCCAAGACTTGCCATCTGTGTACGAACACGCAGAAATAGACACTCACTCGACAGCCGCATCCAGATACACACCACGCAACTTTGAGACGGCAGCTGCATCCTCCAAGACCTTTGCCAGCCACATGTTGGTGACAGTCGATGATTGGTCAATGCCATCTACTGTCTTGGCTCCCTCTTTTGCCTCCTCTTCCCCCTCATCTTTCACACATGCATCCGTTTTGCGTTAAACCGAGGGGGCGTGTGTCCTTCGTAGCGTATGGATGAGTGCCGTTTTACCCCGTCCAAGAGAGCCTCTCCCCGCCCTCATCTCCCGTCTATGCAACTAACAGTAGCAAGAGACGGAGAGCCCTCCCTCCCGGCTCCATACTCCCACGATCCACAACCGAGGAGACGGCAGCACCGACATAACCACATGGACGTTAGTTACTGAGAGACGAGATTGTGCCTGAAAGGGGCTAGACTCTGATGACACGCGCAAACTCTCGATCCCTTGGGCTGTGCGCCAAGACACGTACCCTGTCGATCTGCCAGCCTTTTTTTCGATCCTCAGCCCAAGGGTCCCCGTTTTCTCCAGCTTGGGTCTCACAGTCTGGTCTGTCTTGGAGGACCTTTTTGCAGTGGGGAATCCAAGACGGTTCGGTATCACCGTAATTGCTCTGAGCCCATTTTCCATCCGCCAGCACGCACGCCCGCCCCTCCCAGCTCCCAGCTCTACCAGGGCGGGCGGGTTCTTTCCTTTTGGCTACTGTCACTGCGTCTGTCAAGACCACAAGACTTGGTTTAACTTTCTGTAGGGCAGACGCTAGTTGAAGGTGTAGGACGTCGAACGTGGAGGGAACGTAAGTTGGCATTCGTATGCGAGTAAAGGGTATCTCGCGTCTTCGCTTCTTCACTTTTTGATAGGAACTAAGACTCCCAAGCCCCAAGACACGCAGTGTTTGCCAGAAGCCATTTTCCTCCAGCTCGGCGTCCAGCATCTTCAGAGTAGGGTACTCGGTGCTTTCCTTTGCACAATTATGCACTATGCGCGCGACACCGTTGCTAGGGAATGTGTCCACAATGCCTACAGTTAACATCGAGAATTCATCCTCATCGGCCGTCTTGCATGGGCATCGTCCGTCGGAAGGAGATACGGTGCTACGCTGCCGAGATAGTACCCCATCTCTCCGCGCGTTGTCCCGCTGCTCAACCTAAGCGAACCCCCTCTTCTGTACGAAGACGAGAAGGGGTGATGGATGGATGGAGGAGGATGAGGAGGAGGTTGGCGTATCGTAGCTCAAAACCTATCGTCTCACGGGATGCCAAATCGTTGCAAAACAGCCAAAATGCCATGCAAGACCACGCAAGCCTCGCGTGTGCCAAATCCCATGCCATGCCATGTAACTGCCTCAACTCTCACACAATCCCGCACCACCCAGAGACGGCAACACCCAAAAGCCCGCATATCCTCACCAATGGAGCGCCCGTGGCTGTGGCTGCAGCAGCCCGCGTGCCCGCACCACTCGACCAGGGCGAAAGAGAGAGCGCCTCTTGGAGTTGCGCGTACGTTACTCACGTTCGAGGCTGGGTTCGCTTGGCTGCCTGCCCTGAGTCTTGTCCTTTGGGGCCTGTCACTCTTGCCAGACCGCGTCTCCAACGTGAAGAATGATATGATAAGAGCGTAGGCACTGGAATGGGAACAGGCTGCAGAATCGGCGGCGCGCGCAAAAAGGCAAAAGGCAGTCCACCGAAATGGCTGATTCGTCAACGGTTCCCGCTAAATGCCAACAACCGAGACCCTTCGAAACAGTTCAGTCAGTCACACACCGGCAGGCAAAAGTCACAATACAGTTTCCTGTGTGCCTGTCTGTCGGCGAGTTCTGATGTTGATGACTACCTAGGTATCCGTAGATGGGTGTAAGAGAACATCACGCCCCCCGGGAGACCGGCCACTGCATTGGGAATAACTGACAACTCAAACCCCTATTCCGCATTCTGTTCGCCATGTCTGCCGTGGTTTAATCAACATGAATGCGTCGGAAGATTGCTGAGGTTATCTCCTGATTACTTTCCCAATCCGCAGGGCCCCATCTCGCGTCCGGATCCCCAGCGAGTGCGAAATACCGTCTTCACACCCCATCCGTACCGTATCTCCGCTCACGCGGAGAGGGTTTCGCTGGGCTGCGCGGCACCGAAAGAGACTCGAGCTTCGGCTTCCCTTTCTCGTTCGCATTCGAACTCTGGGCGAATCTTCGGGTCCGCCGGCTATCAAGTGCATAACCCCGCGTACCTCCAGGTCAGCTTTCTCTTCACTACATCCGTCTCAAAGATATCGCTTCCTCAAGCTCACACACGCCCCACCTCTTTGGGGAAAGGCTTGGGCCCTTTTTTTGGTGTCGTCTCATGCCTAGCTCAATTTGAAGTCAACTCTATCAATCCGGCGCCCAATCATCAAAGAAGATCGAGATGGTGTTCGGGAAGCGGTTGCGCTAAACCTCGGAGTCCTCAATTATCAAGTAAGACTCTTGCTTAGGAATCTCTCGAGTTATCAAGTAATCAACTCCCGTGGAGAATGCAAACCAGTGGTGGTTCGGCATCCGGGCTGCCTGGCATATCTTTCTCTCGTCTAAGCGGCCCCGGGGTGCCAAGGTCCCTTGCCGTAGCACCCTCACGCTACTGCGTAGTCATCGTGGTGCGTTCGTAGCGAGAGACGCGTGGGATGAAAGACTCATATTGCCCATCGGGTACCATGGCAGGTATCGACCACTTTTCCCCATGCCATCGTGATCGGACGAGGAAAATCCCATCGTGCATTCGTGCTTTGCCAGCGAGGGCCCCCTTCTCCTGCTGCTTAAGCGAATGAGCATGCAATATTCAAACTGGCCCCTTTCTGCCACAGCGTGGCTGAAGAGACCCTGTCCTGACCTTTCACTCTTTTTCAGTGGCCTTGTGGGTTGTGATTTTGGCGCTTGCTCGGTCTTTTGGACGAGTCTGGCATCGTAAACCCTCAAAACTGCCGGGTTGGTGTTTCGTACACCCTCTCGCTTGTCACGAGGCCGCTTTGCAGCTCAAACGCATCGTCGATGTGCGAAAATCCATCGGCGATGTAGGGCAAGGGGAAATAAGAGCGGACACAAGCAAACTCGGTTGCTCGGTTCTCAAAACACCAACGAATCTACTCGCCACGCCCATCGCCACCTCGGACGCGTATCCTCCATAAGGAACAATTCCATCAGGCCCCATAAGGGGAATTCACCCAATGGCACAAGGCTGATCGACATATTGTGTTCGAGCCTTACCCGTCTGTCATCCCCGATTCTTTGGCCTGCCCCTCCTCCACTATTGTTCCCATCGGCAAGGTAAGCTTCAGTGTGGAGATTGGTCTTCCAATTGTTCTGCCTTGTGGTCACAGCTCTTGCGCCTCGAGGTAAAGTCCTTCCTCATACTGCAAGTGATCGTCCATTCCATCTGCGGGAACGGATGATCCGCAGATGACTACTGACATTGAATTACAGCAGCCTGTCGCGAATATCAATAGTAGCGACACGCACAGAAGAAGCATCGCATCGGCGCACCGGGCAGCACAACCAGCGCATCGACAGGCAACGATCGGTCCAAAGCGCATCATCAACCAATGATTCGCATAGACGATCGCAAATGCAATAGTCTCAATTCGACTCTCTATCCCATCTGCCTTGCTTGCGTTGCAAAAAGAGGTTGCAGAGTATTACAGGGACGAGGCCAAGAGTCAGTCCCGCTCCGTACACAACATTCACTAATATTGACCTTTCTGAGCTTGATAGAGATCACCTGCCCTTTGAGAGTCATTGTCCGACGATTTCTCATTGCCAAGTCGCCAACCAAAGAGAGACACGTCAAATCTCGTCACTCAGGCCTGTACGGAGATGTACAGACGTTTGGTCAGGGTCTCTAGTCTCGAGACAAGCAGTTTGCGGCCGCTTGACGGGAATGCGGGTGTGGCATGCGCAAAATCCCTTGCCAACAGCGCAACCTTCCCCACGACATGGCATCGGGTAGTTGTTAGTTTGATCGGCTTCCACCCGTTGCCCATCGACAAAACCGCAACCAGAGCGTAAGCAAGACCGTGACTGACAGCCTAAAGGTACGGTTTTAGCTTCTTCAATAGCGTCTGAAACTTTCTTCACTCTTTCATTCCGTCCTGTTCCCCGCGGTGCGCCGGTCGTGATGCTAGAGAGGGGGAGCAAGTCCTCCGGCCCTCCGCGGGTTTTCAACCACATGATTCCGCATCGGTCATCGAAACGAAACTCGATCGAAACGCTAATGGTGTCTTTACGTCCTATTTCGCGTGTACGCTACTGGCGGATACCCTACCCGCGCTTACGCTCTGTCGTTCTTCGATCTCGATGACATTCAATGCCAATTTTGCCAATTTTCAGACCTTTTCGATGGTATCGGTATTTCTCGATCAATTATTTCAAAATTTCTCGTTGATTTCTTTCTATCCACCGGACACTTTCCTGTTCCCTGGCTTGTTTCTATTCCCAATCCCCTCCCTGCCAGCTAGTCACCCTTGCCTTAGGTACACCGTTGACCTAGCTCGAGCGCTTTTTATCTACTTTACCTATTTGAATCTATCGTATTCATGTTCACAACTCGATCTAACTAGCCTTCTGGAGAAAGCTGAGACCTCGATAACTAAAGACAGCACCTACCCGTGCCCTTGTCGTCGATCCGGCTAGTCTGCGATCGCGATGAACCTTGCACATCCGTCCCTGAATGCTAGGCATCGTCCAACTATTCTTATTCATTGGCTCATAGCCTCGGCATAGTCATGCTATCTTCACCCAATACCGACCGTCAAACGGCTCACCGTTCCAGGTTTTCCCCCGATCGACCGTCACTCATCTGTCTGCCTGACGTTTTTGCACCTATGCCATACGGTGCATCTTCGATTCATCTCGAGGGATCGAGCTCCATTCCTCTCGGCCGTGACTCCGGCATTGCTACTGGACGGAGAGCCACTCTTTCCTTCTTCTCCATCATCACCACGCGTGTCTTTCGCCCACAGATCAGCTGCTATTCGGAGCCGGCACGGCGAAAACCACCGACTGAGCAAGCCGACGTGCCATTTTCCCGGGTGTTGTCCAACTTAACTCCAGCCCTGGCCCCCAGCGCCAAGTTCCTTGCTTCCGGTTCCAGTCAAAAACCAATTCAAAGTGTCTCGGTTTTTTGACATCGCCGATCCTGCCTCAATCGACCTGCTTCTCTGGGGTTCACTGTCCCAGTCAACCAATATGCATTCTCAGCCCGCTCAGCACAGGATCCATCTGGCAGGGAGAGGGGTGTTCGGGGAGGATACCCTTCTACCGGGGCGACGATACCCATCACTTGATACTGGGGCCACCCGTGCTGATCAATTGCCTGCGACGGCCATTCTGATGGAGAAGATGGATTTCTGAATACGACCTCGCGGTTCTAGACCATTGTCGAACTCGATTCAATGACAGGGAACGCCTGCGAGCAAATTCCCGGCCATTGGGGTTTTCCTTTTCGAAGAAAGGTAATGCCCCAGAGATTCTCCGCATTTTCTTCACAAGCAGGGTTTTGGGATTCTCAGTCTCCCCAGTGCGGCTCTATGGCTTTTCTGCCCATTTGATTCCTCATGCTGCTGGGTGTTGAGCTGTCAGCGGAAGCAAACTGCATCCTGTCGGTGGCCTGGCGGCAACACTTGTTGGCAGTACGACCATACGATTGTGGCCGCTTTTCTTGTTTATTGTGCTATCAGAGGGCAAGCCAAGGCATTTCCCTCGATAGGGTGAAGTCTTTCTAACGACATACTCGCCGACCCGTACTCATGAACCAGTGTTCATGAATACGATGGGTGTATCCAATTCTGATTCTGGCTATGCCAGTGAGCCTCTAGCTCACGATTTCACCCCGTCATCTCATCTTCTTTGTATTGTCCGAAAACCCGGTGTCTCCCGATCCCCTTACCCACGGGCTTTTACTAGCCCGGCTCGCGACCAGTCCGACTATCCAAGACCCCGATGACGGGCGCCGATGGAGAGCCGGCACATCGAAAGACACAAGCGGGCCCATTGTGCCCGTCTCCGAGAAGCAATGATACTAAGGTGTGATCCGAGGTCCCTTTCTCACCGATACTGGGACGGCATATTGTTCTCGTTTCCTTGGGGCGTGTCGAGAAGTTTATTCATTCTGGTTCGCATCACGGCTGAGGCGCTAGGCTCGCCGTGTCTTCCTTTCTCGATACAGCAATACCGATACTTCGCTCCCCCTCTGCCCCCTCTCTATCGTACCCCTCCTTGGCGGAGACGGACGGCGCTTCATCTCACGATCGCTGCAACGAACGTCGTCCCTTCAACCCTTGCCATTGTACACATGTCCTCTCCCGCCGGCAAACCGGACTTGAAGTCCCAAACGGGAGGAACGCTAGTTCTTCCCGGCCGAGAGGGTACACACCACTCACCGAGCAGGGGAGGGGGTGCGTCGTAGCAGGATCTTCGGGGTCTAGACGCGCCGTCAACGGATGACATGCGGCGCCAATGTACAATGATGACAGGCTATGCATGATTGACCGCCAGGAACTGGAAGGAAGGAAGATGAGGGCCCTTTGCCTTCGATCCGTGACCTTGGTTGAACCCCTGCGAATCTGGAATCTGGCTGTGTGTTGCCTCTGGAAGCAGGATGACGATTCGGAGAGGGGGTGGATATTGGCAGAGGATGGGCGAATGCGCATCGCCAAGGTGGCCTTTTTGCGTCTGGACCCCGTGCCCTTAGCTGTTCGTCGGTGTGGAGGATATGCGCTGTCGGATAATGAAGCGACGAGAGGGGCGCCAGTGTGCCGCTAGGTTACTATTCGACAAATTCCAACGATGTTTGCTCCGATGCAAGAGCGTTGTTAGTCTCTCTCTTCCATCGGAAATGCTAGAGGATATGAGGGCGTCACCATCGTTGAGGCTACCACCTAGAGCTCGGCCTCTCGGTAAAAGCCAGGCTGAGACCCTGAGACTAAGGGCATAGCGGCAGAACCCTTATGCAGGGTAAAGCAAACGCAGCCTTACGTAGCACGCGTAGGAAGCGTCGGACCACAGAGACGAGAAGGGAATGGGTGTTCCGTCCTCAAAGAAGAAGCTACTGGAAGCGCCAAGATGCAGCCATAGCGCTATGCTTCGCTTTCCGTCTCACCTTTTACCAATGATTGTGAGGGTCCGAGGTGACGAAGCTGGTGATGCCGCATCCGTCCCGTACAACTGCCCCGCCCCGGTACGACGGGGCCGTGCGGGTGCGGGTGCGGGACTGCTTCCGGAAATTTTGCTCCGGGTCAAGAAGATTCTAGCAAAGGATGCGCTATGCATGCATGGTTGCTCTCGCTTTTCTTAGAGGTTGCTGACAGGTACCTTGAATTTGAAGCTCCGTATTTGACAGATGGTGGCCCACTGCTTAGATCCTATTGCTTGTGGCCTTCACCGCGAAGACCAGGTTATAGGGTGATAGGGCTGGCTACACCGGTCTAATTATCCCAAAACGCATAAGCTGATCCTGAGAGATGGAAAGAAAAGTCCTGTATGTGGCAGCCTTTGCGGCAAACGCTCATTAGCTTAGATGTTTGAGTTTGAAGATACATACATCGTTATCTTGGGACTATCTATGTCCTTCTAGGCGGTGGCCAGGTTGCCTATTCCAAGACGCAGTTTTTCTATTCAGGCGCTATTGTCCCCATACTTGCTTGGTATTGATACCCTTGAACAGCTTGCAGGGGGGAGGGGGGTGCGGTGTCAATTTAGGAGCTGTCTTGGTTGACTTTGGGACGAGGCTTTCTTATGTTTCATCTACCTGTTTGTTCCCTCCAAATCGACATCTCAACCATTTGACCTGTTACTGAAATCAATTACACATTTCGAGGGGTATTTTACCAGAGAGTTCGTCTTTTACACTAGGATATCTGATTCCCTCAAATTAGCAGCAAGCGCATCCCAGCATACCGTCCGCAAGATATTGCAACGGGTATCAAACTCCCATCCAATGCCTGTCCCATCGTGAGTTCCCACAACGAAGAGGCCCAAACAAACCGGCCTAAGAAACCGCTTGGGGCAACTCAAAATCGCTCGAGCATCATGCCAACTTGCAGTTCCAATTGCCGTGACAGAAATCTGGACGGGGCCTTCCACAAGTACGCGGCCCCACCGTGGTGCCCACTGCTCGACCCTTGGGGCTTGGACCCGAGCCTACTAGGGCCCCAACTCCGCCACCCCCTCCAACCAACTATCACTGGATGTCAACATCCACCAATCCCCGATAGTCTAGTGGTGAGGATATCTGCTTGTCATTGAAATATCAACGATTCGCAGGGGACCGGGGTTCAATTCCCCGTCGAGGAGTAATCTTTTGCATTTTTTTTTGCTAATTGATCATATTCTTCTGATCTATTACTCTTAGACTCTTGTTTTCTTCATATTTTGCTTGCTCAAACTCAAAGGGTGTCATACCTCCGACTGGATCCGAACACCTAACCATATCACGGATTCTGCACGCTCGGTAGCCGGTACTTCTCCGCGAACATCGGCGCCCACATGCGCTCCATGAAGAATCCAACCTCCGGATTCGTCGAATTCGCCGTCTCAAACTCAGTCAGCGCCTTCTGATACGCCTCCTTGGGCAGCTTCCGAATCGTCTCCCGCCGGACGGCAAACGTCCCGCCGTGCATCGCCCGGATCGCCGGCGGATGCTCACCGCCCACCACCATCGTCCAAAACTGCGCCGGCGTGTACGGCGCAAGCTGCAGGCTCTTGATCTGGTTGGCCGTGATCCACAGCTTCTGCGCCGAGCTGTTCCAGTCGATTTTGCCCCAGTCCGCGACATCGTGGAATAGTGCGTCGTTGAAGGGCGTCACGTCGTCGGCCAGGACGGTCATCGCCTTTTGCACCATCTGCTCCGTCGTGTTCACGGCGGGCGCGATGAGGTCAAAGGGGTCCGCCTGCGTGAAGATCATGATCTCGTCGAGGGTGTCGTAGTTGTTTACAACGTGGTGCAGGTGCGTGTGGCCCTCTCGTCCGATGTTGGGAAGGTCTACGTAGGAGCGGAACGAGGAGTGTTGAACGGTGTCGTTCATCTGCGGCACGCCGCCTTTGGAGTACAGGTAGGTGGACGCAGCGACGGGCGCCCAGGGATCGAGGGATTCTTTGAAGCGTGCGCAGACGATGCCTAACTGCGACGGAGTTGCTGCGAGGGCCGCGAGGAGCGGGAGGGTGATGGCGACCATTGTTGGCGTTTGGTGCACGTATCCGGATGGGCGTTCGTCTTGGATGCGGAGGATTGGATGAGCAGAAGATGCGACAGTCCGCGGCGAGCGAGGTCGTATCCTCTTGAGCTCTGCCTCCTTTCCATCCCGTCGGTAGCCTGGCCTATGCCGTTGAGACCGGCAATCAAACTCTAATCCGTCAACAGCAGCGTACTCCAGAAAGCATCCCACCGGTGTCAGGGGAAGTTGGAAACTTAAGGTCTTGACGCGCAATTATAACACACTTTCTGTCCGGATAGACTGAGTCCATAAGTCCGCTGAATAATTGCCTCAAGCTGAGGACGCTCCTTGTAATTAGATATCAGCTCAAGTTCGCGTATTATCTGACCTTCACAACCTAGTCAAGCAGGGCTTCTGCCTTTGCTTACGACTTGCTTTCAAGTAAGCTTCGCAAATCACTTAACTCTAAAGATGTCAGTCAGCCTATAAAAATCCGAGCCAAATCCTACGTCTGTATCCGCATTCGTTTAGTCTACCCGCCGATTGAGTCGAACGAAAACCGTTTTTTTTTTTGAGCCTCTCTATTGGCCATTCTATCCAGCTCCATTCACGTAAAGACTATGAAACGATCAAGATTCGAGGAGACCAGCCCGTGGCATGGTACATAGTTATTTTCACAGGTGACTCAGTCTACATCAGATCTCGTATCATAATTATGAAGATGTCATTTAGCGTAGGTAGATAGACTCATTCCAAGCGCATTCACAAGAGGTCAAGAATGATGCCATATTAATCTATCCCATCGAGCGCAGGATAACGTCAAGATAGGGTTACAGAATATCTATTAGGGGTAGAACGAACCACTCATTAGTCCAGCTTCCTCCGTGTCGAAGCCGTCTTATTTCAGCTGGCTGTACCTAATCAAGCCCCACATGTCCTAAGATGCACACCACTCCTACATCAAAATCGTCTCAATCTTCATGGCCGTGGGCCTATCTCGCTCCGGCACTAGATCCTAGCACACAGACCGGCAACTGTGATAACTTGGCACAACGACTTCAAACATCACAGCTCTCGCCATCACCATGAGCTAACATGTCCTTCATGGCAATAGCCACCTCGGCTTCATCTTTTGCACTTTCCGCTCGAGTTGCGACCGCATCCGAGATGGAATCCGCCAGGCTGATCGCAGTTGCCCTGCTTGTTGTTGGGGTCGTCGGACTTGTAGGCGTTGTGGTTACAGCTGCACATGGAGCATCGGTGGTCGTCGTACTGGATGTCGCCGCAGTAGCACTTGACGCAGCCGCCGAAGCAGTAGTGCTTTGCGGTAACGGCGGTTACCAATGACAAAAGACCGAACACAGTGACGAACTTCATTTTGCTTTGGGTGGTATAGCAAAGGTTTGATGTCTATGGTTGGTGGGTGTGCTTGCGAGGAGGCAGAATGAAGGCGGTTGAAGGCTTGGTGTCTTGTTTGAAGGAGTTTTCCTGGTTTTCGTGATTTCATTTGGGCTGCCTGGAGCTGAACGAACATATTATATACATCGCATTCAGTATCATGTCTTGATACTCGCACCTGTATCAGAGCAGCTCCATCATGAGCTCCCAGAATCTTCAGAGTCTCATATGTCAATAACCAAAGTTTTTCAATCTCTCGGTGTGGGCATCTAGCTTTGCGAAGAATAAAGCGAGCCACTATGTGGATGACGGAGAAGCCGAGAATACGGGAGCTACCATCACCAAACACTCCACGATCGTCGCTCGCGGCCCCACCAATGGTGCTTCCGTATTTCGAGCCGCATTCGCATCAATGCAAGACTTTACGGAAGACAACGACGGACCTTGTAGTTTTCCTCAGTGTTTACATGTCGAGTCAATGCCGCCTGCTGTAAACCCAGCCTTCGTAGTCTTTTGGGTCTACTTGTGTTGTCGTTGATCGTCGTCTACTCGAGTTTTCCATGGGCTTGACTGCGAGTCGTGACAGCGCTGCTGTGGACCGATTTTGAATTTGAGTTTCAAAATGTAGATGAGCACGTTCAGGCAAGTGACCATGCTTACAAGTTGCTTGCGGGCCAGTCAAGCAAGAGCTAAGTCATATATCGCGTGCAGGTATTATGATTCTGGATTGATGTTCTTGCAGGGCATTGCCTATTGAGATAAGCAACGGCTTGCGCAACTTCATTTTTTCGATGGGGCTGAAGGTCGAGCCGATCCGACTTGGCATTCCTTGACTCAGCTCGATCAGAAAAGTCTACAAACGAGTTATCTGATCACTGATGAATATACCTTCCTGCCCGGTATATCCTAATAAACAGCGTTAGAGAATCGAGACCATCGAGTCACCCACACCCCTAGAAGATTTGGCTGGATGATTCTCGTCCAAAGATCAATCGTGCGTTGGCAAAAGCAAAGGCGGTCACTCAGACGGTTCAGGGAAACAATGGCTTTGAGAACGAGGGTACCAGGATGGTAGGCAGTGGACGATGAATCTCTAGATTAATCATAGCTTACCTTCCACGACATCTCAAAATTAGGAAACTAGCGCTCTCTTTTGAAGGCAACATAAGGACATCCAGTGACTTGCATTTTTGCGTTAGGGCTAACGAACCCGTCGGGCCCGGAGAGTAACATAATCGCCGGTTTGTCGAGCCTGGCTACTTGATTGATGAGAGAACACTAATCTACATTCCCGTGGGCAAGTCACATAGGGCTGATAGATAAATAAAGTGTGCGATTCATCTTGAAGCTAATAGTGCGATTCAAGCAAATTTTTCGAAAGACATCGATAGCTCAAATGCTGTCATGCGCATTCAACATTGGAGAGTATATAGTCAATACCTTCGAGAATGCAGCATAATCGGTTGCACAAGCTCGGGGACGGTGTTATGGCCTGCCACAATCCGCTTTTTGAAGTCCGGGGATTTAATACCATATCCGGAAATTACACGCAATCCCCGAAGCCTTGAGATTTCTTGCTGACATCCAGGAGGCAGTGATTTGTTTAGATTATTTACATCGAATAGAGAAAGACCTGAAATGATGCAAGAGACTACCTACGCTGAACTGCATCATTCTAAGTTGACCCCAATTTCGCGAATCGCGCGAATATCCTCACTGGACATCTCCTCTCTTGTTTCCTCCACCTCTTCTACTCGTGTACGCCAGTCCCTCCAAAATTTACCGAGATCAAGGTCTGGCCCGTTGAATATGATGGAACAATCGTTCATCATTTGTTCCAAGGTGTCCGCCAAGTATCGGTCTTCTTCCTGTATTTCCGCCACCTCCTTTGGGTCCATCATCCATATTTGGTCGTACACATTCGTGATGACGATAGCTCTTCTCCTTTTGTCGAATTTGTACTTGCAGCAAGTATGGCTCATGCCAAGATTGTCAAAAGTGATTACGCGTACAAAGTCCAGCAAAGCTTGCCGATCTTCTCGATACGAGGCATCCAGAGTTGCGGAAATCACCTGCCACATGTTATACGTCGTCCAGTCCCATCGGACGTAACCATTGTCTCTTCGCCAAGCTGAGGCGTATTTAGAGGCTGGACTGCATCCTCCACGTGAGCAATAGCAGTTGCAACTATCTCTTGACGTGTCTGAAAGAATTTTGCGAAGAAGGGATCGATTTCGGGTGCGGTAGACGCCAATCTGTCGCGAATGGACGTCCCATATAACGTTGCTTTTCTGGCCAAGCGCCATAGCCAATCGATGAAGAGTAGTGGGAGACGAAGAAGTTGAGGTGATGGTCTTGTCCAACCCATGGTGGAAGACAGGCATGGCATGCTTCGTGTTAAGCCCGTGATCTTCAAACCAGGCAATTGAATCTAAGAGATCGTTAGGATACTTGTCGAAATAGGCACCCAATAATCTCATGGTTGCCAGCGGGGTGCATCCATTGAATACGGAATCAAACCCCTCGAAGCCAGAGCGGTATAGACCTTCAGCTAAATCACCATTCATGACCGGAGAATGGTAAATTGATCCAGGGCGAACTCCCTGAAACATTAAAGGGATATCAATGTTGTTGACATTGAGTGCCTGAAGAACTTCGAAAGCGTTCGCTTGAAGCATCGTTTGTTGCCTTGTACCTAACCTGGACAGTTCTTTTGCCGTTAAATACCTCCTTGCAAAAAGCAACATTTCCCTCCTGCGAGTGGCTAGCTGATCACATAACACCTGGATCATCTCTTTACTCTGATAGCAAGCGTCGGAAGTATGAGGATGACCAAAGAATGTGGCACTATTCTCAAGGTCGATGCTAGCTCCCAGCTCAAGTAATAATCTGACGGATTCTGTCTGATGTAGGAGCACGGCCGAGTGAATTGCGGTAAGTTGTGTGGCATCTTCGAAGTCAATGATTTGCCGACAAGCATCACCGGCCAGTTCGAAGAGAATGTCGAGTCCTCTGGGCCAGTATACAGACACGTGGAGAGGGGTTAGGTCATTGTGGCATCGCTCAGCAACAATCGACGAGGGTGTTGTCATTAGGATCCTTCGAAGAGTCGTTTCTGACCTCTGAAGAAGTGCAGAGAACAAGGCACCATATTCAAAACCTTTCAACGTTATTTTCTTGCAGATACCTTGGTGGAGAAAGCAGATATGTGGTGTGTGGATCATACTTACCATGAAGATAACCTGAGAAACTTTGGTAGATATCAGGTAGAGTCTGGATCTTGATTTCAGAAGTAAAAGCATCGCCTTGCATTTCTCTGCCATTTCGTATGGCATCGATGGATAAGGCACCTATTTCGAGTAAATCTTTTGCGAGTTCGAATGAGCCCGATGCCAGCACATCTTTCGAAGTCCCCTTTGAATACTCAACACGCCGCCTTCTGCGAAGCTCAAGAAGCCAATGCAAAGGTGATCTAAAACCATAAAGTTAGGAAATGTATCTTCGGTATCGATTTAAATTGCGACTTGATCTCACCCTTGGTTCTTGGTAGCTTGATTGAGAGGCACGCCCATGAGTGCGAGCTCCTTCACGAATTGTGCCCAAATAACAGACTTGCTATCAGACCACGAGTGCCCACGCACATTGATTGCCCTCTTTTCAAGTTAGCAAAGTTGAAGAGAAGAAAATGGTGCAACCACGCAGGGTTATCTTACATGAAGAAGGTTTTGGTCCAAGGTGTTTATATCAGTTGGCCAGGCTCTGCCGCTCCTGAATAGACACCGCAAGTCCTTCAAAGCTGACTGAGTCTCGGTTCTGAAATCTTCTGTCGTGATGTCTGGGGTTTTCCAAACTAGTTCACTGACCACCAAGAAAGCAGGTGCTTCATTAGGTACCATTGACTGGGCAACTAATTCAGGTTGAATTTGGAAATTTCGATAGACCATTTGTTGTGAATATCGAATTTCCAATTTCCAAGACAATAGGGTGCTGAAGAGCTGGAGTGTCCCCTTGATGGTTCGTTTGTTAGAATTCATGAAGAAGAGTTCGCAATGGCTGTCGTGCTTCGGTCGACAATGTATGGAGAAGTCTCGCCGTCCTAATAGAGAGCCAGCTCTACATGAACATCCAGAATCTTGAGAAGTCTCGCCATGCCTTACTTCTGCAGAAGGCAAAGCCTTTGGTGGATTGCATTCGGTCCTGGTACGAGATGATGCTAGAGCCAAACTGTCTGTAGAGCAGCTTGTGGTGGCATTTCCACTTTTGCTGGCGCTCTGCGATGTTATTCTCAGACTCTCTACAATATCTCTCAGTGAGGATGGTGAAGAATTTGCCGAAATGCTTGCGGCTACTAGGCTTCTCCTCGAGATCACAGCTGACGAGTGTTCCAGCCCAGCTAGCTTTGCATCGACCACTCTTTCGAGAGCAGGCAACAAGTCAGCTACTTGGCTTGCTGTCTTTTGATTTTCGGACATGATAAGAGACACCAGTTTGGCGGATTCGGAGACTGCAGCTTCTCGTAACCCATTGGTGAGATCACTGGAAATCACATTAGAACTCACAAAGTGTTTCAACGGGATATCTTACGACATACTGGTTAAGCAGGAGCAAATAATTTGTCATTGCGGTGTAGAACTCTTGCATCTCTGCCTTCAGTTTCTCAAACTTGGTCTTTTGGAAGGGGTACTGCAAATGTCTCGTGGCATCTTTGCCATATTCCTTGAACCCTCTTGGCCCTGGTGGCCGGGTTTGCTTCTTGGCAAGGTTTTCAAATTCCTGGATGCATCCCTGACAGGCACCAAAACAGTTCTTCAAGGACGCCGACAGCGCTGAGTCGACTTGATGACTTGCTTGTAAACGAGTCTGGACCAGCTGAAGGAACGAGTCTAGCCTTTGCGCATGACTCTTGAGGTTGATAATGTCAATGTTGCGGGACCTGCAATCTTGGCAGAAGGTGTTTACGCCTTTGCAGACCGTAAGTCCGAGCGAAATCAGACCGGCAACGCCACTGGATACCGACAGAGGGTCCATGATTTGACGACAAAGACGAGTTTACGTGCTGTTGTCTTGATGGTTTCGAGTCCGCGATAGTTCTTTCTCAAGCGAGAGGTGGATTCGGAAGGGAATGAGACTGGTGCAACGACTTGAAGGAGAATGACAGCCTTGTTTGAGGAGCATTGGAGTTCACCATGTCATCAGGCTGTAGATTATTCTACGTTGCCGGTCTGCCCTTTCGTCTGACACAGTAGGTCTGTTACCCCGCAAATGCATGTTGGGACGCGATGAACGGTTGCCTTGTTGCTTTCATTGGATTGGGTAGATTTCTCAAGACCAATGATAAGTACATCCTGTCTGCGTCGTTTTCTTGTTGGCGGTGGCCGACAATGCTTAAAAAGCTCACAGCAACATGCATGTTGGTTCACTTGAGTACCTAGATCTAGACCAGACATGCCTTGCACGAAACCTTGAGAGGACAGCCAAGTGGACTGCAAAAAATATATGTGATATGTCGGAAGAAACGACAGACTTTTGCCGCCACAGTATTTCGAGCTAGCGGAGTAACGCAAGATACGGAAAACAACACGCTGAATTGGCACCTCGCCCTTCCGAAAGAAAAAAGAAAAGGTGGCACAGAAAGTAGAAGAATGCAACTATACTTCTCGTTCGTGACAGGGAAAACTGCCACAATCGAAATTTTGCATGGTTAATAAGTTCAATTCTATGATGGTATCTTTTCACTCTATCGAAACATGTGCTGTACAATCTTTTGCCATCCTCCCAGTGCTATGTGTAAGGCACACCCACTCCCATTATCGCTAGAGCGTGCTCTTAGTGAAATCGAAAAGCCGAAGTATTTACTCGAGGTCGAAAGAGCGGGCACCAGTGTAGTGCTGGACAACAGCGTTGGGCTGGTTGGAAATCTCGAAGTCGGAGTTGGGGAGAAGGTGGGAACCAGTCTGGTTGCTGCTGGGGGTAACCGGCTGGGAGACGGTGAGGGTGAGACCCTCAGCGCTGCGGACGACGTCGAAGGTGCGGGAAGAGAGAGTGCAGGTGCCCTCCTTGACATCAGGGAGAGTGCCGTCAGTGTTGCCGGGGACGAGAGCGGTGCAGTTGACACCGGTGGTCTCCATGGTACCGGGCTGGATGACAGTGAATCCGTAACTAGAAGGTTGTTAGCATGTGTAAGAGAGGGTCACAGAGTTGTTAATACTTACGAGCACTGGGTGCTGTGGGGAATGCAGTCGGCACCGAAGTTGGTGACCTTGAACGTAACGTCACGCTTGCTGATGGCAGCAGCGGCGGCGACGGAGGCGGAAGCGAGAAGAGTGGCGAACTGCATTTTGAAGGTTGTGGTTTTTGTGATGGGTTGGTGATTAAAGAATAGGTTGGTTTGTGAGTTGATTGTGGTTATGATTAGATGAGTTGATTGTGTGTGATACAGAACGAAAGCCAGATGATAGTTTGCGAAGTTGTCAACCTTATATATTACTTTGATTGCAATTGAATCTTGGATAATACGAGGAGTCGGGAGGCTATCCACCGGGGCAATGACGATCGCCAACGGCGATCGGTGGACCCCGGTACTGCCGAACTCGTATTTGACCCGACTCCCGAATTAGTCTTGAGGTGAAATGTCATAGCCTCCAACCCCCTATATGACGTCTATTATGCAAAATAAACAACGGAAAAGTCCACTTCCAATTACTCAACAATAGCTCTACCCAATTTACAATTTACAATTTCCTGCCATGCGTAAAATAGGAATTTCTGATGGAGAGAGCGCGCATAATGAAACACATCAGCCGCAACCCGTTACATGCAGCATCTCCAAATATGAACTACCAAACGATCGCAGCTAAGGTTGACCATGGCATAACATGGAAAAGGAGCTTTCCAACTTCAATTGCGGGCATACCTAGAATTCCCTCAAAAGACCCCCAGCCTTAAACTCCCGCATGTCCACAATAGATCCAGAAAAGCCCCCCTAATGACGGGCTCGAGGTTTGGCAGCTCATGTTGTATGATTAGACGAACACTCGTACGCATAGCCTTTTGATTGGACCACCCCACAACTTTCCCCGCCTTGAGGCACATGATGGGACGATTGTCAACTTTTAATCTATCTATTTTGGGCAGCTTGCAGACAAAGTCACCCCTGTCGCGCGATCATCACTCTCCCCAACCTCGGAGAAAACTAGCTCCCCGGAGGCTTCTTTTTCAGCCCAGAAGGTTGAGCGAGCGAGCCTTACGCACGCCAAGTTTCTTCCCGCGGCTCAAATGAACCGGGCCAAATCCGATTTCCCTGCGCGCAGCGTGCAGTTGGCCGACCCCACTCTCCCTGCCAAGCTTGGAGCGTTGGCATGTCGGTGGCAGGGGTCTCCACCTATGCATGACTTGTTGCACGGCCGAAATCCTGAGCGTGGACTCTCTTGAGATCATGATTCGTTGTCTCTGTTTGTGTTTACTGCTCGACCATTCACGCTGCTTGAAGGTCGTAAGAGTATTATCAGCCTGGAGTTCGAGAGGTTGCCATCGGCTTCAATTCTGCAGGAAGCCGGGAAGCGAAAGAGACGCATCGTTCTGCCGCTTGCCAACTGGTTTGAAGGGGGCGCCGATTAATCGTGACTCGAACCCACTGGGCTCAATAGACTTTCACGTTTGCATTGACAGGTGCTGAACAAGTTATCCAGCTCATTATCTCGTGGCGGTGAGACCTTCACCGATCCTCTCCCTCGCCAGTCTGCGGACGGTGGTCCACTGAGTCTATACGAGATCCACCACTTGTGTCAAGGGGCCATGGCAATGGGCGATGAGACATCGCTAATGGCACAGTGACACGATAGACCTCGCCTATGTGGGCTTCGCGGCTAATTTCTGTACCCAAGGGAGAAAAGGGCGCCAGCACGTTGAAGCAATTCTCGGTCTTTGGGCGCTAAATACAAGGTAACGTAACGTTGGTTGAGTCGCCGGGGGAATTGAGTCCGGCCAACGTCTCTGAAAGAGCATGTTCATGACGTCGATATCTACTTCGTATCCGAATCTGGCAAGACTCGGCTCCCCGTTCGGGGCGCCGGGGTATTCGGGGAAAGGTCTAATGCGGCTTTGGCGCGGCCCGCGACGCCACTTCCTCGATCTCAGGGTTCCCCTCTAACCGAACTTAGGATCAAAGCGTGGAGCAGCGATAGAGTAGCGCACATTTGGGTCCGCGCCGGCCGAGTGCTTAAGGGAGAGGCGCAAGCTTCTGCGAAAACGTTTTGATCTGCAAGCCACAAGATGTTGGCGGGTGTCCTCGAAGGCAAGAAATTCTAAAAATAAGAACGTGTGAAAGAGGCTCAGCTGGAGCCTGAGAACTCAAGTCGAAAGTGCATTGGTCACCCTCACAGAGATAGCCGATTTTAGGTCTCCCGCGGGCAGCGAAGCTTCACCTTGCAGAAAATCCAGTTAACTATCCACAGCACACGAGTCACGCCAATCTATGGCACCACCATTGTTCCTTTCCTTACCTCTATAGCTCATCCAAGCACTTGTCAGAGATGCTGCGTGGTCATCTTTACCAACACAATGGTATCAACTTATGCCTGTCTAACTTCTCTGCAGTCCCGCAGGGACAGCGGACGAATCACTCCAGATGTGCAGGATTTCCATCATCGTTTATCCCTTAATTCTGCATCTTGATTCTCCATTTACCTTCACCGTGGTAAATACATCTTGCTGGTCGCCAGAGTTGATCCAAAAGAGATCCTCATCTCTTCAGCCCATTCAAGATATATGATGCGCCAGTATCAGGTCGTCCTCGAAAGTTGCCTGACAATCTGGCTCTTTCTCTTCCAACTTCGATGATTCTTACTACCAGTAAGTCATTCAGATCATTGCCATACATGGCTATCATCCCTGGGAAAGAGCGATATCGAAACATCACTACCTCTAGTCTAGGAGCTGCGAAAGTGAGGCTGATAGCAGACCGTGTAAGTTGAAGGATCTATCAGCTGTCAGCTGGATGCCGATCGCAGCTTCTCAAGTTCTGTGGCAGTCAGCTGTAGAGAACCTGGCACTACCGGGTGGCTAGTCTCACATTCTCTCCCCTGATGGCATGGTCATGCGGCCGATGACTTCACGATTGCGATCTTCTTTGTATGAACGGGCCTCCTTGCGACCTTCAAACAACTCTGCTAGATCCGGTGAACCAAATGATACTCGCACAAAGAACCACTGTAACTATTAGTCGCCGTAATGGTGTGAGGAGCCTCCACGACGGTGACATGTCAAGATGAATTGGCTGCCTATGTATAACAGAGGTCTTACAAGGCTTCCGCTCCAACGCGGCACTGGCCAACTGACCCTGATGTCATGATCAAACGGAAAACTTTTTCCCTACATGTCAGGTCAGCTAGCGCAGTCAAAACGTTGAACTTGTCGCTGACCTTGGGCTTCACTTTAATGCAGCCTCATTGTCTTAACTCAAGGGCGCACTGCCGAAAACCCCGTCAGCACTGTCCCAGAGCACACCAACACAAGTGTTACTAGTCACAACGTAGTAACAGCATCCGACACTGACTTGGGAACACACTCTCTGTGGTAATAGAAGCCTTTTGAAGAGCCGCTAGATGCTTGTGTCTGTAGTTTGGTACAATTCACAACCAGGCAGCCCCGAACATTGAATGCGATGTAACTTGTGGCCACTGGCTTACTGCATGACCACGTCAGATTTGCGCAATGACCTATTTCAAGTGAGCCAAAGACTCTCCAACTTTTCAAGAAGCTCGTTCCAAGCTGATAGCATAGCACCGCGCCCCTTTCCGTCCGCTGTTGCCTCAGCAGTCGCAGCGAAGATGAATGAGGCTACAACCACATACAGAATCAATGTGCAAGACCTCCAGAGTTACCCAAGTTTGTTTGATCCCCTCCATTTTCGGAGTGGGGGCAACATCATTTGAGTCTAATCAAGGTAAAAGTGAACTGAGTGGACATCGTGAACCCTCATCCTCCACAATCTCAACCCACGAGCACACACAACAGCATCTGCCCACTCGCTTTCCAATTTAACTTCCATTCTCGTCGCCAACCAGCATCCGAGTCACCAACTCGAATCACCAACACCCAGCGTCGATGGTTTAGTGGTAAAATTCTCCGTTGCCATCAAGCAGCGTCGGGGAGCCGGGGGTTCGATTCCCCCTCGACGCATTCTTTTGCTTTTTGCTGCGTTCTGGTACCTGTGAGATGTCCCTTCAAGCTGAAAAGCTTGTCTGTGCCCTTTGGGTCGTCAATTCACGATATTTCTCTGGATGGGAAAGTGAGTGACGTCCCCATACGTACCTAGATGGGCGTTTCAGTTTCGTGATATGTTGCTTGCGTCCCGTCGTCCTCTCAGTGTGAGCTACATATACTGCCAGGTAGACCTTTCATTTGGTATCATCTCAGCAAGAGAAATCGGAGGAACTTCTATGGACGATATTATTGTTTGATGCTTAATGCTTTGACGAAAGTATGTTAGCCATCCGCTACAATTTCACGTACAGGGCGATTTGAGTCATCAAGAATCAAAATAGACCTTCAGGCTTATGGATAAAACTGACAAGACCGGATTTGACATCTCTTCGCAGCATGACTTGGTTTTTGTCTTGCAAATTACGCTATCCCAAGGATTCTGGAAAAATGGACTTAAGGGGCTGGGCCCCGAACATGGCTCAGATCAAGCCCCGTGAGCTTCATCCTCATGCTGAGCAGCGAAGCTCTTTTGTTCCTTCCTCCATAATCAACCTTCTTCATGGCACGTCCAGATCAATTACTTCCAGCCACCCATTACATTTGTCAAAAGTTGTTTCGTCACGAAGAAGGCCCGACGGCGTCTCAGGGCGACACGGCAACAGTTATATGCTTAAAACCGCCTTATCTGTGAAGTCTATAAGACGGACCGCCCGGGCGTATGCGTTGCCAGTAATAAAGCAAGCAGTGGAACATAAGCGACTGATTATCAGTTTCTAGTGGATAAGAAAAAGGCAAAAACAACAGGAGCCGACCAAGGATTGAACGCAGGAGTCCTGAAGAGTACGGAGAATCACGCAATAGTCAGCACTTCACGGCTTTCACCACTCGGTCACCAGGCCCGATATTTGTTGTTAGGATGAGAAGGGAATACTCTGGCTATAGCCCTTCGGCTTCCGATACTACGATGATTCAGTGACGTACCTGTCACGTATTCTTGGTAAGATATCAGACCTTACGAAGTTCAGAAGGCAGTCAACGGGAAGGAGCACCCAAGCGGCATGCTTCCTGCCCAATCTATGTTTTTGCACATCACTCATTCTAAAGAGATACAATCATATTACAACTTAGATACTAGAATATAAATACGCGTACTGATTCGAGGTAAAAGAATGCTCTGCGGCCGTCTTCCCCACCCTCACACATCAGGGGAAAGTCCCTAATGCCACACATTCTTCACCGAAATCCCGCCCCGTTGCCCGCCGCACGAGGCAAATTAATACCATGTGCAACCCATGGCAAATTCACCCCGCCATTGTGTTTCCCGGGTGCGGTGGAACGTTCCGCACCACCGTGCTGAGCGACAGTCAGCCTATCTGGCAAAGGGCTGAGACACAACCCTGGGCGAAGCCGCGGAACCCTCCGGTTGCAGCGTGCGCGTGAGGCGTTCCGACAGCTTGCATGCCAGAGTTAAAGACTAGCGGATCTAGACCGTCGTAACCGAGTGGGGGATTTCCACGTTTCCCCTAGGTGCCGTCAGATTAGCACATGGCGCGGGAAAGGTGGCATGCGGACTACGGCCAATCAGATGTGTAGGATTTCCAAAAACCAGAGACATTTGGATTCCAGCTGATGAGGGGGAGGAGAAGTGATTGGGGGATCCTCTCGGAAACGCACATGTGCTAGATTGAAGTAGGCCATAAGTTGTACCTGCATGTAAGACTCCCTTAACTTTTCCCGTGACCTCAGTCCCCGAGGGACGTGAGCATTGTACGACGGACTTACCCCTAAAAGTCAGTATCTGCCATTGACTCAAGAGCACCAGCCGGCTTCTCCAGTGAGGAATCCAAGGTACTTTGGCTTCGCAAGACCAGGAATTCCACCACAAGAGACCTAGGGACTTCCATTTCTCTAATTGCCGATGCGGCTTGGTTGCGGGCTTCAACGTTCCGGAAGCGGACCGGCGCGTGCCCGCTGAGCTTCAGCCGCAACTTCCTAAGGCCTAGAGCAGGATATGAGACAATCGAAAACTCTCCATCGTCTTTTCTAGTATCGATGCATTATTCGCACGATAGGGTCTCTAGAAACCCCTACTGCCTAGAAGGTGGCGTACGTTCCCTGCTGGACCTCACAGTGAAGAGATAGGCTACAGCGTCTCATCTTTGTTTGCCGGAATGAAGGCGGCGAGCGGATCGGAGTGCCACACAACTTACAAAAGCAGAGAAGCGGAAGTAGAGAACGCCTCACTGTCAGCTTCGAATGCGGCTGATGCCACTCAGATGATACTTCCGAGCTTACAGGCTGTGGCGTTCGACGTGTCTTATTCACACTTCAGCTCCCCAACTGAAGCCATCAACAGTCAGCTCGTATTTGCGCTTGCGGAATTCTGCCTATCTGTTGCTCGTGTAACTTGTGCTTCCATTTGCCTTCATTTAGATGCCATCGATAGTATCAGGAAAAAACTACTTAAACATCCATTCTTCTCATCATCGTCCCTCATCCATCTCACCACACAACTCACCTTCATCCGTTACTTTGAAGAACCACGCATCCAAAAGCACATTTGCAGTCATGGGTCTCCCCATCACCACCTCCGCCTCAATCAGCGTCCCAGAGGCCAACTCCTTCGGAGCCACCGTCCTCCAGCCACAGGCCGACCACAACTCCAACGGCCGTGGCGGTTGCCCATACCTCGCCAACGCCCACAACAACGGCACTCCGGATACCACCCATGCCAACATCACTCAACAAGCAACGCCAGCGGCACCGGCGCCGCCGTTGGGAATCTTGAACAAGCTGGAGAACCGCACTTTCACCGGCAGGGGCTTCAACACCATCTTCCGCCCTCACAGCACCACCTCTCCTACTGCATTGCATGTCACTCCCGTGTTGGAGCCGCCTTTCATCCCGGACAACATCCTCCAGCTCAACATCACGCACGAGACTCAAGTATTCGCTCCCGGTCTCGGAGATGTCCCCAACCGTGGGCTGCTGAAGCAGGAGGACATCGAACTTAACGGCGTTCCTTACACCCAGACCATTCATGATATTACAGAGGCGGAGACGAAACCTCCCGTCATCCACTTCGAGCCCGGTCTCTGGATGCACGTTCCCGCGACCACTATCCCCAAGCTCAAGACCTCCCTTGCTCGCATGGCTTCCATCCCTCATGGCACCACCATCAACGCCCAGTGCTTCTCGGAGCCATCTTTCAGCCGTGGGAAACCAATCATCCCCAAAGTCGACATCACTCCCTTCCCGGTTGGCGGCGGTACGCCCTTCCCCTTCCCCAGCCAAGACGTAGACAACCCTGCCACCTTCCGCCTCCCCCAAGACCTCAATCCGTTCTTGCAAGCCCGTACAATCACCAAAGAAATGGTCAAGGACCCCAACAGCGTCCTGGAGCTGGCCAACAAGGGTAAAGATATCATCGAGAACACATCCTACAAAATCACAACCAAGCCCGAGGGAAACAACCTCGGCGGCGGCACCTCCAACATCGGCTTCCTCGTCGGCGACGGCCAACAAGCCCTCGAACTCCCCAGCCGCGCCAACGCCAACGCAACCCGCATGGAAGCCCAGTACTGGATCTCCACCGTCCGCACAAAGATCCACCTTGAGCCGTGGAAGGGGCCCTCGGAGCACCAGCGGTGCAAGCACTTCTCGCCGCTGCCCCTCCGCGAGGGCGAGGAGGTGCCCGTCTTTGAGGTCCACTTCCCGATCCCGCAGGCAAAGACGGTGACCGTGGAGTATACCCAGCTTCAGTACACGCAGAATGTCACGCTGGACTTTGCGGGGCTTAGCTGGCCGCATGTTACGGTTGGTACGCTCGTGCAGACGAGTCCCACCGTGGTGCATGCTTCCGTTTTGAACCAGAAGGAGGGATTTTGAGACTTGCATCTGGGAATTCATCAATTTTTACTAGCCAATCACTTGTGGAGGATTTCTTTTGTACACTTGGGGCCGGCTGGGCTTTGTTGACTGAGCTCATGAGAAAGGAAATTTGCAGCGCAGAATAAGAGAGCTTGCTAACAGCGGCGAAGAAGTTGAGATAGCCGGAGTATGCCCCATAGATAACCACCTAATACAATTTGATATCCCCATCCTTGTGTGCCGTCATCTGATTCTCTTACTGGAGCTGCTTATTTACCAGCTTCATCGTCGTCGAGGGTTCAAGATCAATGCATACATATACATAACTATGTTTGAAGTCAGAAGGTGGAGTAGCACCTTTTGTTGAAGGCAGTGGTGGCCCTATGGAATAGCATGCATGGTACACCTGCCTTAGGCTGTTTTTATTCATTTTGCTGCACTAAGTACGAACTATTGAGGGTTTTTGTTGGAACCGATCAGGTGTGATATCTATCAAAATAAGATTTCTACTTTCCGACTTGCTGCCTAATAGCTATCATGTCCTATAACTTTCCAGATTCGTCAGGAGCCGCGATGTAAGGCCAAGCCCGTCTAGTAGTCAACATTGGGGAGGCGATCTCTTATCTATTCGAAGCCCCGTGTTGTATCACGTAGCCCACCAGTGTCTTGCTATGTTTCACTCAATCAGAGGTGCGTCTTTACTCCGTCGCGCTTCCTAGAGGTCGCTCGGCTCTTCTTTTCATGTAATACAGTCATGTTACTGCGATCTGTGCAAGTCTTCTGATCTGTGACCTCACTACCCTGGTTCGTGGGCAATGGGACAAGGCGGCCTTGACGTCCTGAACAACACATGATTTGCACAATGTCCACGTCAAATTGAGTGTGAGGTTATGCATCTTTGGGTGACCGCGTCTTGTTGAACGGACCACAGTTGCGGTTGATAAGACGTTAACGGTCAATAGAAGCGAGCTGAGGTGGTACTCAAGTCTTAATAGAACAAATCACGTAGTAGTAACACTTACCGGCTCGGGATGTAACCAAGTTGCCTAGGTACCAGTGACCTCCACGCCAGGAATATCTTCCGTCCCGTCATAGAGACATCCCGAGACTGACGCTACCATAAGCTGAGGTCGGTGGCACAGCGTCACCAAATCGCCGTGTCAGCAGCGCACGAATATGGCACCAAAGAAGCCAGACTTGCGTATACTAACTAGAACGGCTTGATATCCTTTCGAGGGGATCTATGCACTGACTAAGAGATTCCTGAATGTCACGTTTCCCACATTCTTCTCTGGGCTTGAAAGTTGAGCTCATTATGATTATATAGCAGCCCCTACTTCTCGCTGAGTAGTTGACTAGGAATTGATTCCTCACTCGCAAGCTAGTTTTACCTTGCAGCTAAAGCACAATTCACAATTCTCCATTCTGTCTTCTCAACAGCCATGGAAGCCAACGAAGAACCATCTCAAGCTTTGTCTCCGGACACTTTTCAGCAACGAGCTCCGCTGTTGTTCTCTAACCAGTGCTCTTCGCAGAGTGCAAGTGACTTGAACCAGTCGGCATCGCCTCGTCCGCAAACTTCGTCTTCATCATCTCACCCAACCTCTGCCGCCGAGACTCATGAAACGAGACTGTTGAGGCCCGAAGCCGAGATGATGGCGAGCGAGATAAGCCCAATCTCGCCTCAAGCGACTTGTAGCATCAATATTAACTCTCATCAACATGACGATCTCTTGATACCAGGCACCGAGATTCGAAGGAAACCTGTCAGTGTCACCATTTGCACTAGTGCTCAAGAGACTCCAGAAGGACCTGGAAGAAGCCCGCAACCTACGACTGGTAGTGCTGAAAGTCTTGATGAAATGAAGAGAAACTCTGAAACCATGAAGCCAACTTGGAAAATATGGGCTCTAGAGATATCCTGCATCGCACTGAGCACGGTTCTCTTAGCCGGTAAGTACCAATGCCCGTTAAGAAGCTCTGATCACTACTAAGCAATTTTCGAAACACCAAGTTATCATTGTTGTACTCCTCAAATACGATTCGCAAAAGCAACCGAACTGGCCGCTGGATGCTACACTGAACTCGTTCCTCGCATTATTCACCACCTTGGCGAAGGCTGCCTTCATGGTACCCGTCTGCGCTTGCATCAGCCAGTCACAATGGGCCTGGTTCAACAAAAATAGTGTAACTCGACCTCTCTACGACTTCGAGGTGATAGATCAAGCAAGCCGAGGGGCCTGGGGCTCCTTGATACTACTCTGGCGATTCCGATTCCGGCATTTTGTAGTTCTGGGAGCGCTCCTCACCGCTATCAGTGGTCTGACATCGCCCATTACACAATTATCGATCAAGTACTCACTGAAAGAAACGCCCGTCGCAAAAGAGGCAACAGAAAGCCAAGCTACTACGCGAGTTGTCCGAGATCTAATGTACCCCAGAGATAAACTCGAGTCAGCAATCCGTTTCGGCGGCTACCAAACTTTCGTCCTAGATTATGAGAATTTTCAGAAGCCTTTACCTTATGCTGATGTCGACACTAACGCAACATTTTGTTCAACAGGCAACTGCACATTTGATCAATATAGGTCCCTTGGGATCTGCGTAAAGATGGCAAACATAACATCTTTCCTGAAAGTTGAGAAGTTCGAAGACGGAACAATGACAGAAACACCCGTACTAGCCGACAGAATTCTCCCAAATAGCAGCGTTTGGAAGCTTTCGCTTCTTGGTGGTTTTGAATTCGACCATCAAAGCAAAGCAGCATTGTTCACAGATATACTGGACGGCAACCACACGTTTGCATTCCAGCACAGCCCAGCTCTACTTCGAGCAAGACTTGCATCATTCTTTCTGATCTACACTACGCCAATACTTACCGAGGTTGACAAGACCTGGTGGCGGTCTAGAGACAAAAGTCCAAACCTGACATGGAAGGAGGCATGGACTCATGTCCACAGTTTCGAGCATGAGGCCGTCGAAGTTCTCTTCCACCTTTGTGTGCAATCTTATACCACTACAGTCCAGCTAGGTAGAGAGCAAACCCTCATTCAGGACACTTTTACCGAGCCCAGTGGCAAAGGCGACCAAGCATTTATCGATATGGAATGTCCATCGTTGGTTCGAAACGACTCGTATGCATGCATGACTAGGCCGAACCGCTGGAATGAAACCCTTAGCCTCAAAAGTCCGACACGAAGTGGAACTCATTCAGTCAAGCCGCTTCGAACCGAAACTGAAGACTTCAGTGCGAGTTACCACGCGATGGAACTGATCTCCCAATTATTGAGGACTTACTTCGCAGGTCTTGGATTCGTTACCATGTCTCCGGCTGCCAATGGATTTCTTCCACTTTATACCAAAGGTTCTCAATTCTTAACTACACTTCACACCTCAGTGTTGTTCTCGCGATCCAACATACAAAACTCTGAGAGTCGAAAACTTTGCCTCGAGAATATTTACAAAAACGCTGCCACCTTATTGTCTGCTTCGTAAGTCTAGACCTGGTTGCTTCCAGGCTTGCTTATTTCATTATGCGGCAGCTAATCTTGGAAGTAGACTCCGGATGAAACGGCCCTACGATCAATGGACGAAAGGCGTATTCAGTGTTCCCGGGCGGGCAACAACAATGGCCACATACGTCAATATAAGGTGGCCTTGGGTGATATTACTCGCAGCCGATATCGCGGCCGCAGCAGTTTTTCTTGTCATTACAATCGTTTACTATACGGGAGGCTCAGATTCAGATTATAAAGACCTCAAAAGCTCGTCGTTGGTCACTCTTGTCGCTCTCGGTCCAGGCTGCCGCACTGCGGTGGGTGGAGGTCTACAGGCTGTGGATGCCATGAAGAAGCTCGCGAAAGGGGTTCAGGTCCAGCTCATAGGGAGCCAGATTGTGGTCGCTGAGGATACGGCAGAGAAGACTCCCTCACAAGAGACGTCGTGCGGCGTGTCCGGCGCTGAAGAAGGTGTTCCCAGGGAGATGGATCGTACTCAGGGGTAGAAGCCATGGTGGTCAGTGTTTTCGAGAGGGAAATAGGAAGCATGACTGCACGAAGGCTTGCGGAAAACTTTATCGCTACGCGGGTACTTAGTTAGCGGTGGCCGGTGCTCTTCCTGTGATGATTGAGAGTGGTATTTGGGCTGATGGGTCTCTGAGGGCTGAAGCCAGGTGTAGCCCCCGCTTACGCGTAACGATCATTGATAGTACAGGTACAATTTGGAGAACGACATTGAGTATGGCATGATGTACGACCAAGGCTGACTCTCTCCGTTGAAACGGGCGGAACTTTGAGCGCCGCTGTGCCAAGTGCCGAACTAGGAGGCTCTCATGTCGGATATTCAAACTTGACAGCTATTTGCCAAAAGCGACGAGCTTCAACGTCAGTGGGCTGCGTAGGTCCGATGCCATCAGGTTGTCAAAAGTTTTTTGTTCTTAAGGTTAGTCTAGGTATTATTTGCATGTAGAAGTTCACCTTTCGCGAATATCTCTGTACGTAATTAGGTACCTACCCTTTGATCTTACATGTGAGTATGTACGTATTATTTTCCAAATTGATGCTTTCTCCGGACTTTTGAGCCAATATAGGGCTTGTACTAGAGAATCTGTATCTTTAGACTGTTTAATTGTACTTTTCGTTACGTACTGATTATTTGAAGTAGCGCTCGGTAAATGGACGGCCTATAGTAGTTGTCAGCTCGGCTACGACGGTAATGTCGTTAAGGTGAGAGCTACCTAAAGTCACGCTGCCGTACTTTCTCAACCTTCTGAACTGCGCCATGCCGGACTTAAAAATCCTGAGATTGTCGAGGCAGCTGTTAAAGGGCTGAACAGTCGGCTGTAGCATACAACCAAGACGGTTGACAAAGTGGTGCTAGGCGGGCGGACCGCCCTGAGAAGACGGCTATGCCTCTGCTAGCAATCACTTAGTGCGAATTGCTGTAATCTCTAGAGACCACGTCCGCTATCATGACCGATGATCAACTTTGTATACATGCTGATCGTGTGTCGCCGTCTGAAGACATAAAAGAAGCGGACCCCGTTCCCCTTCCTCCTTCAACACACTTCGGCAGCCAACTATGTCCTCTTGAAAGGATACCCTCTGCTAGTTCATCAAGCTTTGGAAAGCCAGGCGCATCGGGATACGCCAAAAGAATGGCCATTGTGTTGTTACGCAGGCACTCAGCCAACTCGTTTGAGCAATGATGGGGTTGCATAGGCTCACTTGTATCATTAGCAACTACGAACTACTTGATTGGGACATGCCCAGGGCAACCAAGCCTCGTCGCCCTCTATGTATTCCTCTACGAAACGCCCGAAAGAGCAGCCTATCAAGAATGAGCAGCAGAACGATGTCACCGCCTCTTTCCACTATGCCTTTGCGCAAGAGAAACTTCATCGCGAAATGGGATCGGAACATATCAGCCGCCGCACACTCCAAGCTGCAGTTGAGTCACTCCATCATGTTGCTTCCTCAAAATGGAAGAAGCTGCAGGTTCTCTGCCTAAGGAAAAGAATCCTAGCAATCCTGCGCTGAGAGGTGTCCCTTTTATACGTCTCAAAGATTCAATTCAAGGTCTGGATTTGGTAGTGACTCTTCTCGAGAGGAAGGTACCACTCTGAGATTAACAAGGCGTCTACACTGAGGTGAGCATCACGGCAAGTTTCCTATGATCACATACATACTATAATTCGGTAAATTACTTCAGAGCACCAGGCAACCACATTTGGACCTTCATTCCACCTCCCATCTCCCTCCGGTCTTCTAGAAAGGCTACATATTACCCCTCAACTCTATCCCCGGACGAACACAGGAGGCGCCCGTCTGGGCCGGGGTAAGGTCAAAACTGTATCTGCGCAGATGGCCAGGCTGATTCAACTGAAAACAGATACTTGAATGAAGTCGAAACTGGCTTCAATCAAGAAGCGCGCTGTTCCAGCCCGGTCAGAGGCATGGGTTGTTATCCCCCTCCCTCCTCCTTCTCTTACAAGAGTCCCAATGTTTTACTTTGGATGATCGCAGAAACCTATCAAAGGATGCTGATACTGCGAGGATCAATATGTATGTTAAAGGCTTGATTTTGAAGTACGCTCCCCTATCTCTCTACTTTGCACCTCTCTCCCTTTCTAGAACACCATGTCCAACACCACCAGCTCATCTCAAACCCAGCAAAACACTCCTCTCATCCCCTCCTCCTCAACCGCGCCTCGGCCACCGGCGGAACGTGGATTGGGGTATCAATTATATATAAATCCGCACCGATGCCTACGCCTCTCCTCTCCCGACGTCCCTCACTTTAAAGACTCCCTCTTCACTCCAGTCCCTGCACCTCAATCACCCTCCACGGAATCCGGTTATTACTCAAGTCCTCACCTCCACAGCGACACGAGCTTCTCAAACACACCTCGCATCGCCATCTCTCTCACCGAAACTCAGCCACGAAGCCCACCTCCTTCACACTCGCCCTGCTCTCTCTTCCCTGTCAAGATCATCAACCTCAACGCATACTAACAACAGACACAGATGCCCAAACTCCCCCGTTCTGAAAAGAAATCAAACCCCAGGCATGGAGAGAATTCAACAGTAAAAAACGCCTGGCGACATGGGAAGAAGAAACACCCTCCCTCCACATCCAACTCAGCAACACAATGCGAAGAAAAGAGAAACAAGGAGCAAGTGTATGTGGATGTGGATGTTCAAAAAAGTTGACAATTTTTCTGGGTGCAATCGCTAACGATTATACATTTTTGATAACCGGGGGGAATAATATTGGGGCCAGTCTTGATGAGTGAGGATGAGGATAGCACACCCCAACCACCTCAACTGCCTTTCGATTTTTGGATGTGAACCACGGCTCTGCCGGAACACAGTCTAGGAAATGTTTGGATGTTCAATAAACAAGCTCCTCTCCGTTCTGGTTCGCAGTACAGCTTCTGAAAACACAAAATCCCCGTCACTCGGCGCGTCTTCCACGGAACCTCCATAACTATCAAGTGACGCGCACAGGTCGGATCGAGGATACGGTTGTCGCTGAGTCGAGAAACTGCGAGAGGACGCTCGGTAGGGTAACAAAGAAAAACCTGGACCGCGGTGCTGCTCTCAAGTGCATTGCCTCCGAAAGACAATGCAGTTGTCTGGTGGGAATATTTTGATAAATACATCTAATTGATCGGCCGATGCTGTGAATAGAATTAAGAGACTCATAACGTCGTTGGAGGCTCGCCTCGCGGATGAAAAGGGGGTATGTTAGTATGATGCAGACACGGGATATACGGAGAGGTGGATAGCAAAGTCGAGCGAGGCTGGACACATGGTAGCGACCGCTCACATGACCAGACAGCAGCCGCAGCCTCCGCTCTTCTTCTTCTTTTCGCCGCCCATGGACATGTTGGCCGCAGCGGAAGGTTGCTCGGGTACGCGGACGACGGTCTGGGTCTCGGCGGGCTGCTGGGGTTGCATGGTCGGGCTCAGTGGGCCACGAGGGCTCGGCAGCGGGCTAGTCTGGGGTTTATCGGAAATTTTGGGCATGGTCGAGTACGAGTTGGTCTGCTTGATGCTCGGCGACGTGGGGCTCTGCGCCGTGGGGCTTTTGGGAGCATCACCTCTGAGCGGCCACTCGTCTTGCTCCTGCTTCTCTTCTTCGGGGGGTGTGGTACTAGATCCAGCTTCGGGTGGTTTGAGAAGACCGTCTGCCGTGAGTGGACGGAACTCCTTGTCGTAGATGCTTCCATATTTGCCCTCTCGTTCCCATTGCTCCTGCTGCAGACGCTTGGCGACCGTCGGGAGCAGTTGCTGATCAGGTGGCAAACGAGGGTCAGGACGGTAGGATCCGACCATCCATGGCGGGTCGCCCTCTGGCTTCTTGACACCGGGAGACAGATCTCCAGATCGCGTTGTCGGTCTGTTCCCAGATATGCTGCTTGTAGAATCCTTGCCGCCACGTGTCTTGGTCTTTCCACCACCCTTGATCTGAGTCGAGGTCTTTCTGGTGGTGCTAGAGGTGCCGCTGCCTTTCCGGGGAGAGATGTCGGTGTTGTTACGCTTTGCGGGTGCCAATGTTGACGTCGCGCCGAGCGTGTTGGCGCTACCGCTCCTCGGCCTCGGTTTCGGGTAGGCTATCGTCTCGAGCTCGCTACCGCCACTTCGTCTTCGTCCAGAGGGCGCATTCCTCTCCAAGTAATACTCGGGGATAGGGGCCGGGCTAGCCTTGGCGACGGGGATCTTGGAGCCGCTTTTGTTCTTGTCACTAATGGAAGTCCAGTAGGCGTCATCTCCTTCGACAGCGATTTCCTCAGGCCGCCGAAGATCCCAAGAAGGCAAATCCATGTCCGGTAAAGTCTCTTCAGGGACTCTGCTTTCCGGCGAAATTGAGCTTTTCCTAGATCTCGGCAGAGGTATTTCGTCGTCTGGCGGGGCGGACGTGGTCCTCCTGGAGCTACCGTTGAGCTTCTCCTCGCTACGGCCTCTGCGCGGTTTGCTGCTCGCACGCGCCCGCGGCAAGACAATGCCTGCAGCCTGGAGCTCCTGACTCTCAATCTTGGCCAGCTTGTCCCGGTGAATCCACTTGTCGTCGTCAGAGACGGGTATGTCGTTCGTCGACCGCTTCTCCTCCGACCCAGCTTTCCCCCCAAAAACATCGTCCGCAAAATTGCCCGATTTCGACGTGTCATGGTCACGGCGGTTTGTCCTGTCCCATGATCTTGTGCTTTTTGTTAGAGATATGTTGTCGTTCGAAGCCTTCTTTCGTGGGGGAGGCAGAGGCTCAAAGCCGTATTCGTAAATGTTCGCCGAGCTGCCGTTTTGCGATAGGGGTGGTCGGCTGTTTTGATCGGTTCTATCCAAAGACCTTTTGTTTTGAAGGTTCTGCAAAACTTTGTCAGCTCATTTACGCGCAAGTAGCCTGGCCAAGGCCAGTTGCAAAAAAACCGCCATGTCGCCAGGACTGAAGCTATCTTACCTCTGTGTCTGCTGTTGTGTAATTATTCCATGCGCCTCCGTTTCCGTGGCTGCTACTCGGGGGCGTGATTGTGTTGGCCGTCGCTGACGCGGCGGACATGGCGGCCATCGCGTGGTCTGGAGAGCTGGAGCGCCAGCAACCTCCAGACTCTGTGTGTATGTGAGCTGGGACGAGGTTGTCGTCAGGTCCAGCAGCAAGGCAGGTCTCGTGATGTGCGTGATGTGTGTCGAGCCAAGGACGACAAGATGGGATGGCGGTGCTGCAACAATGGCAGTGAAGAAGTGAAGCTGGAGCTGGCGGCGCTGTTGGACGAGAGCGGGAGATTGGGATTGGGTCGCCGGCTTTGCGTCTAGCGTAGTGGTAGCTCTTCCGGCAAAGCGGATTATTAGGAGGCGCTCACGAAGCGCGACGGTAAGAAAAGGTCTGGGCCAGGACGATCAGGGTCAGGGTCGCCTGGTGTGTGTGTGTGTGTGTCGAAACAAAGGAAAGCGAGTAGAGATAGCGTCAAGGCGGGATGTAGCAACCAGAGGACGGGGTCGGGAGAAGGAACAACGAAGGTGGTACGTGGTAAAAGGGCTGTCGAATCGAAATGGGGAAATAGTATGGAGGAGAGGGCCTTTCAGCGGGAGGCCATTCGCAGCGGCGAGTGCGGTGGTGGGAGGTGGTGGTGGTTTGACGAGAGCTCTTTGGTGCGTATGGCTATGGCGTCCAGTCTCCTCTCTATGTCTCTGTTGGTGGCCGCTCTCAGCGTGGATTCCACAGTGCCGGAGTGCAGAGCAACGCAACAGGAGGGAAAAGAGACACAAAAGCGAGACAATGGACAAAGACGGGGGGGAGTGAATGAAGTGGATGGGAGAGGAGAGGAGTGGAGGAAGGCCGCACAGTCGCACACACAAGGTACAGTGTGCAAGGCAGTGCCAGAGTTTTGGCGTTCTCCCCCATTGCAGCAGTACGTATCTATCCGATTCTTGACACTAGTCCAGTAACAGACTAGCTCTTTTTACATTCGTAGAAGCTGGTTGGTCAGGCCCCAGGGCGATCCAGGAGAGCAAAGACCCACATGTGCAAGGCGTGGGATTCCCTCTTTCGGGGAGCCGCGGTCGCTGATAGGAAGAAAAAAAACCAAGAGATGGTTGAAGGTAGCGAATTAGAAAGGGGAGAAGAGTTCTGGGCCAATGCAGGCCGTGAGATATTGGAGGGGTTTTTCTGTTAAGAATGAGAAGAGGGAGAGGGGGGAGACTGGCACCGTATTACGGATAAGATTAACAAGATATGCTGCCGGGAGTAGAGTTGCATCTGGCAATTTTCATCCCAACTGTGCATTTACCTTTGGGCTCCCCCAAATGTTTCTGCAAAAGATGACGGATATGCTCGGACTGAAAAGTTGGCTCGGCTAGTATCAGGTAGTCAGCAAGAAAGATGTCACTCTCGTCATTCGATAAACAGTTTATGAATGAGGGGAAGGAGGAGGGGCGAGCAGCTGCCTACACGATGTACTGCGTACCTTGGCTCACCATACAGCTAGCTGCCCATTGCGCTTGCTGCTTTGCCGCGTCTCATTGGGTGACAATGGCAAAGACCACCAACGACCGCTAGATGCGCTTGTCACCGGTGTGTTCTTCCTCCCGACAGACAGACGCGCGAATGCGAGGCGCATGCGAGACTTCTGCGCCTCTATGCCTCCCAAGGGCCAATGACGGATGCCAGACGTCTATCCAGAGATTCTAGACATATAGAGAGGTCCCGTGCAACGGCCCACATGTTGTTCGTGTGACACTGACGCTGCATCGCAAACCAGACAAAGAAAGGTGTCAATGGCATGGCGTTGATTCAGAGGGAGCAGTCTGGGTGTCTGGGAGAGACAGGACGGGAGGTCAAACCGTCAAAGGTGCTGCAACACCGACAGGTGAGTGGCAGACAGGCTGCAGGCGCATACTCCCTGACTCCATACAGGTGGAGGGAAGGGATGCAGTGCTGTCAGTGCATCACTTGCGCTCGGACAGCTTGCTCTTTGACTTGCCTCTGGCTGTCCTCCCTTGGTTCGACATACTGAGGCTATTCCCGTCGTCAAAATCGATATTGACGAAGGGTTCCCACAACGGAGCCGCAAGCAAGCAATGTACTCCGTACTCCGTACGCATAGAAAGAAAAGGAGGGTGACCCCTCATCATCCAACATAATGAGTCCCTCGTAATTGCGGTGGAGTTGGGACCGTTGAAGAACGATGGGTCGAACGGCCGGGAACGGGGTGTGTTGCACAGCAATGCTTGGAATGGAACGTGGGTTTGGTCCCGTTGGTAGTCCTGTTGGAATGCCAGCCGCGGGCACTTGCAAACGTTTGGTATGGCGGATATGCTTAGCATAAGTGATAAGCCAGACATCGTCATCTGTCAATCCAGGCTCATCCCATCCAGATCAGCTCAGCTAACCAGGACCCAAATTCAACGTCACCCATACACAATACCCGTCGGGCCGTCAGCGAGATCGGACTTTTGTTGACTTTGTTTATTTATATCCACGTCGTCGTCATTTTCATGAGAGAGTTCATTCGGAGGTGTGTTGATGCCAGCTGGAATTGTGTTTGGGATACAGCAGTATGCGTGAACAAAACTAAAACCTCAGGCGAGCAAAAGTTGTGCCCGGTTCCCTGCTTATGTAAGCCAGTCGCCCAGGAAAGCGCACTGTGCCGGCACCATTCTAGACCCTCGAGGCCAAAGACCCCCCGGCACTGGTCATTTGCGCCTCCTGGCGGCCCTGGCCCAGGCAATCAATCCCAGAAACGGCCAACCAGGAATCTCAACGGTCTGTGTGCTGTGCCTCCTGCTTCTCAATTTCTCAATTTCAGGTTCTCGCTCATTTTCTCCCTGGGAAATCTGGAGTGAGAACGTAATCTCTCGGTCATCTGCCTCTGCAGTTTTCCCCCGCCACTGGATTGGGTATTTTGCCTGGCTGCTAGTACTGCAGTTCACGAGATCTTCACGATAGGAAGAGAAGGTGGCTGATGCTTTTTCTTCCTTTTCGTATATGCGCTTGAGACGTTTCCAAACCCCCCATTTCGGAAACTTTGCTTTCTTTTTCGACCTCGCTTGCAGGCCGTTTTGTCTCTCCATCTGACCATTGGCATGATACCGACTGCCGACCATTTCTTCTTCCAAAGCAGCAAGCCTACCTCTCTGGATTCACAACCAAACTCACCTCACAAGTTTCCCAAAAAAGTCGCCAACTGGGAGTGCGAGTCAAACGAGATCCCTTCACCGCCGGTATGGCCAATGGCGGCGCTTCGTTTCTCCTGGGATCTCGCATGACAGAGATGGGAGGTACCCCAGTACCTCACCGGCCCCACATCCGATGATTTCCCACATCTCTAGCCAACCACATGCACCCTACGACTACGTACCTTGGCTACGAACATTGAAGGCATCAATCTCACTTTCTGGTCCGCCATATGAAATGACACGGAGCGGTCACACCGAAAAGGCGTTCATCCATTCCACACATTGAAACCCCCCCTTATTTTTCCTTCTAGAAGAAGGACCAGGCTCATGATCTCATCTCTCGTCGCCTTCTCCTCTGCACCTTGGCTTTGAAACTACAGGGGACCCCGAATTCCCAGATCGTCCTTTCCTGATAATTTCCGAACGAATCAGGCCGCTGAGGAGCAATTCACGAAGAAATATACCATCTGCAAGGCAGCAGCTTCCAAGCTTTGGAAAATCGGCGGTACTGGAAGGAATCTCGGGCTACGACATACACCACAGATTGGAGGAAGGCGGAACGCACGGCCTGCGCGATCCAGTGCCGGGCTGCCTTTTCGTGCTGTTGAATTATCCCGACCTGTTTCAAGTGAAGCACTGCGCACAAACATCCTTATTCCGATTCATTAATACAGTCCGTCTTTCTCGACCCCCTATCTTCTCACGTGCCTCTATACTCGCTTCATACTGTCCTTGGATATCCTCACGTCACAAAAATACGGATAATCCGGATATCTTGGCCTTCATCAACTGCACAGAGTAACTCCTTATCCCTATTCAGAACCTTACTGCAGTCTCCTCCCCCTAATTTACCCTGGTACCACCACACCCCGTCCATTGAATATCAAATTATACCAACGACACGCGGTCCGAACTCTCCACCGGCCCCATCATCTGCCGGCCGCTACTCACCTCTCACAACCCGCCCAAGCACGGCCCCCGGTCCATGACTGGCCCCTCCAACGTCGCCGGGATCATGGACCACACCGGCACCTCAGACCACCTGCAGCCGCATCCGCGAGCGCAACGCCAGCCGGTCCTGCGGAGGACCCGGTTCGTCTGTGTCTCCGACACCCATAACACTACCGTCAAGTTGCCAAAGGGCGACGTGCTGATCCACGCGGGGGACTTGACCAACCAGGGCAGCTATTCCGAGGTACGTGCTCCGTTGGTGCTGTTTCCATAAGTTTATGGGAAGAGAGAGACAGGAAGGAAGTCACTAGCTGTTGACTCAGGTACTTACTTATTCGGGGGCCATGTGGGAGGCGCTCGGGGAGAGATGAGCTATTCTCCTATTCTCTAGTAGTATCTGGGTTCATCGTGGCAACAGGATAAACAAAATATGGACTCGCCAGTGGCGTTTACTTGCTTATGAATGTACCTTATTTGAATAGTGTAACTGACGCCATCACCAGTTGTCGAAGGCAGTTCAATGGCTCGAAAAAGCAGACTTTGAGACAAAAATCGTCGTCGCAGGTACGCACAATGTCGGTCCCCCTCAAACTTCTTCACCTTGAAGGAATACACGCTTCATCCATTCACGCCAGAATACTGACCAAACGCCCGCCCAGGGAACCATGACATAACCCTAGACTCAGACTTCTACACCCAACACGTATCCCACTTCCACAACCAAACACCACAATCCCCCCAAGACTGCGCAGCCCTCCTCACAAACTCGCCCTCAATAACCTACCTCGCCCACGAAACAGCAACGATCCGCCTCTCTTCCCCCTCAGGACCACAAACCTCCTTCACAATCTTTGCCTCACCGTACTCGCCACGCAATGGCCTCTGGGCATTCGGCTACGACGCGCCCCAGCACGGCAGCGTCGGCGCCGCGGTAAGTAATCTGCCCACGCTCTGGGACGATATCCCCCTCGAAGCGGACGTCGTGGTGACGCATACTCCGCCACACACCCACTGCGACGAATCACGCGCCCGGCGAGCAGCGGGATGCGAGGCCCTGAGACGGGCCTTGTGGCGCGTCCGTCCGCGGCTCGCTGTCTGCGGACACGTTCATGAAGGGCGGGGCGTCGAGAGGGTAAGTTGGGACGTCGGGTGCGGCGGCTCGGCGTTCAAGGAGGAAGGTGTTGAGCGCTGGAGTGATCCGGGGGTTGGGAACAAGCAGTCTCTCGTGGATCTGTCAACCAAGGGCGGGAACCCTCTCCGCAACGATGGGTCGCATCCGAAGGAGAGTCCATCCGACGAGGATGTGAGGAAGGTAGTCTCCGGTCCGTCGCCGGTCATCCCCGGAACGACGTCAGAAACCGCCGCAGAGCCGGGCCTTGGCACCCGCGGCCTCGGCGGCGATCCAACATCACCCCGCACCGACGTCGCCGCACTCGCTGGACGTCTTGGCCGACGGGAGACGTGCGTCGTTAACTGCGCCATTATGGCAAAAAGCTATCCTCACGTCGGCGGCAAAACGGTCAACAAACCTATCGTCGTGGATCTAGATTTGCCCGTTTGGGAGTGGGGTCGCGATGGGATGCCGCGGGTCGTGTGTGCGGATTGAGGGGAGCCTCATGAAGGCAGGGAGGCAAGTAGGCAGATGCCTTGTTTGGGTAGGGTGCTGAGGCTGTGATATCGACGTTGCATTGGCGACGAGGCAGACGGCGGGGCAGCTTTGGTTGTTGATGAGGCGCCTGCATGGTGTTGCATATCGGTGAAGGGACGCATTCTCGTTCGACACAGGCTTCAGCCTGCGTGAAGTGCTGCCACAGCGGGAATTATGCAAGGCAGCAGGCATCTAGAACAGGTCAGGCCCTTGAATGTCTGCCTCTCTGGCGACAGCAACAAATCTCGGTTGCAGTCTATTATGCGACTATTCGGTGACCTTGACGCCTATCATTCGTGGCGTAATGGGCAATTTTTCCAGACATTGCCGAGTTTACCTACATGCAGCCCTTCATCGCTCGACTGCATTTCAAGGGACGTGACTACAGGATTCGTCGACGCTTCACCTTCCTTTTGTCGACATCCGTGCCGTGGGTCTGCATAGAGGCTGCTTCTTCTCAAACCGACCTCATGCCAGACAGGGGACTATCAAACCGCGCGAGGCGTTGAATCACTAGATGAGCCACATGTGATACTCCTCTTCTTCGATAATAAACTACGGGCATGAGAGGCTGAGATTGCTTAATGCTCGCCGCAATAAGAGGACATACCTGAGAACCGTTACCTCAATCATCCATAGTGGGGTATCGAAGCGAAAGCCATTGAAGAAATGACGATCATCACCAAGATCTAGGGTATTGTGCACACATTCACAACAAAATACCATCGACCGATCCAGTCCCGCCGGATTGTCTGTTGGTCTCTGAGGCAAAGGCCTCAAAGAGGTTGTGCCTAGTCAATCATCTCTGCCGTGACCCTATAAATATCCTGCCACAGATTCCTCGAATAGGAAGCCTCACCAGCATGAGCATGAATTTGCCCTCTGCCCCGCGGTTGGGCGTTCAGGCAGATCATGTTGCGAGATAGGTTCCACAGATGTGCAACGTCGGTGTCTGGAAACGCTTCATACCTATCCATATCTATATTATCACGTGCCGTAACTGATGAGTTTCAAAGGAGGTCTCCCAAGTCTAGGCATCATCATACTCGTATACGAGCCCGAATAGATGCCAAGACACGAGAGACTCTCCGCGCCATAGCTGTTATTCTGAAATCCACACAGCCAGAAGCTCTGTTATTGAAGTATGCCCACGTCGCCCCCATAGCACAGACCCTCCTACTCACTGTATGGGAGGCGGAAGATTTTCATCAGCCGGGCGACTGTCGGGAGGAGCATGTCAACCTTGTCTACCTAGCCTCCTAGTCTGGGCCGAATGGTGGCTTTATAAAGGTACTAGGAAGGGGTTGAGGTGCTTCAAAACACGCCGTCTCATCGGAGCGAATGTCCTATTCGAATAAGATCAGATTATATTTCGCGACGTATCGACAATACCATTGTTTAAGATAGAGGCGCCTTCGTAATAATAAAAGATGACAAAATCCTTAACCAAGGAGGTTCACTGACTCCGAGTACCCTCACATTGTTATACGAGTCAGAATATACATCTAGTAGACCCGAGAGACTCTCTAAAGCCATTACCCTGCACCTAACTAGCCCCTTGTGATACCGTACATTGCAAGGAGCTACCAAGACATCACGAGTAAACCATGTACAGAGCAATTGCGCCTCGAGAAGGTTACCCTCTCCTCACTTAACCAAAGGGAGCTTTATAAAGCCAGGATTGGAGGCAGGAGATAGGTGAATAAGGAACGCATTGGGCCAGGCAACAAGAAGTCGCAGTTGCGTAGATTCATCAACTCCGTCGCGATACACCTTGCTAGTCGATACCTCTTGGATAGCTATCGCCGTCTCGTCCGTCAAGTCTTCCGTCTCCCTCCATGACCCCTGCGTCAGCTACTGCATCTATCATGGCCATACCTAGGCGAACCAGAGCCATAAAATTGAGTAAAGGAAACGAACTGAGACCAGTCAAGATGACCCATTAAACGGGAAGACTGAGTTCCAAGGCTGCACCCCGCTCTCTCGATCTATTTCTCAAGCCCGCTTCGGAGCCTCATCATCATCCTCATCCTCATCTTTCTCGCTCAAGATCATGACCCAATCATACAAAAGCAGCCTCAAGGAGCTAGCCACACAACTCCCAAGGGGTGCCTCATCTGCCTCAACTGCCTCGCCCAGCCATCCATATCTACACTTCTGCTTCTGCCCCCTACATCTTGCACATCTTCACACATTTGCACATTTACCTCCACCGCACCGATACGTGCTGATACGCGCTGAGAATCAGGCACCAAAAACACCAGGCCCAGACCACACCCTCCCCCTCCTACATCAAGGCTTTCAAACCAGGCCCACGAACCCCCTTTCCGACGACGCGGAACTAGAAAAGTGCAATTTGGGCTGGATTTGAGTCTAACGCGCGCGCACACACACCCACACACACATACACCCTCATGATTCTTGCACACTGCTGCATCGTTTACGGGGTAAGTAAGTACCCACAAGGCACAGACAACCGCAAGACTCGGACGAATATGTGGGAAGCTTCTCACAGCTTGCTCAGATTCCCATCAAGTAAGTGCTTACCGGATCTTGATAACGACAAACCGCAACATCTTCCTCTCTCTCCATCTTCGTACCGCGAGAAACCGCAACAAGTGAATCCACACTCAACGGCAGCACAGCACATCGGCCAGCCCGACAAAGATATCCAACTTCCGACATACCCCACGGTTCTCGCCTGCAAACCAACTACAACCCCCTCGTCGCTGATGTAAGAAAACCACACCCATCTGTCCGTCTACCCATCTCCCCCTTCCCCCACGACACAACCCTCAAGACCTACCTGCAGAGTACCTACCCCTTCCCAAAAGCTGATGTAAGACGGTCCCAGCCTCGCCACCGAACGACCAGGCAAAGCAAGACAAGCTACCTCGCCCCCCGAGCTCATAAGTCCATACCATTTCTTATCTCTCAAGCCTCTCCGACACGACGCACTCAATACAGTCCCAGGTTTCAGGATCCTCAAGATGAAATCTTAAACCAGAGAAACAGAAACCGCATTCAGGAGCCACTCGCCCTCAGCTTACTTTCCTAATTCAACGCTCCTTACCCACCACCCAATGCCCATCCAATACCAACGCAGTTTACCCTCCGTAAGCCAATAGATACACTCCAGAGTCCAAACCCTCAATTTGACTCTCCTATTGGCCTACAAATTCAATAATCATGTCTGGATGCCTAACATAAAAGACAAATAGTGGAGACGGAATAGGCATTGGGACAACTCAGGGCAATAACAAGAAGACGGCAGGATCAGCGGGGAAAGCGGCCTGGCCTGACCTTCTGGCCTGGCCGCCCGCGCCCCCAGCCTGCATCTCGATTCTGTACTCTGCGGCGCGGGAGAACCCCCTCCGCCTCGTGCTTCGTACTTCTCGCTGCCCTCTCCTCCCGTCTGTCCTCTGCTACATCGCGTGCTTACACGTCACAACGGGGATTCTTGTTTATCAGATCAGGCTCAGCGGCATAGAGGTCGCGAACGCGGCCCTCCTCAAGGTGGCCTCTGTATTACCACACCGGCCTACACTATAGCCAAGTCCCATTAGCAACCACGGAAGGGTTGACAGTCCCCCAGACGCCCCATCAGTGATTGCCATTGACCACCATCACAACATGAACCCAAGAGATGGGAGCCCAGTAGCCAGTGGGATAAGGCACCCGGGACTTTCGCCCTCCTCGCTTGATGGGCCGCCCCGTCTGGCCATCTACTCGGCTCCGGATGCCTGATACCGCATGTCCATCCCGTGCCGCCGACCAATGGCCCCGAGTTTAGCGATACAACATGCCGGATTCCCCAATCACGCATGCCGTTTATCTCTCTCTCCCTACTGCAAGGCTCTTCTTTGGAAAGGAAAACCTTCCAGTCATTGGGATACGTTGGAGCCCAGTAATTACCCCCGGGCGAAGATCAGCGTACACTTGTACGGATGCTACGTAAAAAAAGGACCACTCCTCGGATATGCTTCCTCTGTACTGTCAGCCATACAGCTCGCGGTGAGGAGCCGGTTGGCTGGAAGCCATGCCAACCGCCGCGCTCGGATGGGAAAGGGAGGGGCAAGTTCTTCCATTCAGTCTTTGGTCAGTTCTACTTCGCGAAAGCAGCATATCCATCATTCATCCCGAGAGCCATTGGAGAGGGTACGCATATGTGGAAGCAGGCTATAAGGCAACAAGAAGGAAATAAGGTGTCTGTTCCGGTCTCTCAGACCGGGGAGACGGGCTCGCGTGCGGGAATGGACATGCAGAACCGGAGAGGGAGTGAAGACTTGCAGCTCGGCGCTTGTTGAACGCCCAATAAACGCAGCGGTGGAGACCATTCCCAGACAAGAGGCGCTCGCGCTCTCTGAAAAGGAGGGGGGAGACGTGAGAGTTGGAAGAGAAAGGGGGTTACGGGTGGGAGAATGTAAGCCCAGTATCAGATGCGGCGGCTGTGCGCAGGTGGGATGATGTGATGTGATGGGATCGGAATCGCGGGGTTCGATTCGCTTGGTGGGGGTTTGCCCGTGCATGGGACCCTCAATCCCCCCTCTCGACTCTGTTACGTTTCTTCGTGAGGGTCACCTGGAGGCATGATGGTGTTGCCATCGAGATTTTGAATTGATGAAGTCTGGATGCGTCTTTGAAACTCTGTCATCAAAGAGAGGCTTTCGGACCTCAAAGCAGTCCAAGAATTTCCTCAATTGAACAGCTCATCGCAAGGATGGGAGCTGTGGTAAGGAATCGGAGAGCTGTCCAGGCCAAGGTTGTCGAGAAAGCACTTCACCGCCACAAAAGGCAGCGATGTCCCAGCAAAGAATAGACCTCAAGCACAGCCCAGGCTCCGTGAGAACCGCAGACTAGCAAGCTAGCGACGGACCGGCTTCAGCCCACGCAGGAGCTTTGCCCTATTTCCGACGAAAATACCTCTTTCCTCAACGTCGTTTCCTTGGAAAGATCGCCAACTGGACATTGCAAGATGCATCTACCTTATCCACAGGATGACCGACAAAGTCGTCGACCGCAGACAAGTTCCTGGATCTTGGTCCTAGAGATGGGATGGTATCCCATGCCCTTCACAGGTTGAGGGTGGTAACCGGCGGCTGTCATTGGAGACGCTAATGGGAATCTGTTGGCGCGGTATCCGCTTTGTGGTCAGAAACGGGAAAATTCCCTCCCTCCAACTGACCCGGCAGTCACTTCGCAAATCTTATCGTTGATAGGCTATCGGCTGGGTCCCTGGAGTAAGGTGTCACTGGTACACGGAATTGGTAGCGCGTTTGCTGGGAACTCCCGGCTGTCGTGGCGCAACTTGAGCGGTTTTCTCCTGAAGATTTTCACGGGAGTGTTGGAGGCCATTCCCTGAAGAGTTTCGGCAATGGCGAAGCGGACGGAATGCTCTCCTGCTCAGAAAATGGTGACCCAGCGCAGACGCGTATCGGTATCTTCCGCAGCTGAAGGCCGTTGGCCGCTCACTTCTCAGTCTCACCTCACTCACTCAGCGACAGTCTGTCTGACTGCTCATGTTGGCCTGAAGAGCGAGCAGGCTGCTGCATCTCTGACGGTCGATCGCTGCCCCGCAGCAATCCGATCGAGCTACAACCCATACAAGGGATGAAAGCGTTGTGATCGACCAAAGGCTGAAGGCAGCTTTTGGTGCTGCCGTGCTGCAGATAGAGACTGAGTGCTCCAGAAACGGATTGCCATGCCGAAGCCTCACAAGGAAATGCCTTAACAAAAGCTGTTAAACTTGGTCGGATATCCACACCAGTGCGGCACCAGCCAGCTGATCATCCGCGGTGGAGAAGACGGACCTAGGCCCGCTCGCGCACGAGACAGGACGAGACGGGACGATTCGGTCCCTCTCGAACTATTGGCCCAGACGGCGCTGACCGCTAAAACGTGAAACCCCTTCACCACCGACTGACTGCCAAGGACCAGTGATAAGCAGCAAGTGTCAAGCTTGGTGATGGTGCTGAGGGGTAAGAAACCATTCACTACCCCTCGTGCCTGGGATACCTATCACTGCAATAACCCCCGATTCTCAACGCCAAAGAGCGGTTCGAGGTCGTTGTCCGTTGACATTCATGCCCTTGGCCAGGATATCTCGGCCAGCATGATTCGAGCACCGTATCTCCCTCAATGCGGCATCTGCTCCAGGAAAATCTCCCGCCCATGGGTTTATACTCGTCGTGACTTGTCTAGCTGCAGATGAAGCCTCTGCCTGACTGGTCGAGAAGGCGTTCCAATTTTCGTCTGATTTGTTCGCGGGAGACGGTCTTGTTCTTCTTCTTCCTGGGTCTCCTGGACCAATAACAAGCGGATCCGGACCCCCTCCTCATGTAGTAAAAGTGCAAGTCCAAGGTGTATTTCACGTGGAAGGGGACACGAAAAAAAATTGCGAGTCGAGTTTTTGCACATGTCGGTTGCCGTTCAGACTCTCACTCACAAAGTATCCAGAAGGGGGCGCCTCTGTCTCTAGATTGGGGGCTGTGATGCTCAGAGTTCGTACCTGCTTCCGAGCTTCCTGGTGGTCACAGACACGCGACCTCGCGTAGTGACGGCGATCTCATCACGGGTGAGAAGGCGTGGGATGCAGCACTGCGGAGGATGGAACATGGCATGCTAAGACACATGTCCTGAGAGTCGGATGGTCTGAAAGTCGAATGGTTTGTGATATTGTGTGATGGTTGATGCAGAGAGCCCGACTGGGAACCGTGGATGGAGTCATGCACACACTTTGCGGTGGTCGCCGTTACTGGTCGACTACGACCCTGAAAGGCCGCCGGTCTCTGGCTCAGTCGCAGACATTGGATGACACGACGAGCTAGAGGGCGAATTCGGAGACATTGCAGATATGCCGGCCTTGGTAGCGGGCAAAGCACCCAGCGACTTTAACGACTCCACAGGCCAATGTCGAAACTCAGGCGGCCTCCATTGGCCATTGACGAATACTATGCGAATACTGCGAGTAAGTCGTCAGATTATGAGCTGCCATCGTTGCCGAAAGATGCAGGGCAGAGGTGACGATGCGTAATAAACGGCTGTGGATGCACCTGCAAACGAAGCACGTTGGAACAATGTTGGCCAGAGACCTGTGAAAGGGCTTTCCGAGGCAAGTGTTTGAGACAGAGCCGACACCAGTTGTGAGAGAGGGTGTGTAAGTCTCCCCAAACGTGAAAGATCCTTCGTAGGGCTAAATATGGCTGACGATGTTCAGGCTAGTTGCGATCTTGCTGTTCTCGAGGATGACGTTGCTCCAAGTCGATGGAAGCCAGAGACGTGATGGCTGAGAACAAGTCTGCTGTCGTCCCGTCTCGTCTGCCACTTTCTAGGCTCTGCAGCTAGAAGACGAAGCGGGCACGGTGGAATGGATGTTGTTGATTGCCTAGTCCCCTTGGGGTTCGCAAGATGATCACGACCATGTGGCGCCGTCTGGTCTGCGGCCTGCGGCCTGTGTGGCCTGTGGCCTGCCAGTAACTTTGCGCGTTCCCGGCGGAAAGCTCGAATAATAGCTGATGGGCACGGGCAAAAGTTGGCTAGCCTCGTATGGCATATCGACCCGGGGTACGGCGCACCCATGACTTTGCTGGCGACGTTTCTTTGGTTGTGGCCAGGTACGTCTGATATCATGGTGAGGCCAGACCAGGCCACGAAATACGTTTGGGTAGTTGGTCATCTGTACTACTTGGTCGCCATCATCGTTGTATCGCCGTTGGGCTTCATTCCTTGGTTTTCGTTCCCTTTCTTTCCATGGACTGCTTGTATCCGTACTGCGTAGACTGATGACGGATGAGAGGTTGGGCATCGAATTGATCGAGTGCCATGAGCAAAAATCGATGGGAGAAAACGGTTTGGGTTGGGAGAGAATTGGAGGAGGGAGGGGTGGGTGGTTGGGCTAGCGGGGAGACGGTGCGCTTCTGGTCAGACGGTGACAGCTCAACTTTTGCTGCGCTTGTCGTGCTCGCTGCTAGGAAGGTCCTCGCAGGCCCTGGGCATCTCCCGAACGTACCTGCCTCCATTAGGTAAGCGATCGATGTACGTACTTTTATACCTTCTTCCTAAGGAGAGGGGAACATCGATTTGGAAGGAGTCAGAGTCAGGTCCATCGTGAGTTGACGGAGGAAGGCACGGCACCGGGAGACGGGGCTCCAGTGGCCGGAAGACCCGCTTTTATCGCAAACGGTGGTCAAACGAGGTGTTTGTTCACCGCCAGATGGCCCCGGACAATCGCCGCAGTGCGTGTCATCAAGCCGAATGGGCGGTGCTGATGGAGTCAAGCAAAAGTAGATATCTGTAGGGGAGCTCGCTTCCAAGGCCCTGCTGGGCAACTGGGCCTGGGCATTACCTCAGCAACGTCTGACAGATGCGTTTGAAATCGTGTTTTCCATGTTGCCAAATATGGCTCGGGTGGCTCTATCAGCTACTAATTGATGTATCCGTACTGTAGCATGACCCGGAAGAAAATAGAATATTCAGAAACCCGCCGGATGGTCAGACAATGATTTGATGCAACGCAGTTGTCTTTCCGAAAGCCTCCGGCTTGGAGATTCAGGTTCGCGTTCGCCGAGTAGACCAGAGGAACACAGCCTCCAGTTCGCAGAACGATGGATTACACTATCAGCCAAGGTCCCTTTAGACTCGAACAGATGGTTGCTTAGCGTGTACCTAAAGAGCCGTTTTGTTAAGCACCAACGGGCATCCGCCGAAGTCGTTGATTGAGTTTGTCATCCGTGGTGCGCTATCCTCGGGAAACGGGACGTTTTGGCGTCTCTCCAGCCAAGCACGCCCAAGGTTGCTGCTTGAAAACGGACGAACGTTTCAAAGGGCGGCCAGCTGCAGCGTCGGAGGCTGAACGGGCGCCAGGTGCCACCTTGTCTTCACAGGCCGCGTTGTTGCCACTCAACCACTGAAGGGAGGAGCAGATGAACGGTGCGCGACAAACGGCGGAGCGAGATACTTGATCGACCAAAGTCCGAAGTACTCTTGTCGACGGTACGTGGACATCGCCCCTCAACCCCTCACGAGGCAAAGTACCCACGACTTTACGTACGAGCCACCGCCTGCTTCCAATTGCCCACTGCCACATCCTTCTTGCCTTCCTCCACTGTTGCTTTGCACTTTGCAGTGCAGTTGCGGTGCGGTGCCTTGATGCTTCCTCCCTGATGCTGGTAACAGGCAAGTGCTCCTGGGTGTTGGTGTTGCCGCTGCCCAACCGGCAAGGCGAACAAGCGTTTACGGTGCCATGCCATCCCTAATTCATCAATTCCCATCCAACGGCATTCCCAGCTTCTCGCGGGTACAACCACAGCATTACACTCGGCTCTCATGGATACAGCGAACAAATGACGAAGTACGCGAAACCCGCGCTCACGAATTTTTGCCCCTCGAGGAAACAGAGATATCATTTTCACCCTTCGTCAACGAGAAGCTTCCCATCTCCTCCGAGAGGCATTGAAGGCTAGAATGATTCAGGTTGATTCATCCATCGTCATCTTTGCCCCATACTCTGGTTCCTCCAGCCGAGGCGCAGCATGGAAGTTGTCGTCGGCATCTTCGTCAAAGTTGCGCGATGGCCCCCTTGGGTCTTGGAAAATATCCTAGCACAAGACACTCTGCGGCGGGCTGAAGCTGTATCTCCTACACCGCAAGGAGCAAGGCGAAAGTACATTATTGCTGCCATCGTTTGGGTTCGATCTTCCTTCCCCAACCACCCCACCATCGGTAGTCTCCTTCACCGTATCCAGGGCCGCCATGAGCGATCGACTTTACGGCGGGAGCCCATGTGCTGTCCCTGTCGCTCATCACCTGAAGAGCTCAGTTTGTGGCCGACCTCTTGCGGTTCCATACCTACCATGCCACCATGCCTGCCAGCCAGCTAAACAAGTCTCCCCGACAACGCGAGACCTCTATTCAGTAAAAGGCACGAGAGAAACCGACATGGCCCATAAGCCACCGATACGGGCAGGTCTCAGGGGTCCCGCATACGTCAGGCATTGCGTATCATGGCTCAGCTCCGCCGGGGGGGTTCAGTCATTTACTGCGTACTATCCAATCCGCCCCTGCGGCCGCCTACCACAGCTGCAGCAAGCCACCGCAAGCTGCTGTACTCTGCCCGTTTGGGCGACGGACGACGCGGGTCGGACAGAGAGGGAAGCTGGGCCTGTCCGCCGCCGTGGAAGCAGAGAGAAGGACACAGACGAGACACCGGTCGATACCAGTCTCCAGACAGGCAGCGGGACGGACTTCAGCGGCGGGTTACGCAGAGAAGGACGAGACCGATGACAAGCCGGGTACGACGGTGCTCCGACTGACAGACCTCGGAATTTAGGTCTCTGTGCGCTTGTCCGTCTTGGGTTAAGAATAGGCGATTGAACAGAACAGACTCAAGTTGCGGTCCGTGGAAAGGCAAAAAAATCAACAGACCAGACGATGTCTGAGGTTCAACGACGACAAGTGCGGCACGGAGTGAGTACCGGAGACAGAGTGGTGGCGGCACCGATGGACGAGCAAGCAATAAAGTCACCGTGGTCATCCATCCACAACAAGCCTTACCCGCTGAGCACGCCGCACATCACACCCACTCCAGCCCCTCCAGAAGCCCAGTTCCCCTTCCTCTTCGGGGGGGGGGGGGGATAAGACGTGGGATCCCTTTCCAGTCAGGGACAGCATCATCAGCCAAGGCCTGAACCGTCTCACCTGGCTACAAGCCCCATCCGTTCGCCCCCGTTTGTGCTGTACCGCATGCGAGAAGCGTATCAGTTGCCGTCTTGTGTGCAGTCGTAAATGTATCTGTTCATAGGCTACCGTCTGTATGCAACAGCCCTGGCAGTCTGGTCATGACTGGTTAACCACACCTCTTGAAGAGGAAAAACGGGCTGGACGATAGCCTTAATACAGTCAAACAGCCATCTGACTGGAGGTGACTGGTCAAATCAAATGGTGACGGCAGAGCCAGAAGGAGACTTGGGTGTGGTGGTTGGGAGGCATGGCATGTACCCTCGGTTCAGATTCTGACGCTGCATCTGAGCAGCAGCGGTTCCCTTGGGCTCCGTTTCGTTGGATTGAAACGGAGAACCACAAAACTGAGGCTGATCCGCACCTCGGTTTGCGCTAGTGGCTGTCAGCCGTTTTTGACTGGTGGACGCTCCGCTGCAGATGCTGGCCTTTTCGTCCAACCAGCAATGGCCCAGACCCAGCCATCGACCACCGTCTCGTCCAGTCATGGTCGCCTCTCCCCCTCCTTTTCGCACAAAAGCCCGTGACCTCATCGTCAGTCAAGAGCACCTGCGAATACCCCGTCCACAATACTTGGCTAGCCCCCGTGCTGTCAAGTCACGTCCTCAGTCCGCCATCCTCGTTTCTTGAACAGTACGAATACGTACCATTGCATTGCTTTTCCCAAGTCCCGACTCGCCGAGAATACCGCAGTCAAGGTACACGAGCCGGACGGGAAACGCAGGGTACACCAGACTCCATCTTCGCAGCTCACGCCCGGTCTGGCCACCTCAGAATCAGAACCAAAAAATGACAAGCAATGGGGCATTTTGTCTTGGGTGCTGGACCCTTTGGGCACCCGATTTCGTCACAGACTCAATCACAGGAGGTGAGTAATTAGGTACCTATCCTCTTCCTGGCCAAGTTGTATGGATATCTGTAAGGTGAGGTAAGGCACTTCAACCTGTACGTTTGACCTATCTACGTAAGGTATCTGCCTACCCAAAGTCTGTGGTCTTCCAGCAGGAAAAACATGAGGAGGGTACATGCGTCTTGTACCGCGATACGTACCGTCAACCCCAGGCCAGGCTTCATGACCCACCGCCCACGGACCTGTGTCCACTTTAACCCACCGCGCCTTCCACGTCCCACGCTTGCACCGGCTCGCTCTCGACTGACAGGACGGAAACGCCCTGATGTGCCTTAGGCACCTTACGTATGTACCCAAGTACCTACGTTATGTACCTTATGTACCTAAGGTACTCCGTATCTTTTTCTGTGGGCCATCGGCTGTCCATTCATCAATCGTCCACCCGCGTCAATCCACAACCCACAATCCAACCATCCATCTGCCATCCATCATCCATCGTTGCCATCCACCCACGCATCTGGGGACCCTCTCTTCGCAAGTCGCATGGTGCGCCCGAGGTCACTTTGTTCCCTCTTTGCCTTTCTAATCCTCAGTCATTCAGCGTCCAAAAGTCTCTCCGCTCTTCCAGTCATCGCTCGTCTCGGCTCCTAGCAAGCATCCCAGTGCCTGGGAAGTCCACCGCTGTCAGAAGTCACTCCAGTCTCCCATATCCGCCTCCGTTTCCTCCTGGGCCTCTGGAGATCCTCCCGTTACCTATTTGGCACGCCTTCCCCCCCCTTCTCCATCTCGTCTTTCGCTTGAGCTGCCCGTCCAACGCAACTTGCGAACCTCAACCCACGAAAACAACTCCACCTGCGTACTGGAAACTGGCCGCGCTGCTGCACCTCGAGGGGAAAGCCCAGAGATAGGAGCCACGACCCACGATCGACCACCCGTCCGACTCTGGCCCTCGCCCTCGCCCTACGCATCCGGCTGCTTCTCTCGCCCTCTTCTGCCATCCATATCCGCATCTGCATCTCTTGCCTCTGCTCTCCTCTATTTGCCTCTTACACTCTCTCTCACTCGATTCACAACTCCGAATCATAACATCATCACCTCACCTTGACGATACCCAACCTTCTGTTCCGCCTTACCTGATCCTCCTTTTTGCCTCTTCCCTCACAGTACATCACTTGTCGCGACTTCACTTCAGCCTACATACTACCTTACTACTACTTCTACTTACTACCGTACTTTCTTAACCTTTCTGCCCCCTCAACACTCCATTTGAGGAACCCCTTCCGCTCTGGATTGAAAGCTTCGCGCCGGGTACCGCGGTCCCGAAAACTTGACAACAACGCCCAACAGCCTGCTGCAATTGCAACGGGTAATCCACACAGCCTCGAGTACATAATCATCACCGCCCCAATGCAACAATAGCCTCGTCGTCCGCATAGAGACCGACACGAACCGGACCGCAAGCAACGCCCTGCAGTCTTTCGACCATCACCACAGCCTTGAATTGATCAGTCGCTCTCTAACCGCCGTCGAACTGGATTCACGAGCCCCCATACCAATATCACACCGCCATCAGACATCTCCATTATGTCCGCTTTGCCACCCGACCCGTATAAGATTTTAGGTGTTTCCAAAGATGCACAACTCGCAGAAATTCGAAGTGCCCACCGAAAGCTCGTCCTCAAATGCCACCCCGACAAGGTCCAGGACCCGACACTCAAGGCCCAGAAGCAAGATGAGTTCCAAAAGGTTCAGCAGGCCTACGAGATCTTGAGTGACGAAAACGAGCGAGGCAAGTACGATGACAATGTCAAACTGGCCGAGCTCCGCAAGGAGATGGCCAAGGGCATGTCCGCCAACACTTCGGCTCCCAGAGCGCCTGCCGCCAGATCCTACGAGGTCCGCACCGCCGAGCCCCGACCGGATACCTACAAAACGACATACCGTGCCTCCCCCGGCGGCAAGCCCATGTACTCTACCGGGTACAATTCTCGATCTTGGGACGAAGAAATTCACAGCAGATCAAATTCCATCTTCGAAGAGCCTAGGGCTCGCCGGGCCGCAAGTTACGAGAAAAGTTACGAAAAACCGTCCCGCCAAGATGACGAAAGAGATCGAGAGCGGGAACGTGAACGCAGACGTAAGGATGAGAGGGACAGAGAACGCGAGGAGCTCGCCCGTGCCGCAGACCGCAAAGAAAGGGAGCGCGAGAGGGAGCGTGAAAGAGAACGCGATAAGGAGCGAGAACGCCAAGAACGCAAGGCGTACGAAAAGCAGCTCAAGAGGGCCGCCGAAAAGGCCGCGGCCGACAAGGAAGAGCGTCGCCAAGAACGCAAGCGCCAAGACAAGGAGAGAGAAAAAGATCGTAAACGCGAGGCCGAAGAGAAATCGCGTAAACACAAGCCTGCCTACATCGAAGACGATGAGTCCAACTATTTCGCCAAGTCCGACAAGAAGAAATCAAGTAGCACCAAGGAGAAGGAGAAGGACAAGCGGTCTCGCTCAATCCCGCCTGGAGGCGCCCCTCTCCGTGAAGAGCCGCCTGTGCCGCCTGTGCCTACTATCCAGGCTGATGCCAAAGTTTCCAAATATGCCGACACCATGCTGTACGCAGCCTCATACATGGATCAGTCACGCAAGGCAGTTCACCCGGGTCTGAGCCGTGCCCAAACCTCGTACGAGCCTCGACATGTGCCTGCCGCGGTCCCGACGCCACCCGCTGCGATTCCTTTCGCTCCTCCTCCCATTCCTACTGTCGAGGAGGATACCAGTCGCAGATCAAAGTCGAGACGTTCATCTGAGACCAAGACACGAGACAAGTCGAGCCATAAGAAGTCATCACCCACGAAGGAAGCACCAGTTCCGCCACCGCCCAATGTTATCGATGCCTCTCCTAGCACTCGCCACATGGCTCAGTTCGCTTCCGCGGCATTATCACCTGCGTCCACCTCGCCGCCTAAGCACTTGGGCAGGGCGGCTACCTTCAACGATGGGTACAACCGTCCTCCTCCTGGTCCTGTCAGAGCTCAAACATTTTCTCACGTGCCTGCTGAGTCTGCCGACGTTCGGGGCCGTGGCCGCTCAAGGATGCAGCCACAGCAGATTTTGAGCGAGGATTCGGATGATTCGGAGGAAGACCAGCGTCATCAACAAAGGAGTCATCGACACAGAACGCACTCTCCCGAGGCTATGCCGTATGAGACTGGCCAACGAACTCGATACACCGTCAACGCTGGAAGAGCAGTCCCAGTCGCTGCTGAGGCTGCATACGCTTCCGCCTATCGCGACGACTCTCCTCCGAGGAAGTCCAAGCATACCGACTATTACAGTGTCCGCCCTTCCATGCCGTCTCGGGAGGCAAGCTACCAGAGCTCCAACCCGTATTTCCAAAAGGTGAAGACGGCGAGATATGATGACGTCCAGTACACCAACCTCCCGCATCGTTACCGCGATGAGTATGCAGCCTACGCTTAGCAGCAAAAGTATGGCGCAGCTCAATAACGTCTCGACCTCACAATGTTCATGCCGCCGTCTTCGCGATGAGAGATACTTCGCTCTGCTGGAACGCGTCGATGTTCATCCTCCTTACGTCCTGATTCGCGCGGCTGATTTCCATTTTTCTATCTCTGTTAGCCTTCATGTTTTCGTCTCTAGTTTTTTTTTCTTTGGTTCGTGCTGGTATGAAGGGGAAGAAATGAAAGACGAAAACCATACAGTAACGAGTACCGATCTGTTTTATTTGATATCAATCTGGGAGGGCTGCGATTGACGAGCCCGAATGGCGCTGGGGGCATTTGAGGGATTGAGGCCGCTTGAGACGGCTATTGATTGGCATTTATGGAGCGAGACGTGCTGGGCGGTGGTGGTTGCCTGGGATGACGGGATCTGGCCAAAGTGGCGATCGGGCGGGGATAAAGGAAGCTTCTCGAGTTTGGTCAGGTGCCTTGTGATGAGGCGTTCACGAACAACGAAGCCTTGCCTTCTCCCCCCTTCCATATGACCAGGCTGAGCCCCGCTTCAGCTCCAGGCAGCCGGCCCCGTCCATGCAACGGGGACATTTGGAACGTCCTGGGTTTCTCACAGAAGTTGTTGTACGCTGGAGTCTGACGATACACACATACAAGCATTGGGATGGCGACATATATTTTACACATTTTACTGGCTATTTTTTTCCAGAATCTCTAACGAAGCCAAGACTTTTTCATCCTTGTCAAATCGTTATTGATTTTTTGTCACTCGCTACGAGGAGTTTGCAAGCGGAGGGGATATACCACACTCATTTTGTGCACGAGTCAAGGGAGAGAAACATGAGAAAGAGGAGGAGCTATTATACCATTATGGTAGACATGTGCCTGTCGAGGGAAGGATGATCATCATGAGGGATAGTCATGGGTCCTGGAAGGGCGGCTATAGTTAGATCCTTGTCGAATGAAATGCATTCTTGACACTTCTATCTGGCTGACTCTCGACTCGATGATGTTCTTAGTTGAGATGAGGAGAATGTTGGGGAGGCTGCAAGTGCGACGGTAAAAGGCTGGATCACGGTGGTCTGGACTCGGGTGGTCTAGACTTAGATGACGCGCGTAGTCGAGCGATTACGACTTTCATTAGCGAGTCATCTCGGGAAAGTGAGACGATGAGGAGGAGAAGTGTGAGGAGCTGTTTTTCCATTTGTTGTCATTGCGGCTGAGATGACTTCTTGGGTTCGGGAATTTCGGGGATTTCAGTGAGTGTGGTATGTTACGCAGGTACTGATCAGGCTATCCGTGAGGCCGAAGGTGGCTTCGTTGGGAGGGTTGGCAGGCTTCGACCGGGTCGACTTGCCTGGAGTTGAAGCTGGCTTGGTTAAGGTGGGTATAAAAAGAGAGACCGGGGCTTCATTTTTGAAGTTCTACGACAATAACCTCCCGGGCGTCGTTGAGTTGCTAAAAACAAAGCTCCTCTTCGTTCTTGGCAGAAATGTTGCCGCGGAACGCTCTATTATTACGAGATACCAGCAGTCATAGGAACTTTTCGGCCGTCTGTTTCGGCGGGGTATTCTGTCACATCTATAATGCTAGGGGAGGGTAGGTATGGTGGGTTTCGGGTAGAATATTGGCTTGCTGATCTGAAGTAGACTGAGTCCATAGAAATTGGGTTCCTACTGCTATCCCGTACAGCATCGCAAGGTGCCCACATATGAAAGCTTGTTCAACACTCTGTTCCTCAAAATGGAGGTATTTGGGGAGTTGTTGGTCCTATTTTATATGCCTACGAGATGACGAAGCAATACAGAGAGATTCTAGCTCTGGCTTCTTGATGAGCTATACAGGCATCGGGGGGGATCTCCCTAGTTGCGAAGAGGTCTATCATCGGAGTTGATTGTCTTCTCGTGGATAGCAGCAATTCGGGCGATGAAAAGTCTTTTGCGCCAGACACGATGGGCATGAAGTCACGTTGATATCACGCAGCACTAGGAGTTCACACCATCATCATCTGGTGCCGTTGCCGGAACAAGTTTTCTAAAAATAAGCAGTGGCAATATTGTGGCAAGTTTGGTCGACTGGATACGGGTTTCAAGAGTTGCGAAGCGTTCGTAGTCAACTGGCTGGTGCATGTGTTGACCTGTGGCCTTGTGATATCGCCGACAGAGCCGAGACTGTTCTCTCAGGCGAGCAAGGCTAGGAACTTGAGGTACAAATGACCTTAAAGACCAGCAGATTTGATGGGGATGGTCTTATAGCACTGCGTTGTAAAGCTACCAATTTAATATGAGAAGAGCGTTAGATGAGAAACATTTTACAGACACATTTTATATTGACTTGACAACTTGCGAGATCTGAACTCGTCCTACCAAACAACTTCCGCAGCAGATGTACCAGCCCAGGGAATTTCCTTTCATATCTCGGGTGGCTAAGCCCGAGTTGGAAAAGTATCGCTTGAAGGTGACTTCTCGTCGGGGATACTGGGCAATAGTATCGGAGCGTGCCAGTCTGCCATTTGACAGGCAAGGTCGTGGTCGGCGGAGTGGGCGAGGATGAGGTGGCCAGCGGTGACATTAGCAGATACACATCATAGTCCAATTCATAAACGGTCGGTTGTCTCCGGCCTCAGCTTTATCATATTCGGTGGTGAATATATACTGAACGAGGGGAAATACCGTTGGATGTCTATTAAAATAGGTGCTTCGATAAAGGCTAGGATACTGAATAGGATTTCTGCGGCTTACGAAAGTCCTTAATCCGTTTATCTTATCCACGAGAAATGCCCAGCAACTAGGGCTGCCCTGCCTAGGATTTAAGAAAGAAACAGTTGCTTACGGAATTGCGAAAGCAGTTTTATAGCGCTCTCTAGCTGTACTATAGTTACTATCACACTTTTTTTAAGACACAAATTCCTCGCCCCGGTGTGCCGTACCTTAAGCAGGTTTGTTCAGTCAATGAGAAAGAAACTGGAGCCGAGGTCAAACACGCGGCATGTGTTGCGCAGAGTTGGTGACAACGGCGAAATATCGAAGACAGGCAGAACGTCTATCCGTTCGTTTGTAAGAAGTACGGTTTGTCTACCACTTTGCGTGGTTCATGTGAATCTTTCACATGACTCAACTGATTAAGGCCGAGTTTCTAAGACAGAGCCTCTGAAAGCTCTCAATGAGTATGATATTCAAACCAAACGGAAATAAAGACAATGAATACACAGGGAAGCCTCGCGCTCGTTCTCGGCTTTTGTAAGAACTTTGGTGATACATCCCTTCCAGGCCTTGACACCTTGCTTGTGGTTTAACGGCATCTGGCGTAAGGCAGACAGGTGTATAGACGTACCTCGGTGAAACCCTTCATTAGGCCTCCCGTCTTATTCTCAGGCCATGTGTAATGGGGCGAGACTCGGGAGGCGATGGCAAATACGACATGAGAGGGAACGTTTCATTCCTCGTCCTCTTCCTCCTCCTCATCATCTTCTTCTTCATTTTGAACCCCGGCAGAGGCATCCCGCGCCTTTGCCCGCCGTATACTCGCCTGAATATTCCTCACATCACTCTCCCTCACCAACGCCCCCGTCTCCTCTGAAATCTTCTCAGCAATCACGCGCGCCGTCAACTTCCCCGTCGGCAGGTCCCCCCTCGACAACGCATCCACCCGGTTCCGGATCCCCTGCACGCCGCCCTCGGCCGCCTCCCAGCTCAGCTGGCGAAAGGACCGGCTTGCGGCAAAGGACTCGGTCAGCGGCGGGTGGTTGTGCTGCATGTTGTGCGGGATGCAGACCCAGCAGTCGGCCTGGAGAGTCAGGTGCGCGCGCCACATGCAGCCCGTCTTGTTGGACTTTGTGTTGCGGATCATGGCGACGGAGGCCTTGGGGCGGCCGCCGCGATCGCAGCTCAGGTCTTGGCGGTAGATTTCCTTGGTGCCTGCGGAGCGCTTGGAGCGGGTTTTGATGACGCCGTAGCCTTCTTTGCGTTGGAATTCGCGGACTTTGGCGACGAGGCCGTCCAGGGTAGAGTCTGTGATGTACATTTGTTCGGTTGGTGAACTGGCGATAGTGGTGGTTGGTGGTGCAGATAACGTCTGAGTGAGGAAACAGGGGTGGTCGGTTGTTGATGGTTTAGGAGTAAGTTGGGGGGCAAGTAAGGGAATGGAGCAACGTGTTGTGCACCATTTAGCATGCTACACGGTCATCGGGAGCTTAAGTAAAGTTTAAGCGGTGGCCGTTTAAAGAATTAGGGGGTGCCGGATATGGATCATCCTGCCTCCGTCTCAAGTGACGACAATGGAACTTCCATCCAGCTGCCGTGTTCCATCAGAACAAGGAATGAATCGGCCTCTATATCACGAAAATGACCTGCTACTGAAGTTCTCTCAAACCACTGGTATTATGTAAAACCCTCTGTCAGATTTGTCTTGCGCTAATGTTATTAGCTCTCACCACCTGTCTCATATGAACTATAGCCTTCAGGCAAGAGCCATTGAGTGATACCTTGCAGTTTGCTGCTGGATGTTCATATAGGTCGTGAGCCAGTCAGCCATTCTAAATGGAATGCAACATCACACTTCATGCTGTACGCTGGCCACGGGCTGCGTCGAGGTCTACCTAGCTGACGGCACTGCCGACATGTCCCTGATACGTCTGAGGCTACGTTCCATATGAAATACACAACAAGGCGCATCTGACAGAAAAGTAGCCAAGATTTCTAGTGTCAACTAAGCCACGATTTTACGTGCCTGTTATCTGAGGTTGAATCGAGAACCATGCTTTCAGTCAGGCTGCGGTACCTTGTGTGACTATGAGGGCAAACCTCGGCTTGGAAAGAGGCTCTCATGGCCAACCTCATCACGTGTGGCTTTACTGTTTCATTTTAATAATCAATGGAGGCTCCGTGTTCTCTGTGCCACCATCATAGAAAAAAGAACTCTTCCCCCTGCCCAAAACTCGTTGCTGTGTCCAGTCACTTACGCTGTACCTTGTCGTATCCTAGAAGCTCGCGCAAGACTATCTAGACCTTCAGTACTGGACTTGCATTCATCCACATTCAGTAAGAGTAAAAGACTTCAAACAGATCTCGAAATTACCTGGGTTGAACTAGCGTAAGGGAGATATGCTGGACTCTCCTTCATCTAACCATTCGACGGAGGAGACAGCCGGTCTCATGGTGTCGGCCAATAACGAAGGGCCATGCGAACAATCCTCGTCCACATCACCCCCTTCCAACAATAAAGGGGCGGTCTTCGAGCTCAATGGAAAACTGCTCAGGAATACGGGTCTCCATCTTGACGGAGATTCTGAGCACGATGAACAATATTGGCACGTCAATGGCGGGATCTGGCGTCCTGCATGGCTCCAACCAGTCGTCCTGCTCGCATTCTTTACTTTATTCTTTTTCTCCGCCATCAGCCTTCCTGCAATGTTTTTCATTTCTTCGAAAAACCGCGGGCTTGTCACAACCCAACAAAATCTCCATTACTTGTGGCGCTTTGGCCCAACCGCTGGTAAGGCTACTCGCAATGTACGCCTACCGTAGGCTGTGATGCTGACTTTTACTTCATCAGTGATCACGCTGGTTTCCATTCTTTGGTCGAGGGTTGAAACCCAAGCTCTACGATACATGCCATGGATTGCTCATCGCTACGAACACTCGCCGAAGAGATCTTACGACGATTACGAACTCGACTACACAGCTATAATATCGCCCAAAGTTTTGATCCAATCGTTCAAACGGAAACACTATCTTGTATTCTTGATTGCTACAATTTCTGCTCTTCTCAGGATTCAAATGGTTCTTGCCCCTGGCTTGTACAGCTTCGAAATGGTCAATGTTACGCAAACAGTCGACATCGAGATTTTGGACACTTTCAACACCACTGTACCGTGGTCTCTGTCGGCGCATTTGAGTCCGTATTATATGGCGCAAGCAACTCAGAACTTCGACATAGACTATCCCTTTGGTATCACTGAGCAACCGTCGTATCAGACATTTACAAATAAAAGGGGCTCTCGAGGCACAACCGACTCGCCTATCGAGACCAATGTCGCCGGCTATCTTACGGAAACGCAGTGCCTGAAGCTAAAAAACCACTCTTACTCAGACATAGAACCGTTTAACAGCAACTTCTCCATATTTTCTGTCCGAGACCTAATGTTCAATTTCAATGGTTACGAGCAGCCATTACCAATACGTAGAGACCTTCTCGCCAGTAGCTTAGGAAGAATGCGGCAGGAGTCTACTTGGAAAAAGAACAAAACCATCACTCACTGGGCAAGCTTTTCCGATATAGCCAGTCATATTCAATGCAAAGGACTGCCTGAAAAGGGTCCTCGGTCTCTGTATTACGCCGCTCGTTTTGGCAGACCGTCCAAGAATTCCTCGCCGCCCATCTTGCTAGACGTTGCAGCAGTGCTCTGTTTCTCTGGCTCTTGGGTCAAGAGAGTCAAAGTCATCGATGATGGCAAAAGTCCTACTGCTGTCGTACTTTCAGACGAAGCTGGACACTTAGCTGATACAAATCTGTGGGACTTCATTGGGAACTCAGCACCTTGGACTAGCTGGAACCTATCAGGAGTCAACTTGGTGCTGGGGCCCCTTGCGACAGCCTATTTCTTTTTCGGCAACCTTCCAGGTCTGCATTTAGACCCAGAGGACGTCGGTATTTACATCGACCCAGTGCACGCCTCATTGTATACAACTGAGCTACTTTACCAATCAGCCATGAACATGTCTCGCATTCTCGGCCCATGGATCGGACATTATCGCCTTCGAAAAAAGACCAATCAACCACTGTATACGACTGGCACCAGGCCCGTGACTATCGGCAAATTGATGGTCAACAAGCTGACTTGTTTGTTGATGACGGTACTCTTTGTACTAATCATGGCAATGCTCACTCTTGTACTTTTTTCCTCCAGAAATACGACGAAGATTTGGTATAGAGATCTTGCGACAGTCATGGGAAACATGATTTTTCTCCGTACCTGGGGGAGATATCCCGAACAAAGATCAAAGCACTCCTCCACCCGACTCAAAGAGATCAAAAGTGAATGGAGTACATGCAACTTTACCCCCTTGGTACTAAGGGTTTGGGCACGAGTTACGGCCGTTGTACTGGTACTGGCCATAATGACGAGCCTCTGCTATACCCTGATATTGTCGACGGCATCACGAGGAATTGCGACAATTCATTCCGAAACAGGTTACTTGCATATGCTATGGACTTCTTTCCCGGCATTCACAATGCTCAGCGTAGCCTTGTACATCAATTCTTGCGACTCGGCATACCGAGGTCTGGCTATTTTTTCCGCACTTTCCGCAAAATGCCTTAAGGCTACAGGGCTCGACATATCATTTTCCGACATGCTGGGGCTGAAAGTACTTTATCACTCGCTTCGAGCTCAGATCGGTCTGATTACTTTAACGCAGTTTCTTGCCATCTGCTGCGGGTTCCTCACAACACTGATTTCAGTCATATTCACTGTTGAGACTGTTCCGCAGCCGAGCGAGTTACTATTGCAACCAATGACCTGGTTTGGGAATCCTGAAATTCAGAGTTTCGATTTCAACGACGAAGGACGCGCTTACAGAAGAAGCGTCCTTGGTAGCCTAGTCATTCGTCGGGGCGAGCGGAATCTAACATACCCTAAGAACACATATGATGATCTTGTTTTCCCAATTCTCGGTGCTATCGACCGTTCACAACTGACACAAAATCCATCAGTTAAGGTCAATCTTACAACAGCCAAACTCAACTCTACCTGCTGGAAAGTACATTCGACCGTTTTCAATATTTCAATCTCACCTGACAAAGAGTTTCTGGACATTACCGAAACCTTTACCTGCCCTAACGGGCTTCAGGCAGAGTTGATACAGAACCTGGGTGTGCAAATCAAACCTTACTATTCCGACCAAAAGTACTTCGCTAGCAGGTTGAAATCCCCCGAAAACCCAGGCCATGCAAATGAATCTTGCAACCTAGGGCTACGAAAGACCGCTGTTGCATTTGCTCCTACCCGATTCCAGACGTACGCTTTCGGCAAGATCTCCCCAGCGAGAACGAACTTTAAACATTTTTCAATGAGAAGATGTAAATATACATGGGTCCAAGTACCCACGGAGGTTAGTCTCATATTTCAGGATGGAGAATACTCGATTGATCAGGAGGTTCCACCACGCCCAAACATGCTTGCAGCAGAACCCTGGGACACAGCATTCGCGATACCAAATGTCGATATCCAATTCCAATCCAGGCTGAGAGATAGAATGGCAATTCCCATTCCACTCAGACCCAACACGACGAATCTGGATCCGTGGTTTGAAACCTTGATACAACCATTTGGGCGATTTCCTGCAGATGCGTTCGGGGACCCAAGCTTTGAGGAAGAGATTCTTAAAGACGTACATCACCTTTACGGATTCCTCGTCGCCCAGCTTGCCAATGTCGAAAACCGACTTAAGATCACAGAGAGTTCAAGAGATGGGCCTGCGCCGTCTCTTCCCAATCTGAAAGCAACCATCACCAACCTCAGTCATCGGCGCCTCATGCAAGACCCAACAGTGACCTACATCATCGTAGCCATACTCACTTTAACAGCAATATCTCAAATCCTCATGTTGATATCCAGTGTCTTCAAACCTCTCAGAAAATCACGGCTCTTCAACATGAATGTGAAGGGCCTAGCTCCAGACGGCTTTAACAGCATAGCCGCAATGACCGCCCTCCTCAAAGACTCAAACGCAATGGACCACCTCCCCGAAGGCGCGGAGCACATGTCCAAGAAGGAACTGCACGAGAAGCTCTCCGGTCTCCGCTTCCGAATGGGCTGGTTCTGGCGCGAGAGTACGCAAACACGGCACTATACCATTGGCGTCTTGGATGATGAGAACTTTGAGTATCTGGGGAACAAGGATGAGATTGCGAGGGAGGATGCGTTATTGAGACATCCTCCTGAATAAGAGGGGTGTTAGTTTAAAGGACATTGTTGATTAGATTGTGGATTAGTTTGTGTGTTTGACAGAGAGGGCCGAGGGGAAAGGGGGGGGGGGGTTGAGGGTTGGACGTGCGTTCGGGCTATGTGTTGTTGGATTCGCTTTGAATGCTTTCGCAATTTGATTTGAAACTTGGCCTTTTTCTTGACGTTAGAAAGGGTGCATGGAGTTTGAGGATACTTGGACTAGCCGAGGCCGGTTCTCAATGTAAATCAATTTTTGCAATGCTTCGTTGACCTTTCTTCCTTCTATGTGCCTTAAAAAGCGCTGTACTTCAACTCTCATCAATGACCCAAGAGGCAGCCTTGACTTTCACCGTCAAGGGAAGGGAGAGGATTTAGGGGCCGTCACGCAAGCAAAAGTAATCGGCCAGAGAAAGTCACATTTCGAGCAATTCTTAAGCATTGAGTCTCCCCATTGCAGAAGACGGGACCTTACATCTATGGACCGTGAAACTTTCCACCTCAGGACCGTGACTCATGCGAAGCAATCGATCTGATACCCCAAAGACTAAGGACGATCGGCGATACCTTATGTTCACTTCCAAGAAGTTCATACTGATCTGGCACATTTGCAATACGGGAGTAGAGTGTAATCTTTGCCCGTGAGGCATGTAAATAAGGGGGTATAAGACCTATCTAGAAAAACGCCAGGGAAATGATTGTGTGTCTGTCTTGGGGGACGCCGCCCACGTGAATGATCCAGTATAATGATACAGAGGTGTCTTGATAATAATACAATGAGTTTCAGTCAAGTTCATCTAAACCGTCTTTTCGGCAATGCGACATTTGGGAGATGAAGTGGTTATGCGTGACTCAAATGGAAAGATGCGGTGCGGATTGCTTTGTCACAGTCTTAGACCAAAACGTACAGAGCACAAATCTGCCAACGATTAGCTATCACCCCATATCAAAAGGAAGCTGGACAACTTACCATGCTCAGGCCCATGACCATTGAACACCAAAAGCACACGTTATTTAGCGTCTCCTTGCCGCGAACCCACTTTGTGCGTTGCAGCACAACGATGGGCAGCTGCAGCATTTGACAGATGAAGCCGTAGCCGCGAAGCTTCTTGGTGATGCAGGCCATGACGATCTCGTGACCTATGGCGGAGATCAAAAAGGTAATAACGGTGGCCGGAAGGCGACCGACGTACGGACGACTGGCGCTGTACACGTGACGGCGCAGGAAGCTGTAGACGGGGATGTTCCATTCGCGAGAAAACTCCATCCAATCGGTCGAATTCCACCAGTCGGAGTAGAAGTGGCGATCCGCAAAGTGCGTGATTTCGGCAAAGGCGCCGAGTGCGTACTCAAAGATGACAAGGAAGACAAGAAGGAAGGTCAGCATGAAAGGGAAGAGGAGCCAGGAGACGCTCTCTGCTAGGATGAGGAGGGCCTCGGAGACGGGCGGCTTCGGGACTGTGCTCAAGCGGACGGAGGCGTCGCTGAGGATGGGCAGGATGAACTCCTCAGAGATGACCGTGAGGAGGGAAATGCAGCCAAAGACGGCGATGATCTTGGAGATGAGATTCTGCCAGTCGATGCGGGCTGTGCGAGGGTACTCGAGCTCGTAGCATAGGGTGGGGCACAGGAGGTAGTCGAAATAGTTAGACCAGGTCAGGTTGCGAGGGTATGCGAGGTTTCCCATGGGTGAGGTGAGCTCCTGGGCCAGATCCTCGCGGAGCTGCTCGATCTCGTCCGAGGTCGAGTCTGTGTCTGATGTGCCCGTGGCCTCTGACTTGGCCTTGAAATCGCGTGTCTTGGGGCTGCTGACGGTACCCATCGGGTTGTCGGGTGTTGGATAGAGGTAGACAGGGTCTTTGGAGGCGGTCGAGGGGTTGTCGAGAGCGTAGAGGCGCTTCTCCGTCTCGCTGAGGTGACCATTGTAAAAGGCCCAACTGTGCGTCTTCATCAGCAGGACCATGGTGTGCAGCAGCAGGAAGACCTGCGCGGTCCATGTCCAATCGAGCACGAAGGGAATGGCAATCCAGAAGGCAAGCCACACGACTTGATAGATGCTCTGAACAGCCATGCCTCCATTCTTCCATGTCAGAGCTCCGTTGGCGGGGGCAGAGCGCCACAGGCGATGGAGGGGTAGTGACACCAAGGTGCTCGCAACCATAAGGAAGTCTGCAATAGCCAAATGCCAAATCTTGATCGTGAAGAGGGTCCAGATCTGGACTCTCATGGGGTATCCAGTATCTTTGATGTTACGCAGCATGGTGGTGATGGCCATGATGGCGAGGCCGATCCAAAAGAGGTTGAAGAAGCCATGGAAGTCGCGGTAGTCGGAGTTGGGATCGAAGTGGGAAACGCGGCTTGCGAACTCGATCGTGGGGAAGATGCGGCGTCGTTGTTCAGCACGAGCTTGCTTTTTCGCCGAGGACATGCTCTTGACGGAGGGGAGGGCATCGTGAGGGACTGGTGTCGAGCGGCCACTGTAACGACATTGACGTTAGCGCCAGTGTGTGACGAGAGTGGTGAGCTTGCGTGGGAAAGAGGTGTATATACCTAGTAGTGCCGCTCGTCTGGCCAGTCTCTGACAGAGGTGTCAAGCCATTCATCTCGCCGACGGAAGTATTGCTCTGTGTTCTCGTCAACTGGGAATGCTGTGGCTTCCTCGGCCTCGGCCGCAGGACGTGGTCGTGAGCCCCGCCGTTGGGGGAGGCAGCTGTAGATGACATGGTCTCGAAGGGTTCGTGGGGATGAAAGAGACGCGTGACGGTTTTGTTGATCGCCAGATGAGCTATCAAGCAGTTGGTTCAGTTGTGTGCATTCGGTGGTGGACGGTGGTATTCGCAGGAGCAATCGCCGCGCGGTGCGGATGGGATGCAGCTGCGAGATGCAAGCGGCGACTGTGTTCAACGGGATCGCATCCGGATCAGACGGGGCAGCGAGAAGAAGTTAAGTTTAAAGGGCGCCTCGAAGTGGGATAAGGAGGTGGTATTCAGGGTCGCAGATCAGGGGTTGCCATTCTCGAATCTCGGGTAGTGTCCGCGTATTTGGGATGCGAATTCGGGATATGGTACGAAGTGCGAAGCTCCGGAGACAAATGGATATGTTAATGGGGTGAGAAGCGACGGGGCCGCGTTTTGAAGCGATGAGCAAGGAGCTCTAGATGGTCCCACGAGTGCCACTTCCTCCACTCTAAGGTACTGCGTAAGGTGCACTTATGGCATTCCAAGGTTGACGCGGGTGGCCGTTGGGGGCATGGGGCACCTCGGCCACTTTAAGAGGTACGTACCCACCAACACAGCTCAATGCGGTGCCGACCTGCCACTCCTGCCTCACTGGGTCTGCCTCTTTCTGCTCTTTCCAGCCCGGCACTCCTGGTTCTCTGCAGGCAACTACACCTCAGTCAACACTTTCCCCAAGTGCTCGAGAGTGACATAGCCCCCGGTTTCTGAGGTGAAGGTCCTTTTTCTGTCACTATGACTTACGTCAACTCCCACGTGACGTATGGGGTCACGGGCCGAGGTGGGGGCAAGCTTTGGTCAACCCAATGACAGCTCGTGATTGTCCCATCTGAGCTCCTCCAAAAATTCCCGGAGAAAGAGCTCCCCCGGGCGGATCTTGGCAAGGGGGTGGAACGCCCGATTTCCCGCCTGTCCGCTACTTCTTTGCGATTGCCCCGCGGTTTGCATTTTCGATAGCCCTCCCCAAGATGGATGCCAACGTCACTTCATGCGGCCTCCAAAAGCCCAGACAGACAAAAAGCGTGGCCGAGGCCGCGAATATCGTTACATCGGCTAGCCATCCAAGATCACTTGGCCCCGTTGGGATCTGGAGAAGCCCCGGCTCCGGTGGCCGATCGCCGGCGGAACTGACCAGTGACTGAGGGAGCTTAATTGGCATCCCGGCTTGCAAATCGACGCTTTACGAGGCTTGGACCTGCACAGCCGAGAGGATGCAATGCAATGTGTCTCCGCGTAAATCATATCAACTCGACTTATCTCGTTGCCTTGTCGTGTCACTTCCATTCGCTCAAGAGGACGAAAGCCACTGCAGATCACCTTTGGTGTACCCAAGTGTGGCTGCAGCTCACGCCACCACAGCCACCTTTTGGCACCGCCACATTGTCGACCATTCCCTTATCACGGCATTCTGGCATGTCTGGCTTACGACTGCCGGTTCAAGGCTTGAGTATGTGCTGTCTCCCGTCATTGAACTACTGTTGACAACGTCACAGGCTGAATCTGACATATGCACTAGGAACCAGTTGGCTGAGCTAAGCATGGCTTTTGCGCTTGCCCTCCTACAGACGAATTGGTACTCCTAAACCCGGCTGAGTAAGGCAGTCTGGGTTCACTTACAAGCAGTCTCTCTGCTTGACCTCGAGCCCGATGGTCTGCCGCCTGCCTTTTGAAAGCTGAAAATATTCCTTACGGTGATAGTAGCTACTATGTGCTTAGTGCCTTAGTGCTTCAGAAACCGAGAAGAGGCCGACCTCTACACAGCACTAACCGGCGGGATGGGAACAAAGCGGCATATGCCCCCTCTTCTGGCCTTGGCATGTCGAAATTTTCAGCAATTTTGACTCTCGAGTCTAAAAGAGCCTCAAAACGGTCTTTGACCACAAGCGTTCTACACTCAAGTCTGGAGCCAGGGAAAATCAACAAAACTGCGTCAACCGCCGAAGCCATTACTAGCAGGACTTCCAGGACAAGGAATAGACCGCGCTGATATGATATATCGGAAATGGGACGGCAACAAGGCCGTTGCGGATGCCGCTACCACATTACAACGTTACGGGTACCTTGCCTTACGGAGTACGCGAACATCTCGATGGCCCCCCATTTGATGATTGGGCACCAATTTCAATTGGTTCCAAGGATTATGACGTCCCGTCGGCCCGCCCCATCTCAGGTCAAAACTTGCACTCAGGCGATTTTTTTGCTGCTAGAGATAAGAATTTTATCTGTTATTGATTCAGTCTCTCTCTCCATCTCTTTTCAGTGCGACGCGCTCAGAGATCTTTCTTCTTTTTTCCCCCTTTTCACAACTGTTCAAAGACGGAATGCTTCCCTGCTAGCAATAACGACGCTGGAGGCGTCGAACTTCACGAGAAGAAGTGATCTTACACACATACCGAATACCCAGTTATCCAAAGGGCTGAAGTCCCCGCCGCACACGCGACCCAGAACCACACAGCACACGACCAAAAACTTACACTTTAAGCGATAAGCAACGTCAGTTGTGTTTATTTTCAACTGCCCGATGGCCGCTCCACAAATCACAACATCAACGTCAGCACCCGAAGTCATTCCGGGCACGCGACGACTCTACGATGAGAACGGCAACAATTTACCGGGCGACGCCTCGCTTCTGAAGCACGGCGACATCGTCCTTGTGCCTCAGCCCTCCGATAGCCCCAATGATCCCCTGCGATGGTCACTAGCTCGCAAGATCTGGCACTCGTGCCTCGTGCTCTACATTGTCGGTCTCACTGCCGCCACCTCGAACAATGCTGGCTCCGGCGCCGATGGCGTGAACGAGGAGTACGGAATCAGCTATGACGCCTTCAACACCGGCGCCGGTGTGCTGTTCATTGCGATTGGGTATTGGACCCTACTGAGTTCGCCGCTGGTGCACTTGTACGGCCGCCGGCTTGGATATCTGATCTCCATGGTTGTCAACATTGGTGGTCTCATCTGGTATGCTCGCATCACCAATGTTGGCGGCGTGGTTTGGTCGCAGCTGTTTGTTGGTGCTGCCGAGTCTGTCGGCGAGGCGACTGTGCAGTTGTCGCTTCTCGATATCTGGTTTGAACACCAGACGGGCAGTGTGCTTGGTATTTACACCTTTGCAACTGCCATTGGAACCTACCTTGGGTGAGTTTGTCCTCTGACTGGCGAGTATGATGAAAGGACATGTGATTGCTAAACGTAAGTAGGCCTCTCATCGGCGCATACGTATCCAGCGGCCTCGGCTGGCGATGGATAGGCTACGTGGGCACCATCATCTGTGGCATCAGTCTGATCGTTATCTACTTTGGCCTCGAAGAGACGGAATTCAACCGAGATCGCTATCTTACCGGCAACGGCGAACGCTACCCCGTAGACGAAGGTAACCGAACTGCCGCCACCGTGGTGCCAGAGAAGACCTCGGCACAGGCATCAGCCAGAAACTCCGTCAGCATTGAAAGAGACCCAACTTCGGGTCAGGACGCTTCCGTCACCGAGAAGCAGCAAACCCCGCACCTCGCCGAGACGACGACGGGCACCGACCACGGATCCATGGTCTCGACCACCGCGCGTGACCGCATGGCATTTTCTTACTCCCGCCGCAAGACGTACTGGGACCGCATCCGCATCATCACGCCGGCGCCGAACCTTCAGGGCACGGGATTCAAGCAGTATCTCTTCCGCCTATGGCACACCCTCCGAGTCTTCACTTTCCCGGCGGTATGGTATGCGGGACTCCAGTGGGGTCTGCAGAACATCTGCTTGACCTTCTACCTGACGGTCCAGGAGGACTGGTGGTATGGCCCGCCGTGGAACTACTCTGCGGCTGCCGTGGGTAACATGAACTTGCCGACGCTGATTGGGAGTTTGATCGGATGTATCTACGGCGGTTACGGAAGTGACCAGTTCATGCTGTGGATGATCAAGCGGAACAAGGGCGTCATGGAGTCCGAGTTCCGGCTGTATCTGATGGCGCTCTGCACGGTGATCTTCCCGACAGGCATGTGGCTTTTCGGCATCGGCAGTGCGCGAGGCTGGGACTGGCCTGTTCCGTATGTTGGTTTGGGCTTCATCGGTTTCGGGTACGGTTGTGCCGGAGACTTGAGCTTGGCGTATCTTGCCGATTCCTTCCCGTAAGTTTTTGGTCTTTCAGAGTCGGCAGAATGATGGGAAGAGTATCAGCTAACAGCACATCTCAGTGAAATGGTGTTGGAAGGCATGGTGGGCGTGGCCGTCATCAACAATACGATTGCCATGCTCTTCACCTTTGTGGCGAGCTACTGGCTGGACTCGGGCATGGAAAACTGCTTCATCGCCCTCGGCGTCCTCAGCTTCGTCATCATGGGTTTGAGCCTGCCGATGATTATGTTCGGCAAGAGATCGCGCCGGTGGGCCAAGGATAGATATCTGCGATTTGTTGATATCCGTGACGGCTTTTCCAAGTAAGGAAAAAGAGGGGGCCTGAAAGATGCCTTTCGATGGCATAGGGACGAGCGTAAACGTTAGCCCTGGGTAGAACTCGACCCGGGTGTCTACGTTGACGAGGCGTTTGTTCTGCACTCCGTAGACGGTGTAGTCAAAGATGTTAGAAAGCCCTGTCGTCTTGGCTGGGCATTAGGATTTCACGTTTACAAATGATAAAAGATGATGTCTCAGAGCGAAGATGAACTACCGAAGACACGAAGTGAAGCAAAGTACATGCCATGATGCCAAGGGCTGATCTATCACGTATTCATGGGCAAGAGCACACTCAAGGGAGCCATATCCACTTGCCATTACTTCCTTCCTCTTTCCGCTATTTCATTGTGGAGGCAGGGCACCTTCCCTGGAATATTTCCTTCGTTTCTCCTTCCATCCCAAGAACAATCATGGAACGCCATCGAAGGCTACCTGCCTTATTCTCAGTCGTCACCTCAGGTATCATTCTCTCGACGTCCTCGACGCCATTCAGGATCTATCCATCGTCAACCCTCCACCCTCCTGACCCCTACCTTGATGAGCTTCATCCATGATCCAACTTCAGTCACTTGTTCAACGACACGCCGACCCCCACGCCTCGTTTCCCTCGCCTCTTCCCAGCGTCCTTCCGCCTGACATGCCTGGCCATGGGCTGCAAAGGAAATGATGAGCTGACGATTCGTGCCATAACGAGACCCCAAACGCCTATCCCCGGGACTTTTGGCCCTGCGCTTACCATGTGCCGCCAGACGACGTTTCGAATGCCTCTCACGGCCTCTCGTTCGTCAGTAGCCACGCGTGCCACGCAATCGCGGAGCAATGAACCCAATCTGGAGTCATCGAGGCTCTCCCGGTCCAATGACTACTTGCCACTGTTGACTACAACAAGGCATATCGTTCGTCCCCAGACAACAGCCATTCTGCTTTTGGTCTAGAGATTTGCAGACGATGCAAGATTCTTGTCCACATCACCCAGCGTCGTCAGGAGTAGACGATGATCTCAGCCATAACAAAGCTTGGCTTGACCAAGCCTGGATAGCAACAGAAGAAGTTCTACTCTGCGGATCTGGATGCCTCAACCTAGATTACATGGCTGCCTCGTTGAACATCTTGGCATTTCTGAAATATCAGGTAAGGTCAAGTGCTTTGCCCTGTTCTTATCTGTGTCAACTGACACCAACAACACGTTGCTCCTCTTTTCGATACATTGGACTAGTAATACCATGCATTAGGCGTCTGCATCGGCTAGAAAGCTGCACCATGCCGTGAGCTGACCAAGACCCAGATCCTATACTTCAGCTGCAGCAGATGGACAAGATCGACAATCACAACGCAATCCACGCAAAGTTTTCGTCTACCCGTACAGCGCCTTTCAGGTCCCTGCGAACACGGATGCTCTCGTGGTTCGTTGGCGCGAAGTAAGCTTGGGGTTGCTTTGCATCGTGCCGTCTCGCGTCCTTCTATTGACTGCTTACACCCGCCTTGTGGCTCGGCTTACTTGTCCAAGAAAGCCTGTTCTCCTCGTACCGACCTAGACGGCAAGTTTAGAGTTATCTCCAGGCTCTTCGCTGCTACGAACAACCTGTCTCGAGCTAGATGAAATGCCGCACCAACTTACGTCGATATTGCCGGCAATCTCGGTGAGTGAGGAGTGCACAGCAGAAGAAGACCGCCCGGTCGGTTAGCATAGGTCTTGAGAACCAACAGCTACGGATACCTGACCGAAGTACCCTGTTCGACCTTCCCAAAGCAAACATGGTGGAACTTTGTAGTTCCTTATCGACCGAACGACCAGGACCCAAGTATTTGGAAAAAAAGGTTCGCATTTCCAAATACCCCGACTTATCATGGCACAGCAAGCCTGTCACTCAGCAGCCCGCCAGCCCGCAGTGGGAGCTGAGCTGATTCGATAGCATCGAGAGATAACCCAAAAAGCTGTTTCGTCGCCTGATGGTTGCCACACCCACATCCTAACATACGCATTCGAATCGATCCGAAGCGCGTCATCGACAGCTCAGGCAACATCTTCATTGTCCCATCCAGATACTACAACTGCGTCCCAATCTGATGCCCATGCTTGTTGGAAAACAATCGGTCTCTTCCGAGGAGTGGATGACTCCAATGGCGATCACGACTCCTCAGAGCCACTCGGCTCGCGTGCCCCGGGCCATGGACCCAGCCATCAGCGATTCCAGGGTAGATCTTTGCTGGAGCACGACTTTGGACTCCAGAAGTCGTGCTTTGGCTCGCGTCACTTTACATTAACATTGCCGACTCCTCGGGCCTACTTGATGGAGTGTTCCCATGCGTGGACCCGTCGGCGTCTGTTCGCCTTGCCGTCGGGACCCACGTAAAGAGGGAGCATACCGCTTAGCGTCAGCTCTTGACGATTTTCTCTCTCATGAGTTGCCTGAGGAGCGTTGTGCTAAAGACCACCTTTGGCTAGCCCAGGTCCGAGACCAAGTACATTCCGCTGTAGTCAAAGCCGCAGCTCGGACAACAAACTGCCACTTAGTGCGTATTGAGTGACATTTCAGGTCAGGTCACCTTCATTTTAGGTCAGCAAGGAGCCCATCGCCGGCTGTTCGTGCTAGTGAGACGCACTGCAGGGATCTCCTTGGCTCCGCGGATATTGGGGTCGAAAATTCGAGAACATTAGCCGGTACCTATTATCTCTTGTTCCGTTGTAAAATGTTTTTCGGCATCTCGCAACTTGCGATTCACATCTCGGGGGCTGTCACCCACTCACCGTTCACTTACCCTTTGGAACGCTGCACTTCTCCAGCTGCTTTCGGCGGATTTCCTGTGGTCTGCAGAGAGGCTGAAGACGCCTAACGCTCTGCCCCGTGATGGACGAGAACGAGAGCAGCCATCAAAGTCAGCCATTGGCCACGCCTCGGCTTTGACAGGACAGCACGGACGAGCCTGCGGTGCAACCGGCCGAAAGCATGTTGACCGCCGCTCGGCAGTGCCCACAGGAGCCGCCCAATGCTATGGCAATTTCCAACTAAAAGATGGCACTCGAGTCTGAATCGTGGCGTCCTTAGACAGAGATCTGCTTTGTCTTGCGGCCATTCCGCGGAAACTCGCCCCCAGTCCGTTCCTTGGTCCAGTCCCGCCGCCGGCCCATTGAAGGTAGCTGAAATGGAAAACCCGCGATCGCGGCCTTCTAAAGACCAGACGGGTTAGTTTGGAGCGGCGCTGTTCGAATGTGTCTCTGACAGCACCTTGACCATTGGCCGTGCTCACCAAATGGCTTATCGGATGGAACCAGGAGTGCCAGGTTGGCTTGGTGGAAGGCCGTTGGAATATGCACCATGCTTCTACGGCGTTAGTCCACCGCCCGCGGCAGCTCCCCCAGCTTTTCCTTCCCAGGCCGATGGCTTGGTTGCTTGGCTAACGAGGGGAGGACCAAAAGTGAGCAGCAGGCCGGCCATCTTCCATGATGGTTGACGGCGGACAGCGGCGCTCTTTGAATCTCAGCAGCGATGTGGACCTGGACCGAGGGAGATGACGGAAGGCTGCCCGGTTGGAACCTGATGCTTGGTTGGTGACAGTTCGCGACGCTGTCTCTCAGTCTCTTTGGCTCTCTCACCACGGCCTTTCCGAAAAGGGGGAGAGCCTAGTTGATAGGATACTTGCAGACAGGCATTATGATTGGTGGTCTGAGTCAGGACTCGGTCGTTGGCGTCTTTTAGGCCGACCAGGACGCTCTTTCACCTTCTTAATCTAGAACAGTGGTGGCACCATTGTGCCTATTCCCCGCCTCCTGGCCACCCTGGAAATTGGAATTGGTCGCCTACCCGTCGACAACTTTCGCACAGGCCCACGGTAGCAATGTCGACATGTCGGGCACATTGGACGAAATCCCAGGGCTGTCCTGGACGCGGAGGCTGGAGAGAGGCACACGCACAGTAGGGCGAGGGTAAGGGACGGAGGGAGTGCGCATGTACCCACAGAGTCAACCAAAGGACGAACCGCCTTGCCCCCAGCTTCGATAGCAAAGGCAGGCCCTCCATCCGCCGTCGAGGGTTCCCCCCAACTCGTCTTGCTTCTCTCGGTCGAATTGGTAGCCAGCGCCCGCTCCGACCAGCAAAAGGCATTGTGAATGGTTCCCCATTCGTTTAGCAGACGCCCGGACTACCAGACCGTCTGAACAGCCATTGGCCATGTAACGCTTCTTTACCCCCTCCCTTCGCGCAGCTCCACGGACCCAGCTACGGTTCTGGCTGCTGGGAGGCCCTCTTATCACTGAAAAAGAGAGCCCCGAAGGGACGGGATACGGGCTTGTTCTACCCATGTGCCACGCTCGCTTTCCTTGTTGAGGAAATTACGCGAAGGAACTTTTGCCTGCAGCTTTCACCACACGGAGGAACTTGGCGACCGCCGACCAATGCCAGTTCAACACCGGAAAGTGGTCTTCGTCTTTCTCAACCAAGAGAGACAGACAGGCCGCAAAGGAAAAGAGAGAGAGACTGAGAGAGAAAGAGAGGAAGTGGGAGCCCTACCACTCACTCGCTTTACCATTACCAGCCCAAATTGAACGGACGAACTGGCCTGGAGCAACGGCTCCCCCGTCCATTGTTCCCCCCCATCTCACCCCCATATCTCTCTCTGCTGCACAAGACAACATTGCTTGTCGTTCCGCCCGTTCAGTTCCAGCTCTGGCTTCCCGTCCTATCCAAATCCGACCTGTCTGTTCCTGACCCGTCCTGATCTCGACCTGTGTCAACTGTCGGGGGGCCCTTCAGTCAGTCTTTAATCTTTTCGAACCCTCTCGTTACCCATACTGGGCCATGACGCTTTCTCCTCTGCCGCTCTATTTTTAACTTGGCAGCCAGAGTGACCGAGACCTTCTCTTTTATGTGGCGACGATCATGGGCACTTTTGTCTGGTCTCCTCCCACGCTCTCGTCTTTCATTTGAAGGCCCAGTGGCACCCCCTCCATTTTGACGGGCAATTGATGCTTGCCACCAGGGCAGCGCGCT